ATAATGTATCCTGTTCAGGAATGCAGGTCCAGGCACAACTTAGGTAAGATCAAACATGTGAGCTGTTTCTGGAAGGGTGTGAGATCCAAATTGCTCCTCTATTTCCATCCACTGACAGCAAAGAGAGGTTAGGATGACTATACTGTTGTCTTAGGAGATGTGTAGGGGCTGAATACATTTGTGTATATAGAGGAGATTTTCCTTTGGTGGATTTAAAGTAGTTACAGAATAATGAATCTAATTTCTTGGTTGGGAATTACTACATTACTACATTCTCCCCAGTGGTCAAAACTTCTTGTTGAGATAATGGTATTGTAAAACTGGTGCTGAACTGGATCCTACTTATGTGCTGTATTGTTCACTCTTCCTATTAGTTGTCTCATTTCTAATGCTTGCAGAAATCAACAACATGAGTTTAAGCCTTGCAAAGTAAGAGATGAGATGAAAAAGCACTGAACATTTTCATAACCCTTCTTTCTACTTGCTCCTGTATGGATGAAATGTGTTTGATTCAGCTTTAGCTACATTTAAAATCAGCTATGGTGACTGTTGATCAGCATCCAGAATTCATAGGTTTGTGTCTTGGCTCTTTAAGTTCATACACAATAGTGCTATAATTTTACCTCAATTTGATAGTTACATTTACTTTGTCACTGAAAATTCTTAGAGAAAACTCAAGATTTCTCTCCACTTTCTGTGATTTTGCTCTTAGCTTTTAACCCCTTTTGACCCTGAAATATTCTAGTTCAAGTGAAGCTAAATTCTCTTACTCCTATATATTAATTAGAATGCATAAAATAGTAAAGTTCTTGAAATTATTTTAATAAATAATGTTTTAATCTGTGTCTGTTGTAGTTTAACTTCAGCTGGCAGCTCAATCCCACATAGCTGCTCCCTCATTCCCCTGCAGTGGGATGGGGGAGAGAACAGAAGGATAAAAGTGAGAAAACTCACAGGTTGAGATAAAGACAGTTTAGTAGGGAAAGCAAAAAGATGCATGCATAGAGCAAAACAAGGAATGCACTCCTTACTTCCCAATGGCAGACAGGTGTTCAGCTACTTTCCGAGGAAGTCAGGGCTTTGGGAAGACAGACACCATTACTCTGAATGTTTCCTCTCTCTCTCGCTTCCCCCAACTTTCATGGCTGAGCATGACATCACACAGTGTGGAATCTCCCTTTGGTCCATTGGTATTGACTGTCCTGGCTGTGTGCTCTCCCAGCTTCTTGCCCACTCCAGCCTTTTTGCTGATGGGGCAGCATGAGAAGCAGAAAAGGCTTTGAGGCTGTGAAAAACTTGTTCACCAATAACTAAGACATCCCTTTGTTATCAACACTGTTTTGGTCATAAATCTAAAATATTGCACCGTCTGAGCTGCTACAAAGAAAATTAACTCCCTCCCAGCCAAAACCAGTACAGGGTCTAACTTCAGTCAGCTCTTTACAATAATACAATCTTCTAGGAAGCTATGTCTCCAAAATCATTTAATAGTGTGAGAATGTTATTTAAACACTCTAGGATGACTATTGAAATGCTGTAATGTTCATAGGCTTCCATTGCAGGTAATCCACTACAGCACCCATGCAAACATTGGAAATGTAGGGAAAACTATTGAAGAGAGCGACTATCTGAGAGATACAGGTTCCCAAATGAAACACCAAAAAAACATCCTGGGTGCAAATGTGAAAGTATGGAATAATCCACTTGTTTTTCTTCCACATAAACAAAATAGGTGTATTATGATTCAGTTCTGGGTATGACTTCATTTAGACTGAACTTTCCATCTTCATGTTGACTATCAAAGTCAAAGGCTACTGTGACTTCAGGATTTCAAGTTATTTTACGAGGAAGAGTCACCAGTTGCAAGTATTGGATGTGCTAGAAGAAGAGAGGGTCTGACAGAGGAATTTAGGCCTTTCTGTTCTGAGGGTAAACGGCAGCTGGCCTCCTGCCAACGGGGAGAGATGAAAACATGTGTCTATCTAGGACATGTACCCCGTCATTAGTTATTCAGCAGATTGGGCTTCTGGTAACTATTTTCCTACAAATCACTACAGCCTGAGACTTTGCTGAATGCTTTTGTTTCAAAGGAGAGAAAATCTTTCCCTTGGACTATATCAGATCAGAATGATTCAGGTATTTGCATGATGTTTCCCAAAGAAGAAACCAGATCCAGACATAATTATTGAGGAGTATGCTCCAGATGAGACACAGAGCCTACGTGAATAAACTCATCAAGACTAGTGCTGCTCTAGGTAGAGGGCATGTGTAGATATATGTATATACAAACACAGACACATATATATGTATCACATATGTCTCTGTCAGAACATCTTTGAACTAGCAGTATCTCTAGTATTTCTAGTGAGAGTGAGGGAGAATGAGAAAAAAGGCAGTTTTCAGATCATGAAGAGAGTCTGGAATATTTCTCTTGGAAGTTGCTCTGCCAAAGTCTCATTTTGGTTGGAAGAGACCTAGGAATTCATTTAGCATGACCTTCTCTCCAAAGTAGAGCTAACTTGAAATTTAGATTAGGTCACTCAGGTCCTTGTCCAGTTCAGTTTTGAGAATCTCCAAGACTGGCCTAATACAGTTCCTTCTGCCACTTCAGAGTATAGTTCATTCAAAGTACAGCCACTGATGACTCACTAGATATAACTATTCATCTACTTAATTCCATTTTCTGCTCATTTGTGTGACACACATATGCACTTCAGTTATATGCAGCCCCTTTTGCTGCACATAGCCATAGGGGTTTAATGTTAAGATTTTTGTGGCAGTTTTACTTTCTTACATTGAGAATGAACTTTTCACAGTGTCTCCCTTCTGTGTTTATCTTGAGCCAGAAGAATACCACAAATTCCCAAACTTTTAGCAACGGTCTTACAAATAACAGTATTGTATTAGGGCAGCAGCACGGCACTGTCCTCAGATTTCTGACTTGGTCCTTTTAGCACTACATGCTTTCCTAGGCCTCCAAGTTTTGCTAACTGCTAGTAAAATAAATATATAAACAAATATTAAGGTGACTTAGGAAAATATTTTTTCTTCCACCTCTAAAAACCCTTATCACACATGCTTTGAATGCCTGAGTCTTTTGAAGGTGGTACTGCTAGAATATAGAGGAATTCTAAGTTCTGGATTGTACTAGAATTGAGTTAGCTACAGTCTCAATGCAAGTTCTTGGATCTTTTTTGCTCAGCATAAAGACCATTGAAAATAGGGAAAAATACATATCTGCCATACACTACAGCAAGAGATTGGGTTTCCCGGATGATTATTCATCAGCATAACAATGCAGAACATTGCTGATTATGGTTGAAATACTTCCCACCTCCTGTCCTTGGGCCAGGCTGTTCCTGACCTTTACATGGGTCTACAGCTGTCCAGAAAAATTATGAACCATGTCCTCTTCCCTCCCCTCACGTAGTCCAGTAGGGCCCAGCATAGCTGAAGTGCCTGGCTGGAATCCTTTCCAATGCTAACAGTAGTTTCATTGACTTAAATGAGTTTGGTTTTCATCTCTGTTGTGTCTTCTCCTCTTATAATAGTGACAAAGTACCTTTTCACTCCGCCCCGCCTCTTTCCATACTAATCTCATATTGGTGTTTCCCTGGATGTGCTGTACTTTACCACCCAGAACTTCCAGCAGGGAGGCTTTTGAAGATTTTCAATACTTACCAGAGATTTCAGAGCGCACGACAGTACAGGGAGAGTCATTGCACAATATGCTCCATACACAGGGTAGGTTTGATGCTTTGCAAATTCACAGAATCTTTAAGGTTGGAAAAATACCTCTAAGATTATTGAGTCTAACCACTAACCCAGCACTGCGAAGCTCACCACTAAAACACATAAATACCATATCTACACATTTTTAAACACTTCCAGGTATGGTGATTTCACCACTTCACTGGGCAGTCTGTTACAGTGCTTGACCACTTTTCAGTGAAGAATTTTTCCCCAATATCCAATCTAAACCTCCCCTGGTGCAACTTAAAGCCATTTCCTCTTGTCCTGTGACTTGTTACCTGGGAGAAGAGACCAGCCCCCACCTCATTAGAACCTCCTTTCAAGCAGTTTTAGAGAGCAATAAGGTGCCCCCTGAGCCTCATATATGCTGTATCACAATACTCAGTAAGTCCCATATGTTACAAAAGCCTCTCTGTGTAAAACAACAGTAAGACTGATGTTTTCAACCCATTTGGAACCCTTCACACCATATATTGATACTGACGCTCTCCACAAAAAAATGCACGCAGGGAAGGTCTCCTACCCAGTACAGCAAGAAACCATAAAAACTTCAAGGAAGATTGTGCTCTAAAGGAACTTTTTTGGAGAGATCATTTAATTCCATGCAGATGCTTCAGCATGTGAAAACCCAGCTATCAGGTAAGGTTCTGTTTTTCTCACACTGATTCAGAAGCAAGATTTAAGTCATGTTAACAGCAGAGAGAGTCAGTAGAATAAATAATAATAATAATAAAAAAACCCCAACACAAATTTGGTTTAAGTTCATTTATTGGAGCTCAGAGAATGCTTCTTAGTGATTTTAAGTCCACGTGTCCCCCTCTGCTCCTCCCTGGCAGCCCAGACCCGGCTGCGCCCCGGGCGCCCCCCGCGCTCTGCGCCCGGCGGAGCGACCTGATCGCGCCTGGAGGAGGAGTGATGGGGACGGGGGCGCAGCCCAGATCCCGGGCTCCCAAAAGTAGGTCTCTGCTACTTCTGCAGTCCTCGCTCCCGGGAGCAAACCCGGTCGTTCGAGAGGGGATTTTCTTCGAGACTTGGGTTCACCTCAGAAAGAAAGGAGAGGGGTGTCCTCTTCCCTCAGCGCGGGGTTGGCTAATTTTCTTGGAAAACAAACCGCTGACCCACATGCGACGCTGACAGGGTCGCAAAAGGGTTAAATGAAAAAAAAGCAAACTCCACACACAACGACAATAACAAAAAAGCGCAGCCCTCCTCTCAGCTATCACCGCTTTATCACCTGCGTGTGCCTGGAAGGAGGCTCTTCCCTCCGCTAAGAGAGAAAAAAAATCAGCTTAGGAAAGCAAAGTTTGAACAGCGAATTCCTGTTATTTCAAAACGCCCCATGTGACAGGATATTTCCTTATCATTTGGAGCCCAGCGCTTTCCCCCGTCCACCATCCCTTCACAAGTGCGGCGGACCTGCCCGGTGGGAAGCCCTCTCTCTCCTCCCAACCTCGGGGCGCCGCGGCCGGAGCCGCCGCGATGGCTCCCTCGCTGCTCCTGCTTCTCCTCGGACTTCTCCCTCGTGTTTTTCCGCTTCTGGGTAAGTCCTCGCAGGGGCTGTGCGGGATGAGACGAGCCGAAAAACGAGGGGTCACCGGGTACACAAAGCCCAGCCTGATCTGGGCTGGTGGGGGGTTTCAGGAGAGAGCATCCGCGCAGGTGAAGCCCATGACCATTTTAACCCCCTCGGTGCTGTGGGCGGGCGGCTGATGGAGGCGGTAGCCTCCCCTCGGGTCCTCTCCCTCCTCCCTCGTATCCCGAGGTATCCGGTGGGCTCAACTGCCCGGCAGGGAGACCTTTTGGATGCCCATGACATTGTGGGCGCCGAACAGGGCTGTCACCTGCGGTGCCTCAGTTTCCCCGACTACTCCGACCAGTCCCTAATTGAATTAATAACGTCACCCAGCTTTCCCTCAGAGAATCCCCACCACCACCAAGGTCTGCAGAAGTGCCTTGTAGTGGGGTTTTGCCAGTCCTCCAGTCCTCTGGTCGTCAGTGAACCCGGGGACCTGCTTTTGGCAGATGGATTTTGTGGAACAGTGTTAAGGTAGCTGAAGTGCTGGTATGGACAGAGGTGTGAAAACAGGGGAAAGCTGTGTTGCTTGGTGATACCTGGAATTTGCACCCATTGATCTGAGATTTATCACTATTTCCAATGCACAGCTATTTTTCAGTGAAATTTTTTTCATCTGTCCTTCTTGAAAACCTCTCAGCATCCTCTGCTCTCCAGATTGAGATCTACTGCCTTATAACCTTTCTTGCCTTGTGTAATTAGCAGCAATCATTGTAGGCCATCTGGTAAGCAGGAGTCTTCGTAGAGAAGGCAGTTGCCCAATCTATTTGCTGTCTCCTTGCTCCCCCCTCTCTTGCTTCTGGCATTTGGTGTGCTCTTGAGGTGCTTTCCACCAGCGTTCAGCACTGGTAGCACTTCAGCGGCTTCACAAGTTACTTCCTGATTTACACCTGCCCAATCTGTGATAGTTTGCAAATGCTGCAGTGCGTGATGCTAGTTTGGCATACTGGAAATTTCTGCTGTGGAAATGATACTGGCTGATGGGATTTTACTGTACTCAGCACAATTCTTAAGATATGAGCTGGGCCCAGAGACAGGCAAATAGTCAGTGGTGATGGAGGTGAAAAAAAAAAATCAAAGCCTTTGAGAAAAACTCTACTGGGATCTACTCTAGAGGTTGGAGGAAAACGATGCTAGATCTCCCTGAATGGCTTATAATGGTGAAGTAAATTGTTTCCTATGCCTGGTATGTTCTTAAGCATTTTAAAGAGCTTCCTTCTAGGAGTAAGTTTCAACAGATCAGTTACTATTAGAAATAAAATCAGGTCAAAGTACCAACACTGTGGTACTCATGTCTGCTGTGGTGGACCCTAAAGTGTGCCATCTACAGCTCATTTATAGTGAAGAATGACACCTGTTATGGAACTCTGTAACAAATGTGAAACACAGCTAATGGGTATATGTGTAATTCTGCTCAGCCTATTTTACAGATACAACTCACCATGTTGACAGGAATGGCATCAGGTGTTTACAGAGAGGGCATAGAAAGTGCTGCACAAATATCTGTCCTGTTTCTTCTAATACTCACACGGAAACTGTTGTATGGGAATCCCCTTCAGTGACGAAGCAGGCAGAACAAACACAGAAATAAAGCTGTAAACTAGGACAATACAGTGCCATGTCAGAAATCTGCTGCATGGTCATGGATGAGACAGGAGCAACACTAAGGGAAAGGAAATCTTGCAGCTACAGTCTTAGCCACGGTTGCTCCTGTATCCTGCTGTCTCTTGTTCTGTTCTCATGTTTTGATGTCAACTTATTTTCAGTGCTTGATTGGCTGTGTTGGCCTTCTAGCTGCTTACATATGTAGTATTCCCTGCTCTGGGAATGTGCACTGGGGCCCTTGTATAAGCAGATGTGTTGCATTTACACACTGATAATGCTTTGTAAAGGTGCAGAGGTGCAGTCAGAATAGTAAAGGACCAAAGTTTTGTCCCCCTTTCCACCCCTGCTGGCCAGACCTCTTTGTTTAGCTTTCTAACCCTGTTTCTGAAGCCAAAACTCTGCATCCTTTCTTGCTTGCAGAAATACAGACTTTTGATTTGGGGGTAACTTTTTCAAGTACATAGCATTCTCTTTTCAGGACCATAAGTAGCATAAAGTAAGGAATGTTATCATAGGCCAGAAATACAGTTTTAGGAGTTTGAAAAATCAGGCAGTGTTTTCCACACCTGAGAAAGTGTCTGATATCTCTGTTGTCCAGAAACTTTAAATATGATGTCAGGAAAAGGAGAGTTGCAAGCATTGCATATATCAGTTTACAATAACATTGTGCTAAATGTTGTAGAAAAGCTGAATAAAAAAAAAGTTGTCACCAGCAGTGATAATTGTACATTTCCTTGTATTGTCTGTGAGTAAAAAAGATTGGCAAAGGACAACAACTTTTGTCTCCAGTACTCATCAGTTTTACATTACTTCCCAGTGAGTTGGAAGCCAAAGGACAGGAGAAGGAAGTTGATCTATGAGATAACTCTAGGTCAGCTCTTTCTCTGAGAGAGAGATTATTTGTTCCCAGGTTGTTCTTCTGCAGAAAAGTCTGATCATTTCCACATTGGAGCCTCAGCAAAGAGAGGAAAATTTTCAATGGTTAACCTGTTTTCCCCTTTAAATATTTCACCATTATAGAATTTGTTTTATTTGGTAATCATACAATAAAGAACTAATGTTTTAAGTAGTTTCAATCTCCAGAGTCACACAAATTAATATTTCTCTTTCTTAACTCATAGCCCAGTTAAAATATAGCTTTAAGACCTTGTGCATCCTGTTACTTTATGAGATCTAGAATCAGATCTTAGGGGGATCAGAGAGGAGAAATTCTTAGTCTTTGGGCAAGAACAACTCAGAAATGTTACACTCCATAGCACACCCAAGTGTAACAGATGAGAAGAACTTTTCAAGTGGCTGCAATTTTGATATAAACTTTGAATACATGATTATGCATGCTGTGAAGCACTATTTTTGAAGAGGGAAAAATACCCTGGGGACCTACAAAGATCTTTGTATATTTTCATAAATCCTGAAGAGGTGTACCTGGTGATGGCAAATCCCACTGTTGCCGGTATATCATTCATAATGGAGAGATGTAAGAAGGAAGTCACTGATGACTGAAGCGGAGTGAAAAATAAATGCTCTACAAGCAGCTTTTGTATAAAGCTTAAAAACATATCCTTTCCCTCAATTAATACTTTAAGGATTTTAGCAGGGCTTTTGAGAACAGACCTCCACACTGTGAGGAAATGGAACCTGAAGAACTTAGAGACTGTTGTTGTCTCCTCATGCCTTGGAACCAGATTCAGGGAGCCAGTGCTGCTGGAGTGTTTAAAGTCAGCATCTGCAGTCTACAGTGTGTGTGCTCCCTTGTTTCAGTAACTCCCATGGGTGCAGCTTGGACTAATACTATGAGTGTGTTTTCTCTGTTCAGTTTAACCCATGCTTTAAACCTACAGGAGAAACTAGATTTTGCACTTCTTCTGCCTTGCACTTTTGCATGTAGATGCTTTCATTGACACAAAGTAGTTGGAATGTCCTTGCATCTGAACGAGTTGCATTGTACTGTCACTTTAACAGGTGTTGGCCACGGGAATGCTGTGCCTTCTTTTGCTGAGCAGATGATGAGATTTTAACACCAAGAGCACTGTCCAGATTTGTATTCCACTTAGATAGTAGCTTAGATTACTTCGACCCAAATGATTCCACTGTTATTTGCCTTACAGATACCAGCACCTTCTTAATATATAATGAAGAACACAAGCGCTGTATACTGGCTCAAAGTTCTAATTCAGTGACTGTTGCTCCTTGTGTTCAAGAAAATGAGTCACAAAAATTCAGGTGGGTCTCAGATCACCAGCTTATGAGCATAGCATTCAAATTGTGCTTGGGAGTGCCTTCGAAGAAAGACTGGGTTCCGATCACTCTGTATCCTTGTGACAAGGCTAGTGAACTTCAACGATGGGAATGCAGAAATGAGACTCTCTTTGCAATCCAAGGGGAAGATTTGTTTTTCAACTATGGAAACAGACAGGAAAGGAATGTTATGCTGTACAAGGGATCTGGTTTATGGAGTAGGTGGAAAGTCTACGGAACCACAGACGATCTGTGTTCTCGAGGCTATGAAGGTAAAGTTCTGTAAATTAATTTCTGTATTTCAAACTCATTTTTATGTGTAGCTAACAAAGATATTTATAAGTGTAGGAGGGTTTCCTTCCTCTCTTTAATGATCAGTGAGTGTGACTTCTGGTGAAATGAGCAATACTTGAGTGTGTGCTTTTTGTTTTTTGAGAAGTTCATTTTGCTTCTTTGTCAAACTTGTCAAAGTTCTGATAGATGATTAACGATGCACGGTAGGGATTCATTGGGGGGGGATAAAAAATTCTACGGTTGTTTAAAAAGTGCATATCTATTACACAGCAGTTGATAGCTTTTACTATTTGCATATGCACAAGAAGGTGTAGTGTAAGTTTATAGTCTGCTGGTTATATTCGTATTCTTTGGGAAGCAAATATTAATTATGCTGTGAGGAATCAGGTAACTCTTGATATCTCCAGCTTTAATATATTGAAGATGTCTTCCTAGTCTTTGAAGGGAGTCTCCGAGTTGGTGCTGAAATGTTAGATGAAGAAATAAGATATTTTAAATAGTTAAATTTGAAAAAGTTATGTATAATACACATATGCATATATTCATCATAAGTACCTGGGAATATGATTGGCTTCCCATTTAGTATTCTTTGATAAGCAGAAATGATCAAAAAGGGAGGTAAGGATGCAGTTTCCGCAGTTTACACCATGGCTGATTACAGTACTAGTCCTTGGCCTGAAGCCAGAACAGAAGAATACTAGAAAAGCAAATTGTGTGAAAGGAGGCAGGGGGAGACAGAATTATGTCGTGCTATTCCTTCCTCCCTTGTTTTTTAGCAGCTGAGACAGTGACCTTGGTATGTCACCTCTCTAGCGGCCCCTTCAAGTACTGTTCCTCTGTATGGCCTCCCACCAGTGCATGTACATTGTATGAGCACACACAGAAAGCTGCTTCAGTTGCTTCGATAAGTTTCATTAAGTCAGGTTTCTGATGAAACAAAAATTATCTTTAGATGCAAATGGAAATCTTATTTGTACATAGCAAGGGGGAGTCACTCCCCAGCACATATGTTTCAAGTTTACATATGCTCTTCCCTGTCTAAAATGATCAGCAACTGAGTGGGTTATTGATAAAAGAGTCTAAAGTTATTTGCACTTAAAAAGAAAATTTCTTAACTGTGTGGGTTTTATACTTTTGATTGTTTTGTATGTACAATTTAACATGTCTTGGCTCAGTCAGTTGTGGTCTTCTTAAGCAACAAAAATTTGTCTCACTGTGGATGTAAGTATCAGCCTAGACCTAGAGAGTTAAATTATCAGTGTCCCATTTCTAGTACAGTTTGTATACTAAGCTAGCAAGTGATCCTTGCTATAAAATTCTATAATAGGATCATAAACTCATATATATCCCATGCTTATTAACGTTTATACATTTTTAAATTGTTGTGTTTCCTTAGATACCTACACAGTGAAAGGAAATGACAATGGAGCACCGTGTGTATTCCCTTTTAAGTATGGTGGTAAATGGTATGCTGACTGCACAGATACTGGCAGATCAGATGGCTGGTTCTGGTGTGGAACCACTTCAGACTATGATGTTGACAAGAAGTATGGATTTTGCCCAATGAAATGTAAGTTTTGTGTTTGAGATTCTGCTGTGCTGTTATTCATCTGCCTGGAAATATGTCCATAATGTGTGCTTTAGCGTACAGAATACCGTTTGAAATGGTGCATTTTTCCGTTTCCATTTAGCCTGCTATCCTTTTAGGAATACTGAAATATGCAAATATAGGGCCCAGCATAAAAAACATTGACCAATTACATCCAGGTGGACGTGTGTTAATCATATACTGGAATCTGCACATACCCTATCTACTTAAACAGAAAGTTAATTAGCTATAAAGATGTTACATGTGTAGTATATGCCAATGGCCATGTAGAAATTTGTGCAGTGAAACTGGAAGCTAGAATACAGTATAATTGAAAATTAAAATTACTTTGTATAATGAGTTGCCCTTTAGACATGAAGGAGCTTACATGAACTTTTTACTACATCCTAGTGTTTCCCAAAACTGTTTGTTATGTTGTAACTCTCTGTTTTAACTCAATTAAAAGTATTTATTAATGTAAATTCCCTGGTTTGAGTATATTTAGAGTTTAAAACACAGTATTATGAATATACAGAACTTTATTTAGAAATGTTGATAATACTTAAGGTAAATTGGAGTAATTTGTGACTACATGTATTTGAATTCTTTTAAATTTAGATGAAGTTTCTCTGAACTTCTGTAAAATATGTAATACATGTTTTGTCTGCAAGCTGCTTCTTCTGTCGTGCTGAGAAGGGTAGCACTTCTCCCTCCCTTCTTTACTGTTGTATTTTGCTGTAAAGCTCCAGCTGACCGAGTCAGAGCTAAAGAGAAAAATATGCCTTTCCTTTCAGGTGAAGAAGACAGTTCTGGTTAATCTTAAGTGGTCTGATGATGAAGTGTTAGTGCGCTTGCCTGATTTCCAGGAATGTTGCAGTCAGAAATTCAAATGAATAAAAATTACACCTTTTTTTCCTATGTCAGTATTATTTTCAAGATAATAAAAACATGTTGGGAATATCAATCCCATTAATAAAGCAAGATTGACTTAAGAATGCTACCTGTTTAGCATTATTTGAGTACAGTAAATAGGAGGCATCATTAACTTTTGTTTAATTCTTTGGCATAATTCGAGGACATCCATTCTGAAGGCTGTGATTGTTTTTGGGAAAAGCTGCTTTATGCTGATTACTTGCATGTTTCCTTCCTGATTCTTCAGTACTGACTATAAAATATTCAGGTTTGAGTCATATATTTTAATGAGAGACAGGCCACGGTAACAGAAGTTTGAGTTATCCCTGTGAAAGGAATGAGTGAGGTATGAGTAGTAAGTTGATAAGCTTTAATGATTGCTTTAGAAGTAGAATGTTTAAGTCTGCGTATGTTAAATTTCATTTAATAGGATTAAAATTTTTGTTGTTTGTTAAACTGGGGAGCAAAGGGGCCAGTATGAAAACATGTGATGCAAACTATTGCAGCTGTTCCTACTGGGGTCTGGACTTACAGAGATATTACTGTGGCTGAACAAGTCACTTTTCACTGTGAGCAAAATCAGCTCAAGTGTTCTCCAAAATGAAGAGGGCATAAGACCATAGGTATAACACTTACTATACTCAATAGAGATATATTTCCTCAATAGATGAAATTTGATTAGTGGAAGTGACATAATTGTAAGTATGACCCACTATTTGCAGATTTAGAAAGAGATGCTGATACAGTGGCAGTAGAAACTCAAATCCCAGAGAAAGAAACTGAGAAGTGTTACAGCAAACAATTTTTAGTACCTTAGGAAATGCTACTTCCTTATAGGTTACACTATGGGGTTTTTGAGCTGTATGTTGCACTTTGAAGTAGGTGTTGGGGAAGAAAAGAGATTGCAGAGTGTAAGACCATCAGGAGAGTGAGTCAATGTGTACCTGTAGGTGTGTTCCAGTGGCCAAAAGTCCATTGAGGCCTCTTTCTTGACAGATGAAAGAGCTAGTAGCTATTGAAGGATTTAGAAAGTCTGATGCATAAAACTTGCAACTGACTATAACAGAAACAAAAAGTGCAGAGGAAAAAGACATGCTGAATTCATCTTTGTAGGGATAGGGTTAGGCTTTTAAACTAATTTTCTACTTATGTACTAAAGACAGGTGGGGTTTAACATTAATTTAGCTTAGATCCTAAAATATATTATTCCAGAAAAGTGATTCATCTTTTGGTTTCTCTGGGGGTACTAAGCTTTAAAAAATAGCATATAGATTTTCCAAAATCTTCCTCTGCAAATGCATTTGACCTCTCAAAACACAAATGCCTTAAAAATGAATTTTCCAGGATTCAGAAATTAGTTTCATTTTTATGAAAGACAAAAGTTATACAGGAGAGTACCATATGAAAATCAGCTGTAAATTATGAGACTCGAGGAATGAGCTGGAAGGTTGAATGAATGCCCATGATTTGTGTAATAATTGTAATAATTTTACTTCCTCTGTAATAATTGTACAGGATTTATAAGCCCCTTTCTATCAAGTCAGAGGCAGTTTTCTTTACTGATTTACAGTTTTTACTATTTTTGCAATATTAATTTTGTCCCAGGCTTGCGCTTATGCTCAGAGATTTATGATCTTGTAGAACATGGCATGGCAAAGAAGTTCGGATTTTGATAGTCATAAAATATTTTGGACTGAAGTTGTTTTGTAGATAGTGATAATGGGATGAAAGTTTCCATTTTTAGTGAGATGTCATTACTACAGTAGGTTTTATCTGATTTTTTTCTTAATAAAGATAATTTTAAAAGAAGCACTTCACATTACCTATAGACTATCAGATTTAATAGAGGAAAAAGTGGAGCTGGTTGCTGACCTGCTGACATTTAACATATATAATCCTTTGTCTTGAATTTTGTTTATTGTACTGTTTCCCTCTACTTGCACACTTCAGTTTTCTGAGCTCTCTGAATTCAGAAAAGACCTCTTTCTCTCAAATTAACAGATTGCAACTTGAGAAAGTGATAGAGGCTGCAGGAATTTCAGTTGTTTTCTCGTTGTCATCAGACATACAGTGACCTCTGTGGTGTTTTGCTTTTGTCATACAACATTATTCTCTTTATGTGATATTTAGCTCAGTGTTGAGGCTTCCTGTAGGTTCCATTTTTGGCAGAGCAAGATCATGGTTCTTTTCTGTTGCTTGGTTGTGGAGATTCCATTGAAATAAGCCAAGAGAGACTGCAGCAATGTGAGGAGTGTGGTACCTTCTGGGGCCACGTCTAATGTTGGGCCCTATTGGATGACGCTTTCACTGCTTTGGCATTGCCTAAATGTGCCAAGTGCAAATATTCAAGGAGGTCACAGTCAGACTATGTGGCAGAGAAGAAAGTCACGGTATGTCAGACACATGCATAAGAAATCAGGAATTGCAGAGACGTGTGAGATGGATGCTGATAACGTCAGCTTTGCATTCAGTTCTTGGTCTGATCATCTCTGTCACAGTAAGAAAATCCATAGCCACTCTACATAGTACCCCAAATCAGTAAAAAAAAATTGGGGTTTCTTATCTCAGAAAAGTGGTCAGCTTGATATACATGTGATCTAGCATCAGTCTTTTTCTCCATGTTGACAAATCAACTATTTTAGTATGACTTTGGCCACTCGTTTACCTTAAGCAGCAGCTTTGTTACAGCACTTGTTTCATTCCCCATATACTGCCCAACATTGCTGTCATGGTTTAGCTCTGCCCTGGGTCTACTGACACCCGAGAGAGCTCAGGATTCCTTTCAAACCAGTTGTCTATGGCTCTGTTTATGTTTTGTGTATTTTTGCTATGCAGTTTTTTTCTATATTGTGTCTGGCTTCATCTTCATGGCAAGTTACAGCATTTCTTTTTCTCCCTACAGTTAATAGCATTAGTTTGTGGAACACAGATTCTTTAACAAACGTCCAGTACCAGATAAACTCTGAGGCAGCTCTGACATGGCACCAAGCAAGAAAAAGCTGTCAACAACAGAAGGCAGAGTTGTTAAGCATCACAGAATTACACGAACAAACATACTTGACAGGTAGGGTAATATTATCCAGCAGGTTTTTTTAAAAGTGTATTATTGTGACAGTGACACTCATACAGCGTGTTCTATCTTGAAAATTTATGTTTGTTCAAATCTTGTAATTAGTATATATAAATTGTTATCTTGAATGATTCATCTGGGAATATAGGACAGATAATATTTTTATTATTTATTATTATTTGTAATATCCTGATAAAATATTTCCATAAACTTACAGCAACATAAAAAATACAATAATTAAGTAAAGCAAGCAATAAAGAACGAATGTTGCAATGCAGGAAAATGCAAAATAGTTTGTAAACCAAAGATGCAGGTACCAAGATTGTATTCTTTTTGTTGTGTCTACTAGTCAGCATTTTTGGACTATCTTACTAAAGCCATTACATCATCACTATGTGCTAAAATATGAAAAGAAAGGAAAAAGAACTAATAAACACAAGGACTCACAAATAGTCTCTTCTAGTTTCAATCTCCTTCAGTGTTTTTTGAAGGAATTTTCGAACGTGTCCTGTGAGAAAATTCTGAATTTGTACTTGAATATATTTACATTTCACAATGAGTCTCCTCTTTACTGTCTCCTTAGCCTCTGTATACACATGAAATAGCCCATTATTAATCTATTAAATAGATTAGAAAATATTTTGAATATGTTGCATCAGTTGAAAGATAAACTATTCTATGCCATTGCCCCTTGTCCTGTCGCTACAAGCCCGGGTAAAAAGTGTTCCTCCAGTTTTTTATAAGCTATTTTTATATATTGAAAGGCCATGATAAGGTCTCCCCAGAGCCTTCTCTTCTCCTGGCAGAACAATCCCAATCCTCTCAGCCATTCTTTACAGGAGGGATGTTCCAGCCCTCTGATGAATTATTGTGCCTCCTCTGGACTTGCTCCATGGCCTTCTTGTACCAGGGACCGCAGAGCTGGATGCAGTACTGTAAGTGGGGTCCTACCAGGGCAAAATAGAGGGGCAGGATCATCTCCCTCAAACTGCTGCCCATGCTTCTTTTGATGAAGCCCAGGGTACAATTGCCTTTCTGGGCTGTGAGTGCACATTGAAGGCTTACATTCAGCTTTTCCTCCACCAGTACTCCCAAGTCCTTCTCTGCAGGGCTGTTCTCCTTAGTTCATACTGATGTTGTGAATTTCCACGACCCACCTAGAGGACTGGGTGCTTGACCTTGTTGAAACTGAGGTTCACATGTGCCTGCTGCTCAAGCCTATGGGAGACACTCTGGTTGCCACTCTCTTCCCTCAAGTGAATCAAATGCACCACTCAGCTTGGTGTCATCTGCAAACTTGCCAAGGGTGCACCCAACCCCACTGTCTATGTGACTGATGAAGATATTCAATAATACCTGTCCCAATACAGATCACTTGTTACTATTTTCCATCTAGACGTATGGACATTGGCTATATAACTCTTTGGATGCAAACATCCAACCAATTCCTTATCCATGTAATAGTTCATCAATCAAATCCATATTTCTCCAATTTAGAGGAATGACAAATGTGCTTTTAATGCTATGAACAGTCTGTTCTTTCTAAACTTTTGTTTTCAATTTAAGGATTTGGTCAAAACATGGATCTTTTTTTTTGAGTGTGATGAAATTATTGTTGAAATTAACTCTCAAGGGAACAAACTGGCACTAACACAGGAGTGCGTTAATAGTAGGTGTGTTTTAATTGCAAACTAATAGATATGGCTGCCAAATGTACGTGAAGATCAGTTTTTCATTATGCAACTACTCTGGCAGTACCAGGATTTCCTGTCATGCTCAGTTCTTGATTGTCTTAACCACAACTTATTTGTACAGATAATGTGTTGACACCAAACCAGGCTTTCATATGACATTCCAGTGCTTTCCAGTACTTAACTACCTCTCCTTTTAAGTTTGCCAGGTTTCAAGTGCTGCCCATAATCATGGTGTCAAAGATAACTAAAAATTGCACCATCTTGTCATGATCAGTAGAAGCAGAAACAAACAATACATATTGCGTAATGATTTTTTGTGAGCTACGAAGAAACACATTTAATTCAGAAAAATCAGCAGTCCTCCAGATGGGCTTCCAAGTCTTATATGAAGGACAGAGACAGACAACTGAATAATAAATGACTATGAATAATGTTAGAGAATTCAGCATGGCCATACATAACCATGACATTCCTATATGCTTTTCAAAACTAGAGCAAAATGTTTGAATTGGTTTTTGATGCCTGACTTATTATTAGCTATAGAACTGAAATTGGATCAGTCTGAAAAGTGCACAAGATATATTGTTAAAAAGATGATGTTTGCAATCATTGCATTTTAATGTTTTTTTGATAAAATGCAAACAGGGGTTTTTTGTATACTTGAAACTCCCACTTGTTAATTTTATGGAAGAGAAAATACACACTGGGAAACTTCACATTTCATTTTAGAAAACTCATTCTTGGTTTTGTGACCTTTTGTGAAACTTTATCAATTTAATATTCTGTAATTCTGGAAAATTTTTTTTTCATGTTTGTGATCATTAGTTTAAAAGGAAAATGTAGAAAAGTCATTTTGTAATAAAATCTTCCGAACTTCAAAATGTGAAAACTCTAAAACAAAAGTGACCCTTGTAAGCTGACATATTTTACAGGTTTAGCAAAGCCTGTAAAACCTTAACTAAAATGTTAGAAGTTGTTTAAAACTTGTACTGGAGAAGAGGAGAAGCAGATGGTTTAACTAAAATTCAGCTCTCAAATATTGAGAAAGTGTTTATTCCTGCTGTAGACTTTCAGTATCTCTCTCTGTCTCTGTCACTTAGGTTTGACTCGCACACTGAGTTCAGCTCTCTGGTTTGGTCTTAACAGTTTGAATTTCAACAGTGGATGGCAATGGGTTGGTGGTGCTCCTTTTCGATACTTAAATTGGGTTCCAGGTAAGGTTAAATATGTTATTACTCAGTTTACAAATTTGGTCATTTTGTACCATATTTCTTTTCTAGCACTCTATTCCCCTCTAATTATTGAGCTTGTTTTGATTTGAAATGTGAATAATGGCCCTTATGCTAGGGATGTGCACTGGGCCTAATTTATTGTTCATGATGGAAATGGCATCCTCATAATCTAGAGGAAAATTTTAAAAGTCACCTATTGACACTTCAATTGTATATCTTCTTAATTTACTGTATTTCTATACAAATACAGAATAAATCTGATGCTATAGATGTCATGAGACATAGACTCATGAGACTAGACTGATCATGGTGGCTTATGTTTGATTGGATTTCTTTAAATTCTTCTCCAATTCGTTTTACTGAGTTTATTGCTGAGTAGTTCTGATCCTTTTTTATGTAGTATAGGGACAAGTGCTCAGAAATGAAAGAAAAAACATGTTACATTTAATAACATTAGGTCAGATCTTGAAAAGTTCATCTGATTTATTGCAGAAATTTGTTCTGTTATACAGGTTCTACTTTTCTTTGAGACGTTTGTGTTAGTGCTAATGCTAATCTTCAACTGAAAATATCCAAATATCCTGCCATTGTCGAATTGTTTAGACAAGCGGACAAGAAGTTCACATTAGCAAAATAATTACTTATTATTTTTCTTATACCAAGTGCAGAATTTGACTGGCTTACTGAACAGTTTTTTCACCTAAAGACTGTCCTCTGGAGTTTAGGCATTCTCCATTTAGAAATGAAAATAAATCCATGCACTGTAATACCTTCCGTCAAGGCTTTGGACATGTGAAGATGCTGTTAAATTGTGAATTTCCAGCTTGTGGTTGATGTGAAAAAATTCTCTTAAGGGAATGAACTTCCCCCTTCAGTCTAAAGGACTGTGGAGAATCACAATTACCTGTATGTTAATGTATCTTACATTTAAAGCCTGGACCAGAATAAATGTGAGTGTTGGGAGGGTAACTGTCCTTTGCTTATACTTTTTTGTTGTTATTGAGATTTGTGTTGTTGGTTTGGTTTTTTTTAAGGCCATCCTTCTCCAGAACCTGGAAGAATCTGTGGTGCATTAAATCCGGGGAAAGGTGCTAAGTGGGAGAACTGGGAATGTGATCGGAAACTTGGCTATATTTGTAAACGAGGAAATGCTACTTTAGAGTCTTTCATTATTCCTACAGGTAGGTTTGGTAATAAATCATTAACAAATTATTAATGACCAGTGGTTTTTACCTGTAATCGGAATAGGTGTTATTGCATGTGGTAAACTAAACAAAGGACTCTGTGGACTGTGGTTTGATCAAAATTTTCTGTAAAAGTGAACAGTGTGTACTTTCTTTTTGCTCTGTCCTCCCTATTTCCTAGGTAATCTTTCTTCAGAAGTCTTGAGTTCCAAATTGCAAAACTGTGGAATTCTCTTTTCCAAAATGAAGCAGAACTGTCAGATTTTGTGTATAAATAAAAAAAAAAAATTTTTAAAAGCAGTGGAATTATCTGAAGCCAAATGTATACAATAAAACAAATCCAGTTCTTCTTCCTGTAATTTTTACTACTTATGAAAGTAAGTTTGTCAGTGCAAGCCAGTAGTGGACTGAAGAATTTCTTTAAAATTCTTTTGAGAGTTACATTGTTTTAATATATCTATGTGTCTTAAAATAGAGATAAATATTTATATAGAAATATTTATTTGTACACATACAAAATTTTTAAAATTCTTTATGAAATTATTTAAATGGTATATGTACAGACACTTTTTCAGAAAAATGTAATTCTGACACATGCCTAATGTACATAGGAAAGACAGAACAGGGATAAGATTTATAAATACATTTCCTTATTATCTCTTTGTGTATTATAAACCCCTTGTAACTTACTCTTTTGTTTCATCACTCCTTTATTCTGCTCTTTTCAAGTTTCTTTCTTTTTCTGTCTGTCTTAGATACACTGATATAATTTTGCATGGGTTTTAGAAGCAGAAAGCTAAACCAATATTAGATTTCCAGTTCATTTATTAATATGCATCATAATTGGCAAAACAGATGTTTTGGAAAATCAGTGTTTGACATTTGGCTTAGTAAACAGTTGGGTTTTTAAAAATATTTTTCCTGCTTTTGTCAATACAGGAACAGTCCACTCAAAAACACTTAGGAAAGAGGATTCTGCCTAATTTGTTTTGCTTTATTGATAAGAGAAAAACCAACAAGATTGAGATACTGTCTTGTTAATTAAATACTGAAATAACTATTTAAAATTTAATTGTAATTAAGCATATTTTTTTGCCTTAGTTGAGAAAGACTTCAATGCATATTTTAATTACTTTTGAAATTAAGGTGTAAAGTTTAGTCCAGGATTTGTATACAAGTGATACCAAAATAGTTTAATTTATATAGGTTGTCTTAGGTCGTTCAGCTGGCTACTGCTTGTCTTTTCAGGTTTCATACATCAGTTCTTAAACACTGATGCCTATAAATATACTATCAATTCAATACTGACCGCTATATTATTTAGATTTTAATTTAGTTTTGGAGAGGGTCTAATGGCCTTTCTTTTACATTGGCTTTTGATTCTCCTCCTGTCTCCACCCTGCAGTTTGCCAGTAATTTGGAGGAAGAGACAGAAGTTTTCAATTGAACAGAAATTGCTGAGCAAACATGGTGACAGATTAAGCAGACGTTGGCAGTCGTTCATTTCATAAAATATTTTCCAGAATGTCCCATGGGGGGAAGTCATAAAAGGAGTAAGCATGGGATCATGCAAGATGTTAAGTGCCCTTAGCTTCCAAAAATGTAAAGGAAAACCCATGTCAGATTACGTTTTCCTGACCACGACTCCTGGGTCAGGAAATGAATTAATTGCAAATTCATACATGCTTAGTTGTTCACTTGACAATAAACAAAGACAACCCTTTGAAATTTTAACCCTAGAAGTTACAATTGAGTCTGACAGGGCAGTATATGAGGTCTGTGGGACAGAGAAATACTTTACAACAGAATATAGTCTTGCTTGTTTAAAAAAGAAGTCGAGAAAAATTTTTACAAAACTTTTTTTTTCATTACAGAAGTATTTTCACAAAGCCAACAGCTTCATTTTTTAATTTTTTTTTTTATTTGCAGCACAAGTATTTTTTTCCAGCAGGGGGCCACATCATTTTGTACATCGAAGTGATGTAGAATCTTAGGACTACAAAACATTTGCCCTGTAACACAGCAAACTAGATTAATAAAAACTATTAATAGTATTATTAATATTAAACAACAATTTCAACTGCCAAACATGCATATTTTTTAACTTTATTTTCTAAGGAAAGGCTTTCTGTCTGTCTACATCCACCAAGTGACTGCCAAAATAGATTTAATTCCAAGCCAACAAGGTGTAGTGATCTTAAAGTATTGTTTCCAAATGTTTAATTAATCATTCAATTAGAGGAAATTAATTCTTTTACTGTTAGTTTTGTGACTGCTGTGTGATCTCTGTCTTATCAGTCCACAGAGGATGGGTTTGAGAAAGAAGTTTGAATGTCTGAATCATGAGACCAACTTCAGCTAGTGCTTTCACACTTCTAGACATACAGGTCAATCATTGAGATTTTCAGACCTCAGAAAGTCAAGGTTATATTTTACAAAAGTATTTGCTCTCTATTTGAGGAATAACCATTCCAGACTTATGGACCAATAAATTCATCAGCTTGACATTTGGAATAATATTTTTTACTCATTAATGTAATTTAATTTGTTACATCTTATTTGTTGTAGTTTGCATTGCTTCTTTTGCTTAAATTAAATGAGATTCAGGGAGTAATGCTTGTTTGCATTAGGATGAAAAGTAGACTATGAGGCTTCGAAACGTCATGTATTTTCTTTAAAAGTAGAATAGGGAAGAACAGAGTTAATTTTTGCTGAGTAGTGGAAATGAAGAACTGAAGAGCTTCTCTTACTAAGAAATCCCCAGCAATGTAATTCAATAAGACTTACACCACAGAAATGAGACCATCGACTGCTTTTCTTGTTTTGTGGCCTGCAATCAATTCCATGGTGTTACTGGGTCTACAAGCAAAAGCTTTTTCCTGCTCTTCCATAGTTGCTTTAGAGTTTACAGTAATACTCTCAATCTCCAGTGGCTTGAAAAAGAGATGCTCAGGAATCCCTCAGGAATAGATACCTCTGTGACTCTCTATAGCCATGTCCGAACCACTGACTTTTCTTCTATCCAGCGTTAGCAGTTTGCAGGAGGTTGTGCTGAGTGTGTTGGAGGTGCATATTCTCTGACTTACAGCAAAGCACTATAAAATGCATATGCTCAGAGCTGAGACCGGGCATAGGACAAATTAGGCAGCTGTCTGAAGCATCAGACCAACCTCTGTAACAGCATTTGCCTCCTCTGTGCTCTCTTGTTTCTCCCAACATCACCATGTACATCCAGTTCGTTTTTCTGGGGTACCCTCACTCTCTGTTCCACTTCTTTCTCTCCTTTGGCAGAACTGAGGGCTTTGACCAGAGCACTGAGCAATTTGTCCTGGGGGACAAAAAGTTTGTTTTTACTTAAACTTTGTGAGAACATACTAGCACTTTTTAGAGGCAGATGTGAAACAGCAGACAGAGTTTCTATTAGAAACGTGTGTTGTGACACTAAGTATTGGTTAATCATCAGCATATTGCAGTTGAAACAGCATATGAACATGTAACCTGGCCTGACTGGTCATGACTTCAGATTCCTATTTAAATATTTCTACAGAATATACTCCCCCTGTTATACACAAACACATTGCTTCTCCTTCTAGTTTTTTTGGCAGCAGAATTTTTGAAAACCTGCTGTCCTTTTTCTACTCTATATATTGGTGTTTTGCTAAACCCATCTGCTCATTATAAGTAAAGAGATGCAAGGCTCAGAATTTGTTTCTACAACAGCAATACTCTGTTTATTATATATTCTGGCAGCACTCCTGCCAAGGCTGAATTGTTTGCTGAACAGCATGTGTTTGTTGGCAATACTCTGGTGTTGTTCTGCTGAACTTCTAAAAGCAAGTTTTAAGCATAAATAATTTACTTTGACAGTATAATTTTCTCAATGAATCTTCTGAAAAGGACTCCTAAAAGTAGTGTTCTTATTTGGGTTCTCTTGTGATTCTGTAGAATCAGTTATTTCTTGTTTCCTAGTCTAGCAAATGGGGCTAATCGATAAAACACCTAAGTTTTGGGGAAAAAAATAACCCTCATAAATATGTATTGCAAACCCAGGTTTTTAACAGATAGCTATACAACACAGAGGTTGAAGAGAGATGGTGGCATGAATGTAGAAAAATTATAAAGCACTGCTCTGCAGACCTTACATTTTAGTATGTATATACGCATGCTCATAAAAGTCAAAACTGCTTTAACTATCTTTTTGCAAGTTACAAGCACTTGTTTGAAACTGTAGTGTTCTTTAAAAACAATCTGGAAGTTTCAATTTTTAATTACTCATGCAGATTATTATCCCTGCACATATTTGTCATCTCTGCTGTTGTTCATGAAGAAAATATATGATTAAATTTTTTTGTTAAATATTTCCTTACACGGTGTTTAGTCTTGAGTTAAGAATAGAATTCTAAAATTCTTCATGGCAATTTTCCTTTTCAGAAACTAATGTGCCTATTAGGTGTCCCGATCAATGGATGTCATATGCTGGTCACTGTTACATAATTCACAGAGAGCCCAAAATATGGAAAGATGCCTTAACATCTTGCAGAAAAGAGGATGGAGATCTGGCGAGCATCCATAATGTTGAGGAATACAGCTTTGTTATTTCTCAGCTTGGGTACCGTGAGTATTTTTTCATAATAACATACACATATATATCTATATATATTTATACTAAGTAAAGAAAGTGTTTTGAATATGTCTTACCTGTTATTAAAATGAAGAGACTGTTTTAAAAAAATAATTGTCCTGATCACAGGGTGCAGAAGGAGTTAAGTTTAAAAAATCATTGTAAGAAAAAACACAGTAAGAGCACAAAACCCAAACAGGCTTTACCATCACAGAAAAGCTGTGGTCAATGATGTGACTTGCATAATCCCCAAACTCCTATTTCTTAGCGTCTGGTTCTGCCTCTGTTTGTACAGATTAAAAAACTTTAAACTTTTTCAGAAGCTGAAAGGATTTTTGCAATTGATTTGCAAAAATAAATGCGGGGAAGCAAAGTCTCTTGGTCAAAGACAGTTTGGGAAGAACAGGGTCCCATTTCCAGCACTGCCATGTCCCTACTTTTCAAATAACAGTGTTTGTGTTTCTTCTGAGAAAGGAGGCTTTGTGTCCCACTACATGGTTTCAGATGTGCCCCACATTAAGTATAGTACTTGTGTGCTCGCTTTCTGAGCACACATTTGAGCTGTTGCAAGGCAAGTTAGACTACAGATGCCATGTGTTCACCAGGGAAAATGCAACCATGCTGACACTGAGGCACTTTTATGGTTGCTATTGCTTCACATGAACCTGCTTTTGCATGTAGGGTCAGTTACTGCTTTTGAATGGGAGGAGCATGTTCACGCCTTTGAATGCTTCTCTGCAACAACTGATCCTATGTGTGCTTTTAGTGCCACGTAAGAGTGACTTAGTTTATCCTTCACTCAAGGTGCAGCAATCTGCTTTGGGCTCCAGTGCGACAGCAGTCTTGGACTGGCAATCCTAAAATAGCTGATGTGCTTTGCTTTTGTATCCTAGCCAACTCCATGGCAACCTGTGCTTATCTTCACATTCCTGAAAGAGTGATTTGTTGTTCTTTAATGAACAATATGAAACTTTCTTTCGAAACAGATTATTAGGAAAGGTGGGGCCTCTTGATGAGACCTTAGGACATTTGAAAGAAATTAGGTTCTAAAGGACATTAGTTGTATTTTCTCACTACATCTTGGAAGTGGATTATTTCATAGTTTAATGCCTTTTACAGAAGGACCTTTCCTGAACTGTTTTTGTAGAAGTAAGTGTTTCTCAAAGGCAAATAGTCCTGAAGGAAACCAGGCTTCTCACATATGGCACACTAGCTGCAACAGACTGAAAGCATTCTTTTCAGAGGAGTAAAACTGGAACAACTGAAGAAGCCTTTTACAGTAGTTTATGACAGTATCAGATCACCCTTGTTCACACTGATGGGAGAAAACATATTGCAGTGCCTGGAAAATCTTGTCTGCATCAGAACTCTGCTGCAATAAGTGCTGTACAGAAAGAACAGAAGTCTATCTTTGGGCCAAACAGTTCTCAATCCCATCATAAAACAAAGGAAGAAGGGGCACATTGAGATGAGTATTGTCATGGTAGCTGAGCTTTTGTTGTCATGACCCACAAAGGAGAACTTTAGAGAGGAACATGAAGAATAAAGAAGTGCATTCTGGATGTTTACACGGAAGTCCAGCATGTGATATGGCACAAACGTGGTGATGTGCATGACTGAGAATGGGAAGCAGTTTTACAAATGGCTGGAAAAAAAAAATCTTGGTGTTTAGTCAGCCAGCTGTAGACATGATTGCAAAAAACCAGCAGTTCTTCTGGTGAGGAAAAAATGCTATGTAGGAAAAGACACCACAGATTTGCATGACTTACTCAGATGACTTTGATGTAGTTATTTCATTAAAGTATGCTGTTTATTGTTTGTGTTACCTGGTATGAGCCCACCACAGTAGGAGTTCTGGGCATTGATGAGGCCTCTGCTGTGCTAAGTGCTCAATAAATACAGGCAGAAAGATTTTAAGAGATAACTAAACAAAAAATAAATTAGAGAGCTTGGAGGCAGTAGACAAGGAGGGGCTGAGAGCATGATGGGCAGTGGAATTGGAACAACTTTCAGTTGTGTGAGCAGAGGAGAGTTTAAAGGAGGGTACTAAGATGTAATTTTGGGGGACTTCTGAACATGAAGAGTAGTCTGGAAGAAGAGGCAAAGGGGCCTGTTTGAAAATGGAGCCTGATGTCCTGTGAATCTGAGCGTTCCTTGCTGCAGAATAGATGGCAAGAACATTATGGGCAAGCTAAGAGTGCTGATCATACTTACATATAATAAAGACAGAAGGGGCAAGGGAGAGAAAGAGGGAGTTGACTCTGTCCTTAAAGCGACAAGCTGGGAGGGTGGTCTTTGCAGCAGCTTGGTTCATCAAAATGGGAAGCCTCCATGTTCCAGAACTAGTAGATGGGAGAAATCAAAGGAGAGTTTTAGGTTATGGGGAAACCTCAATCTGAAATATGTTAATCAGAAAGGATTGCCTTGGGGGACAATGACTTTTAGCTTTTTTACTGCCACTTCTGTTGCTAGAGACAGCAGCAACACAAAAGCAGTGCCTGCTCCTGCAACTGATGACTTTTGGGTGGGCTTCTGTTTTTAATTTCCATGGGTGATTTCATTGTCAGGTTGACTGTGGTCAGTCTGGATAGAGTGTGTTAGAGGAAAACATACGCAAGAATGCAAGAACTTTGATAACAAACTGAACAGGAAACAGCTCTGAGTGCTGTAGATGAGTTGTAGAAATGCAAGGTCATAAGCAATGGAAAAAACTCTTAAGAAGTAGTCTCCATATCCTTTATGAAAAATATTTATAGTAATAAATTCTAGCTACCAAGTAATTAATACTTTGCTTGGAAAGACGTGCTATCTGAGGAAAGGACTGTGCATGTAGTTGCTCAGTGTGGTCTGAGTCAGAGTGCTGTGAACAAAAGGAAACAGCTGCTGCCTTTAGTATAAGCTGGATAACAGACTACAAATAAATAATAAAGTGATATTTTAGAAGACACCAATTGCACTGAACAAAATCTTTTCTAGAGAGGAATACCCTTTGATGATGATGGAGTTCAGACTGATTATAAATGTCCAAATTTTTAATCCTCCTTATTCAAATAGTTTATTCAGAACAAAACTAGGTATGAACACTACAGTAGCAATGTGTTAGTGAGGAGGATTTTAAACACAGACAAATAAACCTCTAAGAAACAGCTGCTGTGAAATAACATTCTTGATCAGTCCTGCACTTTCCTTCCAGCCAAAAAACAACTGCTAACACCTTTAACTGTGAAGTGAAAAAAGTGCAACAATTACATGAATTTAATTTTGCTCTGAAGTGAAATAAAATATAGGAACACACGTAATGGGAAAATTTGCAAGTACTCTGGTTGTCAGCTCTAACAGAAAATGCTGGGTATCTGAGCATTAGAAAATAGGACACTTCTTTCTTCTCTACACTAAAAGTAGGAGGAAAAGGGGAGGTAAAATTTTATTTGGGTCTTTATTTATGTCTTGTTGAAAGAGTTTTGAGTTGGAAAAATATTAACCTAGTTGTGTTGCGGTATAATTCAGCAAAGAATTGCTGAATTTTGGAAAATTGAAATCTGAAAAACATTTTGGCTGTTTTATGCAAAGTTAAACACTCTTACTGTATTACACTGTGGTGAGTGGCCTTTCCTGATTACTGGACTGGGTATATGAGGAACGGTTTGACATCTTTATGAAACTAAGAGCCTTAAATTCCTGTGACTGCCTTTTAAACTTCCTGAGAATACATTATTTTCTCTTCCATGAAGGTAAAAGTTCATATCATACAGAAGAACTGTTATTGCCCTTGTTAATTGTATGTTTTAGAACCAGCTGATGAGCTGTGGATTGGGTTGAATGACCTCAAGGTTCAGATGTACTTTGAATGGAGTGATGGGACACCTGTCACCTACACCAAGTGGCTTCGTGGAGAACCCACTCATGCAAACAAGAGGCAAGAGGATTGTGTTGTTATGAAGGGAAAGGTAAGGTCATATAGCTATTTACTTAACTGGCTTATAATTTCATTTATCATTTGGGCTTTTTCCTATGCAGGTGTACAAAACCAGGGATATTACTGCTTGAGGCAGCCTGTTTTAGAGTGTTAAAGGTATTACCTTTTTGAAGAAGGATCCCTGTGCAAGGTTGACAGAAAATTTCATTGCCTTCTGTGAGAAGCAGGCAGGTGATGGTAAATTCCCCCCAAGATCCCCATTTCTGGATTTCAGTTTGTGCATGTGGGCTTTTAAAGAAACTTTGTAATTATACTGTGAAGTACATGAACACGTAAATGATTTTCTTCAGAAAGCTACAAAGGCATTTTGGATATGTTTGGATTTTTTCTGCTTTGACTGAATATGGGATTTACCTTAAAAAATGACACTGGCATTGTTGATGCTGAAAATACTGTCTTTAGAAGAAAACAAAAACCTTTGTTTAATTTTTTTCTAGGTAAAGGTATAAATCTTGTGTCTAGGTGGTTTAGTTGTCCTTTTATCTGCACTGCATGTGAAGAACTGTAAGAAGAGTAGTTAGTAGGGGCATTAGTGAAAGCCTTTCTTGAGCGACTGTACCTGTGAATGTTCGATGACCATTACAGAAAGTGAGATAATACATGGTATAAAAGTCAGTCTGTCTGATGTTGCAAAATGGCAGTTTTCCTTTTTGTGATAATTAAAAATATTGAACTTAACACCTCCTTCAGGTTTACCTATTTTATCAGGAGGGAAAAATATATACTCATATCAAAGGTATTTTCTTATTATGAAAAACTAAAACTCGACAGCTGCTCTCTTTCTACACTTTTGGTGAGTGCACTTATAAATTGAAGACAAGAGGAAGTTGTAGGGGACATAGAAGAGGTAACAGGTGCAGAACTAGAAGAAAAAGGGACCACATCATCAGTTCCACGAAGGAACGAGGAAGAAAATTAGAACAGCAGCCTTGGGAGAGCAAAACCTCAGTACTATCCATGGAAGAAGCAAGCCTGTGTAGGGTACAGCAGTGAAAAAATTGTGCACTAGTCAGAAGCATGAATAAAGTTATAATCTATTAACAATTCTTCTCCGTTGTATTAGTGGGGGTGCTCTGGAGAGAAAAGTATAAATGTACATTTCTTCCATGCCAACCAGGCCATGGTGTACATGGTAATTGAACCAACAGTCTTTTAAGGGTGTGAGGATTTTTGTGCTCTGTTGTCTGTGCTATGCCAGTGGTGGCTGAGGATGTAGTAGGTGTTTTGTCTAACAGAGTAGGGTCACACAGTGGAAAGAAGCTGACTGCTCAAATGTGAGGGTCATTTAACTGAGGTTGTAAATGCAGTTGCTCCATGGACTTTTACACTTGTCAAGGCTGGAGAACTTGCTCAGGCATGGGAGGTTTGTAAAGTAGCTGGCCTTGGTGCATGTGGGCAGTGAGTAGCTAGGAGTACATACTTGAGGTTTTGTCTCATCTACCATCCTGTGCCCTTTAGCTACCTTCATCTGCTGAAAGTGCAGCATTCAGTGCAACCAGGTAACCCAGGACCATTGCTCAGAAGCAGAGTTTCTGATGGCAGGCTGGCATGCTTAATATTATGGTCAACAACCACCTGAAAATACAGGCTCAGGATGCTGGACCTTGACTTAGGGAAGGGAGAACTCTATCCTCTGTTAGACGAAGCCTTCTCTTCCTTCACCTACCAGTGCCAGTCACTACAGAAGGATCTTGAGGTCCTGCAGCACTGAATGTATATCAAGACTTGTATCAAAACCTCAGAGTCCCTTTTAATTCCATCAGCAATATATAACTGTATCTATAAGTAAAAGTAGCAGCCTTCCATTCTGCTCCTTTAGAAGAGCTGTCATCCTTTCCTTTGCATCAGCACTCAAAAGAACACAGAAACCAGGATGTAGGTTTTAGCTTAAGAAATTCCATGGAAGTTGTACTAGGTCATTATCTCTTGGAATCAGCCATCAGCTGACCAAAAAATGCATAACTATAAGTTGACCTTCCCTGTTTTTTGTTGAGGTTTGTCTACTTAAGTACATATGTTTCAATTCCTGATATCTTTTGATTCATCACTCCTTGGCTGAAGCAATCTGAAACCATCTCTTATTTTTATGGAACAAAGCCTGTCCCTGTCTACAACACCACCTTCTTTTTAAGGGAAGTGTTTGGGTTTAGTTGATGAGGAAGTAAGGGAACAGAGATATATTTGCAAAAGGCAGTTCATAAGGCCTTGGAAGAAGTCTCTAGAAATTACTGAATGAATTTCCCAGTGAAGATGCAGTTATGGGAAGGCAACAAATATGTTGCTGCAATTAGAGACTCCAAGCTTCAGAGTAAATTCTCCTCCATTGAAGAAGCCTAAAGGTTTTGAAAGTTTTGCTGATTTCTCTCAGTCTGAGATGGTCAGAGTTTTGGGAGGTTATTTGAAGTGCCTACCAGCCTAATGAGACAGAAAGATGGTAGGAGATGATGAGACGACCACCAATGGACTTACGTTCCAGTCAGCACAGGACAGACAGAAGCACCATCTTAACATCCAAGGCTTTGTTGTTGTTTTAGCCAGTATTGTTGAGCTTTGGGAGAGTCTTTACTGCAAGTGGGGTTTGTTGAGGCTCTTGAGGACTTAGTATATTGTGGCATTATTTTACATTTCAAGGGAGAGGTGGCGGGGGGGAGAAATGGTCACCAACTGCTATGATTTTACCTTTACAAAAGTGGAGTCTTTAAGGCACAGGGTAGAGAGTGTTTTGCACACAGGTTTCTCTTCCTCTCCCTGTACCTTATTTTACCTGTTCAACCAAAATATATGTAAAATGTATTAGGAACACGATATGAGGTTTCTTACTTTTTGTACGGCTCCCACTGAATGTCATTTTTTCTTTTGAGAGTTTCTACTATGAGGAGTAATAACGTTAATTCTAACTTTGACAAAAACTTTTTGCATCCATAGTTTTATATAAGTATTAACTAAGGAATGTAGTCTTCTGGTTTTGTTTTGTTTTGTTTTGTTTTTTCTTTTTCAGCTGTATTTCTGCGGAGAGAGATGATATCTCCCTTTCTTCCTGCATGCTTATTAAATCAGTAGTCTTTGTAAAGATGGTGTATTGCTGTCACCTTCAAGGGTTTACTTTTCATAATGATAAATAATAAAAAAAAATGTAAGTCAGTAGTGAATCAGTTCCAGAAGTGAAATTGAAATGAGGTTGAAATTAAGAACTGAACCTAAGTGTGGATTTTACTTCTTTTAAAGCTGTCAAAATAATTAAATGCTTAAAAGCATAGAGTATCTTTTTTGAAGATTAAGTCCCACTTTACTGTGATGTTCTGTTCTTATGTACAGGATGGATTTTGGGCAGACCATTCTTGTGAAAAAAAAATTGGTTACATCTGTAAGAGGAAACCCATGTCAGATGGTCCTTCAGAAGAGGAATCCATTGACATGGGCTGCCAGAGAGTAAGTGAAGAAAAATCTGTCTAATTTGAATAGGCTTCTGGGAATGATAAAGAGGAGAAACTGTCACCTAGATGACAGATAAAACAGGAAAAATGGGTTCTGTGTTGTCATCATCCTAAGAGTTTGCCTCCTCATTTCTGTGGCAGATGGTGTAGGTGATACATATGACTAAACCTAGTCAATGACTCTCATTTGGCTCATGATACTCCTTTTCTTTTTCCAGAACTTAAACCAAATCTCCAACCTGTTGTCCCTGCAGCAGACCATTTCTCCTTGGTTGGCATTCAAGCTTTCCTAAGGAGTTTGCCTGTACCAGCAGTTGCTCTTCAGCTCTGCCTACAATTTTCTATAAAATTATTCACAGCAGGACGAGTGTCCTTGTCTAGATACTGTTCTCAAGGCTTTGCTGTGGTCTCTGGCAGTGCTCTCTACTTTGGAGAATTTGTTAGCAGTTCCCAAGTAAAATGAATCTTTTGTGCTCCTTCTGAATTGCCAGCAGATCTATTGTTTACTTGGCAATGCTCACCTTGTGGTGATGTAACACTCAGTAATTCCAAAAAAAATGACTGTAATTTGTTATGTAATAGAAAATACTACTGAGCGTTTGTTTTCCTTGAAGAAATTGTCTTTTCTCCCAATTCTGCTGCACAGTTTCAGAGGAAGTCTTTGACGAATATTCTCAGTATTTGTAAAAGAGTACCTGAAATCCTTACAAATATTCAACTAGTGGAGACAATAAAGGTTCCTAATGCTTCTGGATGTTATCCTTGCCTACAGAACTATGTGCACACTCTTAGAAAAAAGTCTCTCATGACTGAGAAGTTGAAAACCATCAGAAGAAAATTTGTGTGAATTGAGGCTGGTCGCAGCAAACTCCTCTTCTGAAAGCATGTTCCCAGTAAAAGACATTTGAATGATAAAGCATTAGGAGAGAGTGTTAATGTTAGTTAACAATAAACAAGCTTGTTTGAGGTGTCATTCCCTTTCTGAAAAGCCAAGCTTAAATTTGCTTCTCTAGACTATGCTCATGATTGCACAATGCCTCTGTGCTAGTTATAATCCCATACTGAACACAAAATGTGCACAACAACACCTCTCATGCATTTGTTAGTGGAATGTACTGATTCATTCGATGTGAAAACTTGTTTGAAACAAAATTTTAAAAAAACTTTGATCCTACCTGTTTCCACTCTGATTTTTTCAGTTCCATTTTTCCTTTCTCTAATGGTTAGCTAACAGTGGTATGAATCCGTTTTTTCTCTTGTTGGTTTCATTTCTTTGTTTCCTTTCCCCTTTCCTTTGCTTTCACTGCAGCATATGTGATCACTTCACATTTATTTTGACAGGGGTGGAAAAGACATGGTTTTTATTGTTACTTCATTGGAAATACATTTGTATCATTTTCTCAAGCAAATCAGACCTGTAGAAGGCATCAGGCTTTTTTAGCAACTATTGAAGACAGGTATGTAAAAGACTATTTGTATGAGGGGATCACATGAGAATTCAACACCTGCATATCAAAATAAAGACTGATCTGGACAAAAATCTAGCTTAAGAGGACAGCTATCTGTAGATACAGACCTTCTCACAGTTTTTGCATGTATATTCAAATCCAGATATCCAGTTTATAGTAAAAGTAGATCATGGCTGTGAAATCAGTATTGATACAGATGGTTATGTCAATGAAAAAAATAGAATTATGTTTTCTACTTCCTTAATTGTAGTGGCTTACTTGAATGAAGGATACAGAATCTAATTTTAATTATTAAATGAAGAGGCATGGCTCTGAATTCCATTCAAAAGGTAGTTCAAATAAGCAGGGGATATAATTTTTAGCTACCTGGTCTTCTCAAAATTGAACTAATTTTAAACAATTAAATGAGAAACCAAATGATGATGAAAGTCCCTGGTACCTGAAAATCCATCAGAATTCAGCTGGGGCTCAGTATGTGCTGAATTTCTGAACAACTGGTGCACACTATTGAATGTGGAATACTGGAAAAATGAAACGGTTAAGAAAGAGCTTATTTTCCTTGCAATTGACTTGATGCTTTATGCATTCCCTTATTTGTTTCTATATAGTCTACACAGGTATGTTCTAGTGTGAAAGCTCCAGCTGTCACAAATAACAACTCTCTAAGTGTAGGTAGCACTGCAGCTTCCATAAAAATGGTTTGACATTAATGTGGTCTTCAGACTACACCTTATTAAGGGGAGACTTTCATTTGCTTTGATTTCTTAAGAGTTGTTTGTGTAAACAGTATAATAAACTATGACAGGCTTTACCTCTACATAGTTTCATTGCCCAAATGTAACCTTTCTTGCGTGATTATTGGATCTAATTTACAGTGTTCCTTAGTTTGATAATTTAGTTTCATACTACTCTACTCTACTTTTATCATTAATGCTGAGATTCCTTTTCCAGTTTTGGATTTGCCTGAAGCAAGAAGTTGTTAAAATACAGTGGTATAGCATTTAAGGCATGTCAGGTTTCTTCTTTCCCACTGATTTCATGTCAGTCCATGATTATACCACCTTCTTCATTGGACATCCAAAGAGAAGGTAGAATATTGGTATTGAAGCTGACAAAATATCTATTACGTAATGATTTTGTTATATGCTTTGCCCAAGTAAATCCATGCAAGCTATGCTTTCAAAAAGGTACAGAAGTAATTCTGAGAAAAGTCCAAGCCTTTTACAACTTTAAAAAATAAATTTAATTTTATTACTTTAACAATTGTTTTCTTTTTAAAAGATATGAGCAAGCTTATCTGACTAGCCTGGTTGGGCTGAGAACAGAAAGATACTTTTGGATTGGACTTTCAGATGTAGAAGAAAAGGGAACGTTCAAGTGGACTAATGGTGAATCTGTCTTATTTACACACTGGAATTCTGAAATGCCTGGTAGGTATGGCTCTATACTGTTTAAGTGCCCATAATACATAGCTCACTATTTGAATTTCTTTACTTCATTCTTAGCCCTCTTGGTGGCATAATGATTTACTGCTTTCAAATATGTGTGGCTGCTTTCTACAAGAATCCAGTGTTGTTGCTAAGTTTCTGCTTAGTGCTGAAATGCGTTTTTAATATAAGCTTGGGAACTTAATTGAAATCAAGTTTCTCATTTGGTCTGGGAAAGTCTGTGTCTGTACTACTCAGAAAGAACAATCTCTGCATGCATAATTGCACCCTGCTTACAAATCCTGCCTGTTCAACCATATCTCAGAGTGCATTTGCTCACTGAGGTGTGTGAGATAACAGCATGCATGAAGCACTTCTGGTCCTAGACAAAATGGGACTGTAGGGAAATACAAGAGGACCAAAATACAGGGATGGGAGAGCATTTAATCTCTAACATGATTTGATGTGAGGCACAATTCCGTATCTCAGACATGGTTGAATCACATATTTCTTTGTCTTTTTTTTTCCCTTCATTAATTAGACCCATAGAATGGTTTGTGTTGGAAGAAACATTTAAAGACCACCTAGTACCCACTCCCTGTCAAAGATACCTTCCACTAGACCAGGTTGCTCAAAGCCTTCTTCAACTTGGCCTTGGATACTTCCAGGGATGGGGAATCCACAACTCTGGGCAACCTATTCCAGTGTCTCACCACATTCATAATAAAAAATTCCTTCATTTTGCCCAATCTAAACCTACCCCTTTTCATTTTAAAATGGTTGCCCCTTGTTCTGTCACTGCAGGCTCTGGTAAGAAGTCTTTCTTACCCCATGTTAATGTCTGACTGGAACCTTCTCTTCTCCAGGTTGAACAACCCTACTCCTTAAGCCTCTCTTCATAGGAGAGCTGTTCTAGCCCTCTAATGATTTTCATGACCATCCTGTGGACCTGTTCTAACATCAGAAACATTTTTGACACTGTACAAAGACTTTATTTCTTTCAGAATAGAATATGAAATTTTCTAAATTCTTATGACTGCCTAAATGTTGGTTTTGTGCATTCTTGTTTACAACCAGGAAGAAAACCAGGCTGCGTTGCCATGAGGACTGGAATTGCAGGGGGATTATGGGATGTAATAAAATGTGAAGAAAAGGCAAAGTTCCTATGTAAAGTGTGGGCAGAAGGAGTGACACTACCCCCGGTTCCTCCAACAACTCCTATTCCCCGGTGTCCAGAAGGCTGGGACACAAACAATCGTATTAACTTTTGTTTCAAAGTAAGTATGTTGATTACTTCTTCATTAAGGTAGTTTTTATTTGCTGCACATACACACAATAAATATTGATATACGTATGTCCTATTGTTTCATAATCCTATTTACATGTAGAAACCTTCTCCCTTTCTACTGAAGTGCTCATGTTTTTGTTTATTCTCTTAAAGACCGAACTTAGGGTTTGAACTTCTGTTCTTATTTTTCCATTCTTTTAAGATTAAAAGTACCTTTCTCCTAGTTGTTGTCTTGCAGTAGATATTCCTGTCAGCAGTGCAGTTTGCTAGCTTGGCTTAAAGGCAGTCATTCTAAGCCTGTGTTTCACAGAGGTGAACACTCCCAAACCCTATATTCAAAGTTTCTGTAATCCCCACAGAACACGGTAATTGTAAATTAATTCTTTTTGTGTAGCTGATATTTCTTGATCTTTTGATCTGTATGGTCTATTTTGTCTGACTGCAAAGTGCTCTCTTTAGCCTTTTTCAAGAGCAGACCAAAGAAAAACATGGTTTGAATCACAAGAGTTTTGTCGAGCTATAGGAGGAGATCTGGCCTCCATTAACGGTAAAGAAGAGCAATATGTGATATGGCGTTCCATTGCGTGAGTACCTGTCGTGTGATCATCCGCTCGCTTTAATTAGCCTTTCTGAAATATTTAATTTTAGCTGCATGTTTTTACTTCAGTATAAGCCAGTCTGGATTCGTTACCTGTGTCTGTATCAAACACATAGCAAAAAAGCAGAGCTGATGAAATCCCAGGAGTTGTATGACTAGTGACAATCACCTCAAAAGCTAATGCTGAAATGAGATTGAGAAGATATATCTATTTAAGGCAACATTTATCATCTGAAATAAAATTATTTACTGCAGAGTTGGGGATGTTATAGAATTAACACAGATGCCAGTTTGTTTTCATGTAAATAAGTGTACGGTTATGGGAGTATTCATAATATAAATCTGGACAATATGCAGATTTTTTTGTCATTTCTATGAGCTAAGCAGGAAGCAGAAGCAACTTCGGATTTTTTTTTTTTCTACATAGAGAGTGTAAATAAGGTTAATAAGACCCTAAACTACAAAAAGCAGGTGTGACATTTCTGAATGAGATGAAATACTCCTAAAAAGCTAACACTTGCAATATGACCTGAATAGACCAGGCTCAATGATTTTGTACATCCCTGACTAAAGGAAGCAAGCCTGAAACGTGGTGTCCCTGCAAAATGCTGTGACCATACCAGAATCTCAGCTCTGTACTTTTTGTTTGAAAACTGTTAAGAGCCATTACAGAGAAAATGGAGAGTTGATCAAAAGTAGGAAATAAACAATTACGAAAAAGTATTATACACTTTATTTAAAGGAATTGGATTGGATCTGGTAATTTCCTTGATCCATATTTCAATCTGTCTGAGTAAATGTTGTTATTGTTTCTAACAGCCTTAAGGACTATTTTTAGATAAGCTCTCTTAACTGTTGTAAATTACAGATTATTAAAAATATTGTAAATGCCCTGATTAGTATTGTGTTTATGTTTAAACTTCTTATAAACGGGACATTTATTACTATGATGTGTTTTTTTAAAGGAAAAGTTCTTATTACCACGAGACTTTCTGGATAGGTTTATATTACTTGAATCCTGATGATGGCTTTTCTTGGAGTGATGGGTCTCCAGTGAGTAATTTAATTTTCCACAGCTGTTATTCTGCATCCCCTAAGCTTCTCAGTTGTGTGTGGTATATGTGTTTCTGTGTAATTTTCTGCTTAATCATAACCCTCTACTGTATTGTGCTCTCTTTAAGAAAGCTACTGAATAGAAATTTGATGGCTTGATTTTTTTGGCTAAAATACTGATTTTTTATAAGAAAATATGCATTAAATCAACAAGAAAACTAAATACATGTAAACTAAAAGGATGTTCTTATAAATGCAAGGATTTTTTGAGTAAAATAGTCTATCTTTAGTATTTATTTTCTGTGCTAATTATCTGAAATATCCTACATTCCATGGAGCTGAAGGCAGTTTTTTTAATGCCAGTGTGACTATTGTACTTTAAACTAAGATACAAAACTGTTGAAACAAAAGTGATTTTGGGGATCTGGGTGTAATTCATGCAGGGCTGGTCAGGATATATTGATGGAAATTTGCAAGACAGAAAACTAGAATTGGATTTTACATAGGAAAATTAGAAGAGCAGTAATACTCTTCTGAGAAAAATGCCAACATTTTTGTTGTGTGTGAATACTATCCTACTATTTTATTCTTATTGCATATTTAGTTAGTTTAATATCTACGTATAGCATGCCCCATCATTGGTATTAAATAAATTTTACAGAATTTATGTCTGCAAAAAAAGTCAATATTCTTCCAAGTGTGAACAGAAACAACTATTATCTAAGCTGCAGTCCAGTTGCAACCTGAAAAAAAGTTTGGGATGTTAGCAGTTGCACAGGGAGACTCAGGTTTCCTCTTGTCTAAGTCTTTAAACTGACAGTAGGAACAAGTTGTAGGTCTGTGGTTTGATGTTGTCTCTGTCTGTTATTTTATCTCCATATAGCATAATCTTCACAAAAACTTTTCTGTCGTAGGTGAGGTATGAAAACTGGGGCTTTGGAGAACCCAATAATTATCAAGGAATTGAACTTTGTACAGAGGTCAATGGTGATTCCAGAATGCGTTGGAATGACAGGCACTGCGATTATCTGTACGGGTGGATTTGCCAGATAAGAAAAGGTACGGTTTACTTCTGTGTAATAAAAAGAGATTCTCAGTTGATTTTTTTCCCCCTAACTTTTAAGAAATAAAAACCTTCAAAGAAATTTTCATAAGATTCTCTTATAAATTCTCTTCATAAGAATTCTCTTCTGTGGAATGCGAAATAACTAAGTGGCAGAAGGATTTTCCTGTCTTTGAGGCATTTAAAGATGGAGAGCCTTTGGTGCCCTGCTGTGACTGCTCAGTGAATTTTATGAATTCGGAAAGGGTTATGGGATGCTTCAAAAATAAGGAATGTTACTTTGAATATTCACATTCACATTTGATATTTCATTTAGAGAAGCTTGTGCCTTTTCTAACAAATCCTATTATGGATTTTTTTTCCTTAGTTGAGTTTCAAGATATTAGAAAATAGTTCGCAAATCACTTCCCATAGTCGATACTTCCTATTTTATTTTATATTATATTGTCAATAATCTAGTGCAACATCTTGATTTTGCTCCTCCCCTTCCCAGCACAAGAATGCAGTAAAATATAATATAAAATTACATTATATAAATATAAAATAATTAAATAATATTTTAATTAAAATATTAATTTTTAATATATGTTTAATTGCTAAATTCTCTTGAGATGTGGGTTTGGATGCTTCTTATTTACTGAAGACATCAAGAAAAAGTTTATAATTCAGGAAAATCTTGAGTTGCCCTAGCAGTGCGTCTACCTAAATTTATAAGAAAACAGGAATCAGGAGATACAACTATCGTAACAAAGTTAATGCTTTGGGACATAAGGTTTACTGCATGCAATGAATTAAAAAAAATATTAATTTCAGGTAAAGTTCAAGATACTTATAATACCTTGCACATAAAGAATAACCTCAGGGAACAAGATTATGTATTTAAAACTGATTAATATACTAAAAATAAGAGATTTAGTCTATTTAGTTCCCTTACTTTTTGGTATTAAACGCATTGCTAACCATAAAAATCAATTAAATGTATTGGAACATGCCTATCTGTCATAAGAAGTATTTTCTCTTACAGCACAAAGTGTACAATCATAATAAATATCTTTTTCTTACAGGGGCAAGTGTAAAGCCTGAACCAACAGAATCTCCTGCACCTGGTAGGTGTTACTGGTATTGCTATCTCTGTGTGTGTGTGTGTGTGTGTGTGTGTTTAAAAGTACTTTAAAAATTTTACTAAGGAGTATGTCTTGTATCTCAGGAACAATACAGTTAGCTTGGCAATTGTCTTACAGAATACCAGACTACTGAGGATGGATGGATTGTACATGAAGACAGGCAATACTACTTCAGCAATGAGACTGCTCCTATGGAAAAAGGTCGGGAGTTCTGCAAAAAGAGCTTTGGAGACCTTGTTGTCATCGAGACTGAAAGTGAAAGAAAGTTCCTCTGGCGATATGTAAGAAAAATCATTAATACTATGGAATATCCAAAACAAGGGAGCAGGGGCAGAAATCCACTTCACCATGGTGTTCTCCCTACAAGTGTTGATAGTGAAATTGCAGTAACACTAAACCAGATTAGTATGAGGAACAAACTCAAGTCAAATTTTTCATAGCTGAGATGAGGACAGTTTTAGTTTAGTTTTTTTTTTTTTTAATATAGAAATGAGCACAGTAAGCATTAAATAAATCATCATCTGCTTTCCCTATTCAGTGTGCTGTTTACATCATGTTATATCTACTGCAGCTCTTAATGTGCTGAGGTAAATACTAATGCTTACTTTTAATGGATCTGTGGCTTCATTTTAGCAAAAAGTATTGCCCTGGTGAGCTATGATTCTATAAGGTGGGTGAGTTAACCAGGGTAAAGTTTATCAGCAGATGTAAACACATGATAGTGTAAGTAGTGGATCAAACCAGCAACTGACTTACATTCAACACTCAGAACATTGACTGTAGGTCTTGTCTGTATATCTGGGATATAATCTATCCGCAGCCTCTTTTTGATCCTAAAGTTTGCTCCTTTGCTGCCTTCTTCTTATTGGGAGAATATAATTGTGTAGAAAGAACAAAATGAGGCATTGATTATGCTATGAGAAAGAGCTATGAAACTATATTTCCTATATCTCTGAGTTGGTTGCCTATTACACTGTCTTGAAGCCAACTTCTTTTTAATCAGAAATGGGCTTAAAAGTCATATTCAAGCTACACAGAACATTTCCTGAGCTCACAGAAGAGTGACAGGAGACAACACAAGGGCCTATATCAATTTATATCCAAATTTAGGAAAGCTTGTCCCTTAAAAGAAATTCGTCAGATTATTTCCACTGCAGAGACTTTGCAAGATGTGCTGATTTCAGTGGCTTTCAAGTAGAATTGTGAGAAATGTTGATACAATGACCATACCTTTTGGCCAGTGGTGAAGTTTTGACTGTGGACTGTCAGCTTGAGCTGCTTTAACTTAAATATTGTAGCTAGATAATGTAGCAGTTTATATCCTTTGTAAGTCAGAGGTATATTACTAATTATTAACATAATAGATTCCTATGACAAAACGGGACATTTATACAGTTTTAATCCTTATATTCTAGATATTGAAAAATGGCAGAAAAGATGCATATTTCATTGGTTTACAACTGAGTATTGACCAACGTACAAGGTAGGTATGATCAAAGTTTTGAGCCTTAATTTAAGCACAGTTGTTTTCTCAAGAGGTTTAATTCCATGTTAATGTAACTCTATATTATCCAGGAGAAATGCTTCATGTTTCCCATATAGAATTCACCCAAAACTAGCAGAAAAATTACACAGCAGTTAATGTATTTTGAATTTTTATTCAGGAATTCTAGTTTCTTTTACTCTGTGGTTTATATTGAAAACATAAATAGATGCCCTAACTGTAAATATATAAGACTTCTGGCAGCTAAAAACATTCTTTCCACCCATCCTTAACTGTTGACAACAGACTGCAACAAAGGAACAAATGCAATTTATTTCCTTTTTCTGGAACAAAGATTTTCTTTTTCTGGAACAAAACCTGCTGAGGACCAGCAGGTTTTCTGCAAGCCTTTCTGAATGTCAGTGTGCAACACCACATTGATTTTTACATGTGATGTTTATTCAGGCCTGGATTCAGTTCAGTCTGTGTTTTGAAATGCCTGGATAGATGCCTAGTAGTTTTTGCTTCTCCTTATAGTCCACAGTGACAATGAGGAACCTCCAGAGCATAATTAGGATGTTAGGTGAACCAGGTCACCTTCTAAAACTGAGGAATCTCTGCCTTTCCACTGATTTTGTAGGGGCCCTCAGGTGAATATTCTTTTAAGTAGCTTGTGTATGTGCCTGAAAGATGAACCTGGGCACCTCCGTCACTTGCAGACAAATAGAAATATGTCTCCTAATAATTTGCCTGGCTATGATTTTGTTCTTCATTGTCTAATCTGCACAGATGTACAGCTTTTTTAGTGTTTGTATTTCACCTTGAGGTGAGGACATTGTCACAGGAATTTCCCCACAAGGTGGTTTGTCACGCCCTTTTGCACTGCATGGGGGAATGGTCAGACACTTCACCGGTGTTACAAATAATAACTTTTATCTCTGCAGTAAACACATGGAATGTCTGCCTTGGGGGATATGGTGAGCATTTGGGCTTTCTCCTGCTGAAATGGTATTGGCCCATATGGTTATTTTGAGTACTGTCCTGTCAGTTGTAACAGTGTCAGCATATTGCTTAAATGTAGAGTGAGCAAAACACACACACCTAAGTCTTTGTGCAGAGAGTGGGTTTAGTGCAATTAGCAAAGAGGCAAATTGGTCAAAAAACCTTGTACACTTCAAGCTGTGAACAGCTATTTTTGCTTATTGCAAAATTAATTTTTGTAACATGGGAGAAATTCTATTTGTATGTTAAAGAAGTGTTTTGTTGGACTGTTTTTCTTAAGGTGGATGGACGGCACTCCAGTGAATTATTTGGCATGGGCACCACATGAACCTAACTTTGCAAATAATGATGAAAACTGTGTAGTTATGTACAGGGATTTAGGTGAGTTTCATATGTTTTTTGATGAATTTCATTATTTGTGTGTTTGTGTCACAACATTTTTTTTTCATTTGAGAGGCCCCCCCATTCCCCCTCTTCCCCCTTTTTTTTTGCTCTTCTGCAATAGGTTATAGCAGCACACCATAGTATTACTTTCAGGACTTATTAGTCTTACACTCTTGTGCTTACCTTAAGCCTAGCATGGAGAAACTCTGATAGAGGGATGTGGTTGTGATTGCTGGTTGATATTTTTTATTAAAATTGACCTAATGGGCCCTATAAAATTCATATTTGTGGTACCTCATTCTACAAAGCTTTCAACATTCTGTAATTACAGTGGATATAAAATGACATAAAATGAGAGATTCAGATTTGATCTTATCTTTCAACTAGAAGTACTTTGTGTGAGAATCAGTGAAATTGATTTCCATTTAACCAGCTGTGTGGTGTCATCCCCATTTATCTTGCACTCAGGATATTGGAATGATATAAACTGTGGTTATCCAAATCCCTACATATGTGAAAGGCACAACAGTTCCATTAATTCAACTGTTCCTCCAACAACATTTTCAACTCCAAGAGGATGTCAACCAACTTGGCTTTCCTTTCATAATAAGGTACCATAATAAATACAGTGCCTGCTGGATGTTTGGCAAAACATTAAATAGAAAAGAAGGGAGTTATTTAATGATATTGTCTCGTATTAGAGTAAAATAGTATTATTATTTGCAGAGAGCTGTTTGACACGGGCTTTTCTTTCTTTGCCCATCCACTGTTTTGCAGGAAAGGTGCTTTTTCAATGCTTCTAATGAAGGATATTCAGTTGCAGTCGATGAAAGACGTTCTCTAGTCAGCTCTTCAAATCTTTTGATATGCATTTCCTAGAGTTTAGTTAGAATTCCTGAAGTACTGATGCCTTGATCTTGATGTTTTTTTAACCAAATGATAATGCTTTTTTTGACTACATTTTGTCTTCCTTTACTTACATGCTGTGCTTTGTAGAGTCAAATTAATAGGCAGACTAATATCAGTCATGCATAACAGCACTATTAGCTGACTGTTTATAAAAAGATTCGAGTTTTACTTATTTTCTGGGGATTTCAAATCAAATCTAGTGTGTGTCTTGTTGAGCAAAAGACTTTATCGAGACCTCTAATTTTATAAAGAACCAGGACCAGCACAAAAAGCTCATTTTAAGATGAATATGTTTTTTTCAGAGAAATGGATTTCTTTACTTTTTCTCCATCCTGCTTTGTTTAAAGCAGAGGTTTTCAGTTGTGAGGGATATTGGAATACAGATAATATACAAAGAATTTGTTTATATTTTAGTGTTACAAAATATTTGGATCTGCAGAAGAGGAACGTGTCACTTGGCATGCTGCACGAACAGCTTGCATGAATTTAGGAGGAAACCTGGCCAGTATCCCTAATGAACAAGTGCAAGGTACTGTGTACAGTTTTGTAGCAACTAAATGGGATGATATTTAATCTTTACAGGTTGGATGTTTTATTTGTGTGAATATGAACTGGTCTGAATAATGATTGCACACCTGATTTCTGTTCCAAAACATAATTTTTAGAAATTTACAATGAAGTCTTCACCTGAATCCACCAAATGTTGGCTTTATATATATATATATATATGTGTGTGTGTGTGTGTGTTGTCCTGGCAGTGAAAGTAGTGGGGTTTTTTCTGCTTACACATGATGCCAATTAGACCCAGCAATTTCCATTCCAAAAAATGTAGTTTCACTAGGTGGCATTAACTCACTGCATGACTTTCCTGTTAAATCAAGCAGAACACCTTTAGATCAGAATTTGTCTCTGGGCACTTAGAACAAGTTTGACTGCTTATACACCTACCCAGAACTCAGGACACAGATGTGCCACTCTTGTCACTGGAGGACCTTATTTTCATTAAAATGGGAGCTGCATCCATGCCTCCATCCATGCAAGTTACATCATGCAAATTAAAAATAGGAATACCTTAATAGATGTCAATGAACCCCCCTTTTCTTTTTTAATACTCTTTTATACTGCGGTGATAAGAAAGAGATGTTGGACAGAACATACTGTTTATAAACTCAAAAGAGCATAATAAAAATCAACCATTTTAAAACGAGTCTGTGTTGTAATCTGAGCAATTAAACAGTTTAAATTTAAATGTCTGTTGTGAACTTTGTACTGCTTATGTTTTCCACTTGTGAAGACAGGAAGAAGGAAACTCATTTTTCAAATGTACTTAAACTCTTATCCAACATAATTTCAGCAGTACAGATTTCAGGTGGTTAGTTCATGCACAGGACTTGAACTCTAAGTGAAAGAGAAATGAGCAATAAAGATATTAGGACAAAAGTATTGTCTTTGCTGGAAGTGAAGGTATAAAGGCTTGAGTTCCTACTACAGTTTCTGGTAGAACAGCAATGGCAAAGAAATCTACAGGTTTCATTCCTGGAAGAGTAAGCTGCATACATTTAAAAATACTGAGAGAAGGCAAATGATTAACAGAGCAGACAGAAATTCATCTATTCTTTACAGAGGTAAAAAAACTTCATAACAATGACTGTAGCAGTTGGCAAAAGCCTCGATATATTCACTTTATCAAAAGGTTTGATGTGTTGTGGATTAGTGGGTTGATGAGTGCCAGCTGATCTAGCCTGCTCTGTTTGTGAGCTAGCCATGTAAGCTAAGATACATAAGCACCCTCCTGGACTGTGCAAAGCTGTGGTAATTGATTTGCTTGTTTTGTTGAGATTCATCTGAAGCGCATCACTTGTGATTCTGTTCTCTGCTAAGGCAGTGCAGGCTATTGACCAGGAATCCAGGGAGGGATACTTAGCAGAAGTATTTTGCCCAAAGCCACAATTATATATCTGTTTTCCTTTTCATCTTATCTGCTTGTGTTGTCAACAGTGGCATGTTGTGTATTTACTATCACTAATCTCACTGAGGCCAAACCTTTAAATTGACCTTCATTAAAATTATTCCTCTTTTTCTTTGCCTTTTTTTTTTATTCTAGCTTTCCTCACCTTTCATCTGAAAGATTTTGGTATGAATACATGGATTGGATTAAATGATATAAATCATGAAATGAGGTTCCTCTGGACAGATGGAACAGGAGTTTACTTTACAAACTGGGCCAAAGGCTTCCCAGCGGGACGTGGGGATTTATACTCCTATGACAGCCAGGTAAATAACAGTTACAGATTGTTCACTGAAATTTGATTTTATAGAATCATAGAATCACTCAGGTTTGTAAAAACTTCTAAGATCATCAAGTCCAACTGTTAACCCAGCACTGCCAAGCCCACCACTAATGCCTTAAGTGCCACATATACACATCTTTTAAATATCTCCAGGGATGGTGACTCAATCACTTTTCCCTGGGAAGCCTGTTCCAATGCTTGACGACTGCTTTGATAATGAAATTTTTCCTAGTATCCAATCTAGTTGTGCACAACTTGAACCATTTTCTCTTGTCCTATCACTTATTACTAGGGAGAAGAGGCCAACACCCACCTTGCTTCAGATTGCATTTATGCATTTTTTGTGATTTTGGACATGTTCCTGCTTGTCTCACTACTTTCATACTTCTATGTGTGCCAGATATAAATTCAAATAGAGTGAACAGTTTTGAGCCCTTGTGCAGTTGCTGTATTAGCTGGTGACAGGATCTGTGGAGTAACAAGACTTGCTTCACTTTTCAGTTCTCTGTGTCCATGAAGGCTACAGTTGTGCCTGAACTTTGCAGGTTTCTCAGTTGGCGTGTAACTTGCAAGGGGGCATTTACAAACTTTTCTCTCAAAGAGGGGTGACTTACATAGAAGCAAATAAGCACATTCTGTCAGTCACATTTGCAGAAAAGGCATGAGTCTATAAAAACACAGCCATTCAGTTGTTACAAGAAGAAAAAAGGAAAACAAAACCACTAGAAAGTCACTTCCCCTATTTCCCTGTCAAACAAACCAATCTGATAGGTCAGAGTTTCTCTCTCTGATCTTACATGTTTAGATAGTTCTCTACTCTAGAACTACAACGCATTATAGTACTACCTCTGTTCCTCTCAACTGCCATTTTCAGTGTAGAAATCTTATTTTGATGTATAATGTCCTTTTCCGGTTTTTGAAAGTATCATCTGTGAACTTCTTATCTCTAAAGGAGAGAGAAAATTAGGGAGAATTTGGAGTTTAAAAGAAAATACCTTTAAAATGTCACTTCTGAAAAAATGTATGTTTTTCTGTTTTTATGCAAAGCAGTAGGATTTCTGTGAAGTCTTACATGAAAACTTATAAAGTCCCTATTTTATAAATTTCAGATTTATTTTTAAGTTTACTTGATCTCAGCACAAAGTCTTATTATAGTTAACAAAATACTATGCAACTGTTCAGTTTGAAAGATTTAAATCTCAATGCTTTTCAATTGCAAGTGCAGTGTTCATCTGCGCTTCTCCTCCTGGACAGAAAAAGAACAAACAAGTAAACAGAATAAAATAAATATGGATGCTTCATTGCACAAAACTGTTCATACCCATGCAGGCTTTTGCATTCATCAGTGTTGGTTTAATGTGTGCTAACCTTGGTTCTAGCTGTCGTGTCCATGTCAGAGAAGCTGAAATGTCCTTGTGAGGTGGACAAATAAATGGTTGCCTTTGGGCTGGAGCAGTTCTAACTGCTGTGTGTACTATTACAGCTTGCAACAATAAATTTGAAGAGGCTGGTAGGTCTGAAATGATGCATCATTCACTGAGGGTCTTTTCTATAATAATTGATCTCATTTCTCTTCAAGTTCTTTGTGACTCCTCTCCATGTTATATGCCTGGAGATTGAGAATACTGCATTTCCTCTGGTCTGCTTACTCACCCCAGAGTTGTGCAAGAGAAAGCAACATTAAGCAATCTGTGAAGTGTAAGAGGAATAGAACTTCCACATAATAAAACTTATGCTCTTAGATGTTACAAAGATATGATTGTAAAATTGCAGTATTATTTGTATCTGAAGATGTAAAAGGGAGACAAAAGTTTTGTATTTGCTTTTTCTAGCTATTTGTAACTGATTTTATATCTTTTTGCTTCAAGGCTGATTGTGTTGTCATGAGAAACAAACCTATTAAGGAAGCAGGAAAGTGGGTTGATCTGAGTTGTGGTAACAGCAGAGGATATATATGCCAAACTGATGCAGGTACTTGTCATTTTAGTTAAAACACAGTCCCACCTTATTTTTTTTTTTTTTCAGGGAATTGCTTAGATGTCTGAATTTCAACCTCTTTTCACTTCCAATAAAGATAAATGCACAAATTGTTCTTCAGGCAGGAACACAAGGGTCATATGTGTCAGAGATCCAGTTAGTCACTGCTCTCACCTGACCCTTCCCAGCAACTGCTATGTTGCTGTCTTCCTGAGCTGGAATTTCTGTCTGCATCTTTGTGTTTAGTATGACCCTTGGTATGACTTTTGTTCCATGACTTTGTCATTTTCTGAATATAGTGGTTTTGAAAACATGTTTTGGAAAATACTAGTTTGTACATGTAGCGTGAACTGCCTGGAATGACACCGTAACTCATCTGCACTGAACTTGGGGAAACCACCTCCAAAAAAAAAGCACTGAAAACCTCCAAGTATATGATTGATTTTTAAGAACAGGTCTAGTGTGAAGCTTTTAATTTCTTGGACAAAAAAAAAAAATCCCTGGAAAACAACACAGTTTCTGTAAAACATTTTGTTTGATGAAAAATATTTTTTAAAAGAAGTTATGAACTAATCCTAAATCATTTCAGCAATCCTATTCTTGAGGACTATACAGAATGCTCCTTAACTGCTCATAAGTGGTTGCTTTAAGCAGCTCTTCTTCTTTCTTGAGCTTTGTAATTGAATTTTACTACTACTGCTGGCTTAAAGAACAGTGCATCTAACCCATGCTGGGTATAAGTCAGGGAATGTAAAACCAAGAAGAAAGGTCTTTGTTTAATTCTGTTTGCAACCACACTGAAATCATAATCCCCTTTTGAACAAGTAAATGGATCTTTTTTTATCCTTTATTTTACAGTTGCTGAGTTTCTGCCTTCTACAAGCTCATCACCCTCCAACATTGTCCCTTATGGTAACAGCAGTTATATGTTCATCCACACAAAAATGACATGGGAAGATGCTCGAAAAAACTGCAAACGTAATCAGTTTGACCTTTCCAGCATCTTAGACCCTTACAGTCATTCATTCCTGTGGCTGAAGATATTAAAATATCGGATGCCTGTGTGGATTGGTCTTAACAGTAATGTGGTAAGAACATTAAACTAATTGTTTACATACTGGTCCTAAATACTTCTGTGTGCTGTCGGATTTATAGCTCAGAATTCATCCTCTTCTATTAATCTGATTAAATTGTATATATTACACATGCTTGCCACGCTTTCTCCTGTGATATTCCACTCTATGCACTTCCAAATAAGATATTTTAGGCTATGATCTTGAAATATCTCTTTGTATATATGGTCTATTTGATATAAAATCCACGTGTTTTAAAATGTACACAGAAAAGCATTTATTCTAAATAAAATACCTAATTTTCAGAAATCTAATAAGGTACTCTTACTATGACTATTTAAACATTTTTGAGGATAGTTAGCCAAATAATTATTTGGTTTACCTAATCTAATTTTATTTGTCTCCCCTCTCCCAGTTCTTTGATATTTTGATACTTTCTGTATGTTAAAATACAACACATTTTCATCTTGGCACAGACACTTGTCCCACACTGACTCGATTTGGCTGAGCACACGAAAAAAACAAATGAGTGAGCATAACACACCATTTCCTAAAACCCCAAAGATTCCCCTAACATTAATCAACAGGATGAATCACTGAGTTCACCAGCTTAGGTGGGAAAAGATTACAGTTTTAAATGCACTTCAAATTAAAACAATCTGTGTGTCTTAAAATTTGTGGGGAAAAAGATAGTGCATAAACTAGAAAACATCCTACAGATTATTTTAAATGAAATTGTTATTAGTCTCACATTAGAAGTACTAAGTTCAAAATTAACTCAGGGTCACCTACTCGGTATTTCCTTTTACTGAAAATAATTTGTTGCACTGCTATATTTCTCAATGAATAGCTGCTTGTCAGAACAAAAGTTTCAAAGATGGAGCCATTTGTATTTGCTTTTGATTTCTAAAAAAAACCCCAGCCTTCTGGCACAAAGTACTATATAGACAGATATTTGACTGATGAAAGAATGGTTGAGGCTTAGAGTTTAATCATTCCAATTAATGTGTTTTGTTCTTAGACTGATGGGAGTTATAAGTGGATTGATAACTGGAGGATGAAGTATACCAAATGGGCTGAAGGGGAGCCAAAGCAGAAAATAGGCTGTGTCTATCTGGACATTTCTGGAGCCTGGAAGACAGGATTCTGCAATGAAAGTTACTTCTCTGTTTGCAAAAAATCTGATGGTAAGAACTTCAAACTGACCATTGTAATTGCAATCAGTATCTCTTTAGAGATGCTGGGTTTTATTTTAACAGTTAAATAGAAATCATTTAAATTTACTTAGATTGAATGGGGAAGGCTACTGTAAAATGAGGGCAAATACATACTAAGGAAGGGCTAGTGGGACTGTGAATAGCTATATTTTAGATCTATTTTTCAAAGATAATATCCCTGTTAGTCTGCTATTGAGTAAGCATGCAAATAAAAACCATCAAAAATCAAAAGGCAATGAATGTTAGGGAGTAGTCATATATTTTTTAAACTTCTTTTAAACAGTCCAAGCTCCCACCGAACCACCTCAGCTTCCAGGAAAATGCCCTGAATCAGAAGGGCACAGGGCTTGGATCCCTTTCCGAGGTCATTGCTACTACATTGAATCTTCATCTACAAGAAATTGGGCCCAGGCATCTTTAGAATGTCTTCGACTAGGTCAGTATCCTGCTTAACTAGCACATCTTTCTGACTTGTTTTTCCTATCTGTGGGAAGCTGAAAATGTGCTATGTGTTTTTTGTGATTTCAAGGATGGTCCAAGTGTTGGACAAGAAAGTTGCATCCAATTATTGCCCTAATTTGGGAGGTAGTGGAAAATACCAGTCTACCAAAGACATGTGTGTGGGACCAGGCACATGAGGAGCTTTATGGCCTGGAATGGAGATCATGAAAGTGGAAAATTTGTACTTTGACCCTTATAGGAGGTAGACAGCCTCATTCATAGCAGTCACTAATGCTTATTTTAATGGAATCTTGTATCTTTTTTATTCTTGATCTAATTTCCCCTTTGATTATTGCAGTTTTATGCCACTGTAATAAAAACTATAGCTCTCTAGGCTGAATAATCTATTAGTGAACTAGGGTTGTTGTACAGTTTCATTCTCCCAACTTCTTTCTCTGGGAAAGGGATGCAAGTTTCATTTTCTGGGCTTTGTATGTCTGTAGCATTGTTGCCAATAGCATTGGTGGCAATGTGACTTTGGTGTCTGACCTCCCATTAGGTTATGCAAAGATCTTGTTCACTTTGCCAGTGGAACAAAATGTAGATTTATCTTCACTGGAAGTGTATCTTGACATAGAACAGGTGAATTGCACTCTAGGCCTTCACTGATAAGAAATCTACCAGTGAAACCCATGTCAAATATAGTCACCTGGAGATGGATAAGAAGACTCTCCCTCTCTGCTGGTACTCAGGTTCATTCCTGGGTTCTCATGAACTGGTATGTTGACAGGACAATAGGAATGCTTTTCACTGTGAAACTGTCATCTCAAAGAGATTTTTCTTTCCCTGTGTCTCCCAGGTGCCTCTTTGGTCTCAGTTGAAGATTCAGCTGAAGCCAACTTTCTGACCTACAGCATTGAACCCCTTGAAAGGAAATCATCAACATTTTGGACAGGAATGTACAGAAATGTGGATGGTAATTTCTTCAATTTTGACATCTTTTTGTTTAGTGAATAATTGCCACAAGCTGTTTGACATAAATGTTGAGATTTTCACATTATACTTCTGTAATACGTAAATAGTGAAATTAGAAGAGGTAATATATTATCCTCACAGGAGAAGCTGGCCAGTTGCAGTCAAGTGATAACCAGTAATATATAACAGAAAGACCAGGCACAGAAACTTCATTTTATAGGAAGAAAAGTAATTCATAACAAAGTAAGGCACAAAGGTGCATATAGCAGTGTACAGCCAGGACCGTGTTGGGAGTTGATCCATGGTTTCTCTCAAACATGAAGAGGCCCTGGACCCATGTGCTTTTCGTTGTGATACTTCATTTTTTGAGCTACAGAAAAATGGGGCTAACATTACCTCTAGTCTTGTGGAATCACCATCCTGGAAAGACTAGTCTCTCACTTTAGTTACAGCTCGTGTCTTTGGAATTGTATATCACAAGTTTTTCTATTTTCTGCCTCACTTTAAGGAGGGTAAAGCAATACAGAATACAAAACAGGCTGCTTTAATTAAATCTTAAATTTGCCAATTACTGCATTTTCATTAATACAATTAGTATTCAATTAAATAGATACTTCTGTCATTACAGTAGATTTAAAAGCTACTTCAGTCCTGCAGTGTTCAGGCTAAAATTTCCAGTATAACTGTCAGAGGCAGGGCTGCAGAATAGTTCAGGTGACTTGAGGTGGGGTTTTCTTGAGTTTTGGACAGGATTTTAACAACTGTCTACTCAAGCACTTCAGTGACAAACTGCTTAGGGAGAAGCCAAGTATTCAGTTACATTAAGTGACTCTTAACCAGGAAAAGTGAAGGTTTTCAGTAGAAGAAAGAATTTGAAAGTAGTGATTTAAATGCATGACACACAAAGAAAAGCTGAGGTTAACTCATGTGGTTAATTGACACAAAACAGGTTTTTTAAAGTACTTCCAGAGCAGTGCAGAACAATACAGTTCTTAGAAGTAATCATAAACACAAGCTGCTTTAGCTCTTCATTGTATCACTAGATAATGATTATAATGATTTCAGCATAGCTGCATAACTAAATTTCATATCTTCATGTATGTATCCATATTGTATCTAGATGTCATATTATGACACAAAGAATGGCAGGAATTTAAAAACAAACAAACAAACACAAAATATGTAGAATCTCGTAAGAAAACAGAATACAGCTTTCATGCTGAGTCTAAGAATTTGCTTGAGTACAACTTGGAGTCACAAGGGGCACATTTATTCTAAATAAATATCCCTATTAAAAGAAAGAAAGAAAAAAGGAACAGGAAGGAAGAGACAGAAAGTCCCAACATAGCTGAACAACAGTGATCACAAGATTTTTGAAGCAGATCTATAAAAAGGAAAATTGTGTGTGTAAAGCTTGTGGAAAGGAGCAGAAACTGAAAAGAAAATGGAATAAAATTGGACTTAGAAAGACTTCAGCGTAGGCTTTGAAAAGAGTAACACAAAATCTCCCTACAAATTACTGAAACAAAGAGGATTCTGGTGAAGCTAAGTTATATTTTGATATCAGTTGTTTCTATGAACTGAGTAAATAATTTACCTCGCACTATTGCAGTAAATTGTGGGAGATACTTCTTTAGACTGACTCGCCTTCGTAACATCACAAGCCAGATTGGTCTGGCTTTTCAAAAAATTGATGTTGTATCACGTGCATAAAAACTTCGGGGCAACATGTGTACAAGGAAATTAATATTATTTTTTTCCCCATATTTTTTATTTAGGAGAATGGCTGTGGCTAGATAGCACTGCAGTGAATTTTGTCAACTGGAATGTAGGAGAACCTTCTCCTCAAGAAAATGAACACTGTGTTGAAATGTACGCAGAATCCGGGTACTGGAATAATATCTATTGCTCTTCCTACAAAGGCTATATTTGTAAAAAGCCAAAAAGTAAGTGCTGTGTTTATGAATTTGTTTTCTGTATGGAGTATGCTCCTTATATGTTAGGATTAATACATGACCATTACACACAATGCATTTTAAATGGCTGGTTTGAGGTTTTTTAAATGCCAAAGGATGCACATTTGCAAGCCAACAAAAAGAGTAAATCTTGTCAGTAAGCTGAAGTTCTGACCAGTGCTCAAGTCCCTTTAGAATTGCTTTTGAAAGAACATTTTTTAATTTTAATTGTACCTAGTGTATGCACTTAATGAGTTTGCATGTTCTGTATTGATAGTGGTTGAGTAATCACAGTGTAAGTACCGTGCCTTGCATACACAAATTTGTTTCATCTATATGAAAACACATTCCTCAGGGTATCCCCTCTGCTCCACCCAGGGAGTACATTTTGCTTATTTCCCTCTGGCATGCACTCTCATATGCATGCATTTTCTGAGTATGAAGTACTGTTTCTGTGAACTGAATAATTATGAACTGTGAATTAATTAACAGCATGAGATCTTTTGTTTCTGCTTTTCATTCATTCATCTTTTCACAAGAAGATAACACAAAGCAAGTAGCATAGTTTCAATGTGGTAAACTGAAAATGTCCTGAAATAACTGAATGCAAATTTGACAGCTAGTGCATATGTATTCCTAAAAGGCATCATAATAATTTCTTTCAGCATATATTGCAATATCAAAATCTCTTACTAATATTTACTGAGAAGAGTGAAATACATGTGAATATGCAATGAAATACACCCACTTCCTCTACAGTACTGGAAATGAGAGAAATTCTGCTATCCTTTCTATAAATGTGCTCTCAGGCAAAATTATTCTTACTTACTCAAATGCTTGTAATGATGACTGTATCTTCCACAGGAAATACTGCAAAATATCCGATATAACCACCCATTCAGAGTCTACTTATCTGTCTTTTTGCACTGTGATTGACAAGACCCGGGCACTTTATTTTCATTCTCTATCCAGAATATTCATAGATGTAGATAACAAGTGTTAAAATCAATGGCCACCATTCCTTTTTGACCATTCAGTTTAACTGTTTGTGCTGGTACTGGTATTCACCTGTTTTTATGCTGAGCCATTTCATGCTGAAGCAGATGAAAACTAGTTATTTTTTTCTAGAATTAGCTTAAGCCAGTCTAGCTTACTGATCTGGAATGCCATGGAGTCAACCAAATGCCAGTGTGACTGCAAGGACTACATAGCCATTCACTCAAGAGCACACCACAGTCTAGTCCTACATTGTCACATATATGCAGCTTTTCTTGGCACAGTTTTGCAGAACTGTGACAATGTTACATTTGCAGAATTTAAATAAATTATTAAATAGCTATAGACTATGGGGTGTTAGAAGCATGGTTTTACTGAGTTGCCCTTGCTATGGCTGGTTATGTTTGCTGTTTTCTGAAGAGACAAACACAAAATAAGGACTGGAGTATTCCCATTGAATAGATGATAATTTCTGTTCCATTTATTGAGATAATTTTTACCAGAGTAATTTGAAATTCTGTAGCAGGTTTATTCCATAAACTATCTATCTTTATTTGTAAGTGAGGAGTTATTCAGCCTGGAGAAGAGAAGGCTCTAGGGAGACTTTAGAGCACCTTCCAGTACCCAAAGGGGGCCCACAAGAGAGCTGGAGAGGGACTTTTACAACTGTCTGCATTGACAGGACAAGGGATAATAGCTTTACATCAGATATTAGGAAGAAATTCTTCACTTTGAGGGTGGTGAGACACTGGATCAGGCTGTCTAGATAGGTTGTGGATGCTGCATCCCTGGAAGCATTCAAAACCTGTTTGGATGGAGCTTTGAGTAACCATGCATGTCCCTGGTGTCCCTGTCCACGGCAGGGGGTGGAACTAGGAGATCTTCAATGTCCTTTCCAACCTAAACCATTTCATGATTCTTTTTTATGTTCATGGCATCTCACTCTCATTTTTCGGGAATGGCGGATTCATATTCCTTAATATACTGCTTACTTAACACGTAGGTAGGTTTAGTATGCAGTCACCTCATATCAAACCCAAGAGCAATGTGCAGAACATACATTATCAGTGCTGTACAAAACTTGGTCAGTCAAGAGTTCTTGGTGAAGAACAAGGAAGAAGTGTCTGTGTTATTATATTCCAAAAATTATCCAATCAAATGAAGCAATGCAGCCAAAGGATTATTTTCCAAGTTTACATAATGTCAATTTTTTCCTCCTATTCCTTCTTGCATTTCTGAGACTGTTTTTTATACTGTGCTTTTGGACATAAGGTATCTTCACAAAATCCCAAAACCACAAAACAGCTGAGTCTGGAAGGGACTTCTGGAGGTCATCTGGTCCAACCCCCTTCTCAAACATGGACACCTATAGCCAGTGGCCCAGGACTATGTCCAGATGGGTTTTGAATATACCCAAGTGTAGAAATTCACAACCTCTGTAGGCAGTCTGTGCCAGTGTTCAGTCACCTTCATAAAGAAAAGGCATTTCCTGATGTTCAGAGGGAACATCCTGTGTTTCAGTTGGTGCCCAGTGCTTCTCTTCTGTCATTGGGCAGCACTAAAGAGAAGATTTAAGTGGTAAAAATTATTTGAATTCCTGAGCTCACCTTTTTCAGAATGAAACATGGTGCATTCATTTAATACTTAGTTATAGATTGGTTTTATGCACACATGGAAAAATACATACCTTAATTTTAAAGAGTCGTTCAATTTTCCCAGCAAGCCAGATTTTTTGGTCCAGAAATGAAATTTTAAATGAGTTGCAAACATTTTAGTTTGGATGTTTAGTTATCTGCTAATACACTTTGAAGTTCATCACTGATTTCAAGTGTCTATGTAGGTAAGCCATTAAGGTCTCTTGGCAAACCACATTTATTACACTTGCTATGTTTAGGTCACACAAGTACTGCAAGAATTTGTAAGTATATTGAGGATTATGTTTGACCATGTCTATCCTAAAGATGTTGTATAGATTTTCTTGTGGTTTTACCCCGATGTCTGGATCAGTCTCCATGGAGTTTTTGATGTTTCTTCTTTTCTGCTAGTTCCCGTAAAAAACTTCATGTGAGACCAGAATACACTAGACCACTGTTCTATGCCTTAGGTTTATATAACTTTGTATGAACTAAACCAAAGTGTTTTAAGTATTTAGTGCTTTGTATTACCATATATTTATCTCAACATGATTTTTAGTATGTTCCAAATATAGAAAAAAAAAGTAGAAATAAATAACATAATAATATAAAATGATAATGCTTTTTCAATATTTTCAAGTGCCAGAAACTGAAATGCTGCCAGCAACTGAAATATCACCAGCAGAAATGCCTACAATGGGTAAGAATATTATCATTCAAGTAGACAGAAACTAGTCCCACATAAGAGCATAAACAGAACAAATCCTATCCTGTATTATGTCTTTTACATTTTCTGATATACTTGATTCCTGGGAGTATATTTTTTCCTAGTGGTATATACGCTACTATAAATATACTCCATTCAGTGGCAAATGAAGATTTAAAAAATAGTAATTTTTGATATAGCATGCAATATTGGCAATTTAAAATCAATTTATTTTATGCTGCTATCTTTGTCTCCTTTTATTTTGGAAAAAAATGAAATGCTTTTGCTTAAAATATCATGCATTCTAAAGAAATTGTTTCCAGTAATCAGATAAAGAGTATGTAGCATCTTCTTGATTTTTTTGTATTTGTTTTTCAGCAATGGCAACGGATAAGAAGGCTCTTACCCTGAACCACGGGAAAACAGGAGTTGTAGTTATTGCTGTTCTCCTCCTCCTAGCTGGAAGTGGCCTTGCAGGCTATCTCTTCTACAAAAGAAGAAAGAATTGCTTGCCAACAAATGACAGCTTTGAGAACAATTTGTATTTTAATAGTGATGGGTTTCCTGGAACTGGTGACACAAAGGATCTTGTGACCAACATAGAACGAAATGAACATGCAACACTGTAATGTAATGTAATGTAATGTGTAATATAAAATGTAATAAAATAAAATGTGCCTTGTTTTACTAAAATTATGCAATTAGAATTAAGCCAAAGGTATTTCTCATGTGCAATTGCTGTAGTAGCCTGTTTCAGTGTGTGTGTGATGTCATATATGGAATTACTTTCTTTTGTAAGACATTGTATAAAGTGTAAGATTTCATATCTCAGGATTTGATGATCACGCTGGTGAGTGTGGGTCTTAAGAAAAGAGATAATATTGACTAATTATTAAATGGAACAATAGAAATGGATACAATAAAGGAAGTAAAACTTCCACTTGAGGAATGATGACAAGATTTGAAATTTCTGTATCAGATTTATTTCAAACCACGCTAATGAACAGATGCTCAATACTGTTCAGCAAACATCTCTCTCTCTCTCTGATTCTACCATCTTTCAGGTGTTCCTAGGGATTTAACTACAAGTATAGTTATTAGATGACAAGTCTTATTTGGGCACATCCTCTTTGAACTATGTGCGGAAAAAACCCTTTATGATATTTCAGTTCCCACAATTTCACACAACAGAGAGAACCAAGTATGTAGTTCTTGTAGTTTATGGATTCTAGGATTTAATCAGGTAAAATCTGGGGGCAGGCCTCTGGAATTGAAAAGTGTGGTTGATATGAACTGCCTGAGTTTTGGCTGGCCACAAGTGGGATTTGTTGGTGAGAGGTGATATAGGTCATGGCAAAACTTCCTTCTGATGAGCACAGCAGTTACTGAGGAGGGGGAAGAATGTTGCCTGTATGTATTCTGAAGGTTTCTGGGAGCACTGGGTAGCTTTTGTAGTGATGGCATTTGGAACTGCTCTCCTATGGCTTCTAAAGCAGTGTAGGTTTTGAGGTGTGTGCTGCAAGAGTAAGCAAGTCAAGAACAACTTAGCTTTACTTATGTAATAGTTACTACTGATTTTATTTACTCTAAAATGGCTAGATCAGGTTCTATTTATGGAAGTCTTAAAATTCCCCAGTGTGGAGTTTATATTCTTAATTTTTGTAAATCCTGTAAAATGTTAATCATGCATGATTCCTCACTTGCATACAAAGGTTTGCAAGGTTCGATTTTGTGGTTTCAAGTTTTGTTCTGTGAAATAAACAGTAACTAGCTTTCATTTTTAAATAGTTTTCTGGTTTATAGTTTTGTCTGTATAAGACACTGTAAGAGGATAAAGTGAAAAAGAAGATTCCACTGTGGAGACATTCCATCAAAACCTGTGATCTAGTATGATATTAACCATATTTTCCTGAATCTTTCCCAGGATTATCTGCTTAAAGACATCACAAAAATATGAGTTGAGTGCTTTAGTAAAAATCTCAAGTTACATATGTGTGTAGGTAAGACAGGAAAATTTGTCCTGGAACTCCTTTTCTCTGGCTCTGCTCCCTTTCTCACAGTTATTTCCTTGCTCTGTTTCTATTGCTGTTTCCATTTTCAATGTGCAGTTGTTTAAGCATGTCATTTCAAGGAGCAGAACCGCTAATGGTTCTTTATGCTATCTGATGTGGCTTGTGTGCCAGAAAGCTCCTGACTGACTGATTAATGATGTTAAGGATAATGTTGTTTCAGTTATATGGAGAGGTAGTGCCACACAGAATGGTATGTGAAAGGGAGAATGAAAGGCTGAGAGACCCTGACTGAAATGCCAACCTCACTCTGCTGGCTGTTGAGCAAAGAAATGCAGTCTCTACCCAAAAGAAGTTCAGTCCTATTCTAGGACTGCACACCAAGTGATTCTTCCAGGTAACATTTCATTCCATGTATATATGCAAAGGTATTGTTGGAAAGAAGATAAAAACTGAGGGGATGTCTCAATTCTGGTTTTTTTGCCATACTTACCAGATACACTGCAAAAAAGTATCAGGGAGAGAATCCAGCTACTGGAGCCTGGATAGTCCTGAGCTCATTCACCCCTTTATACTGCCCAAAATCCGGCATGATGTTGGAGTTGAAGACAATTAAAAATGCCGTGCTAGTTAACAGCTGGCAGTAGGTGTAGCTGCTTCTGTGAAATGCTGTGTCAGTTCTGCTTTCCTGTCCAAATAGGTACAGAAAAAATAGAGGAGATTGCAAATAAGAAGCTCTACTCTGAAGATGGAGCTACATAGCCTGCTCATTTTAGAAAGAGTGGGAGTGAAAAAGACTACAAAGATTTCCAGAAGAGGAGGAAATTTAAGCTGCATGGCTTACTGTCCTTCCTATTTCAATACAATGGAATTGAAGCAAATTTCCCATTAAAAAGATAAAGCATGGAAGCAGTGTCATTTACAGCACAGGAAATCATTACAGTTCCATATAGTAAGCAGAAGATGAGCACTTTACACATGAACCCTAATAGCAATTTTTGAATAGAAGGTAGAGAAACAAACAACCTTTAACACTTTAACCAGTATTTAAATATTATAAGATTAAATGGAAGGCTTTTACTTGGTAACTGAGATGGGGAAATTACGTTGCTCTATTTGACTGAAAAAAAGAAGTATGTCTTATTGGAAATTATTAATGGATGCAATACAATTTGATACTTTATATATGCTGATCCTTCACCAAATCTTTCAACCATTTTTTACTACTGACTGCTATTCCTAGTAGGAATCCATTGTCTTAGAACTGAGTTTTTGCTCTTGTGATCTCTTGTCTCCCACTACTGAGGGAAGATTTCAGGCTGTATGGTGCATCCAAATACATTGACAGAGAAAATGAGTTCTCACTTTTCGGAAATGTTCTTGCTGTATAAATAAGGAAAATAATTCCTTGATAAACAAAATCAAGTGATTGATAGAAAAACAAATGAAATTTTTGACTGATCACTAATAATTCATATCCATAATCTGATGCTGCCAGTATTTCTTATGTTTGATCAGGCAGTTTAGGTAAAGGAAAGCAAAACAACCCATTGATTATGTAGCATGAAAATATAATGTGAAAGTGCAAGGTGCTTTATGTTTCTCTTTCAGTATGTTTTGAGTCTGTCTAAAGAAACGGAAAGCTTGCTCACTCTCTGGGTTTTTTTTTAGGCTAGAATGTTTCTAATGAAGTTTAGAGTACGTTTTTATTAAAAAAAAATAAAATCTTAAATCATGTTGGAAACTGATTGTGCTACATGTGGGGATTCCAGATTGAAATCTTAGGTTATAGAAGGCTAATTGATCACAAAATTACTTTTGGATTTTAATATAAGTGTTTTTGAAAATGAATTATGAACTTGGGTGGACTCAACCATGCATTTCTGTGGGCAGCTGAGGAATGACTTGGTGGCAATATTCAATAGCATGTAAAATTTTGTCTCTTTGCACATTTCTACGTTTCTTGATACCCTTATGTTTAATTCTCGTTTCCCCTTTTCTCCCGAAAAGTTAGGACTTCAGAAGAAAGGTGGTGAATCTGCACACTGTGAGTGTAACTTCCTGCCTGAGCAGAGATTGCCAAAGGAACAATGCTGACTCAACACAAAACCCAGCAGTCTTTGTTCCTTGCCACTTCTAAAACGTCAGGCTGTGCCCTGCCAAGGAACAGATCCTGGAGTGCATCTTTGCAGTCCTCTGGTTTTCTTTCCCACTTTGTGGACTGTGATGCAATCTGCAAACACTGAGGTAAAGCTGCCTGTAGTATGTTTTAGTCTTTCTCAGCTTCTCTTAACAGATTGTCAATACCAGTCCTTCACCAAACACTGATCTTACTTCAGAACAGGAATAGTTTCTTTTTCCCTGTTGCAGTTGTGATTATTGCCACCCAGGAGCTTTGGAGATCCTTACATGTTGTATGCAGCAGAACCACAAGACACATTTCTCCCATCTAAATAATGAATCTGAGTATTTTTTTCCATCTGCACATCTGGAGCTCCTGGAGAAGAAAGCAAGGAAAGTTGGAAAATCGAGGTTGTAGAGCACTCTTATGTTGGGGAGTACCAGAATACTTGACTTCAGACTCAGTGCAGCCATCCTTGCACATACATCATATCTTACTGAGTAACTGGCCATCTGCTGCTTTGTGGAGCAGCCCTCTCTTTTCTCCGACTTTCCTCAGGTCTCAGTATCCTTCTCAGGCTCCCATTCTTTGAGTGCCTTTTGTGTAGCTGTGCCTACTGGCCTTCAGGTCCCACTATTCTCTCTCACTGTTAAGGTTTTGTTCTACTGCGATTCCCTGTGTACCTTTTTAAACTCAGTGGGTCATTCATCTGCATCTGAGTAATAGAAGCAAGATCCCACATCTTCATGTGGATGTCCAGGGTTTCCCTTGCCTGCAACAGCAGCAATTTTGCTGCAAATACAATATTGGGGAAGGTATCAACCTCTCCTAAAGATAGGGAAAATTAAATTCTTTGAAGTCCATAAGCAAAAATGGATGTAAAGCTCCCACAGGACTGCCTTTTCTTTTCCCTATACTCTGTTTTTCTAGCTCTTTTACTTATCATGGAGAGAGCTTTTTTGAAGTAAACATCAGAATTTTGTCAGAATGTCTGAAGGGTATGCAGTTTAGGGGGTGCAAACTTTCAGAGACCAGTAGGTCTAAAAATGTGGCGGTATGCTTATCAGTTTAGTTTTCCTCACTAGCAATAATGGAAAATCCCGTCTTTTCCAGTTTCACGTTCTCTTCTTCCTACAATTGTATTGTTTCCTTTCCAAATTTCTTCAGTCATTGCTGTCAGTTGGGTACATTGCTCCTACATATAGTCAGGAATGGAGCCAAAGAAGGAAGAACACAGATCCTATTTTCTACAGTTTTTCTCTTTTCTGTGGAATTACAGACATGGGAAATTCTGGTTCCCTCTGATTCCAATGTCATAGTTACTTAATTTACACAGTGTCCCAGCCAATTTTTCACAGTACTGCATTGCACTCTGGCTTTTTTAATTTTTTTTTTCGTATAGACAAATTTTGCTTTCTTTTTTTACTTCTTTCATTTATTTCTGGAAAAGAGACATTAACGTCACCTTTTAATAAAAATAATGATTTTGACTCATAAGGTATGTCTTAAAAAATCCACACTAAAATGTTATCAGTTAGATCTCATATTTCCATGGCAAACTTTTATACAACAGAGAAACTAGCTTAGAAAGAAAAGTTTATTCATTAATGCATTGTTTCAAAATTACTCATGTGACATGACACAGTTCCTTATTTGAAGCTCAGAACTTCCCTGTATCTGTTGGGTCTTAAAAAGGGTTTGTTAATCCACTTCAGTGCAGAAGGGTTTTCTTGCAAGGCACTGATTTGGTCTTCAGCATCATTTCGAGGTGAAGAGGAGAAGAGATTGAAATATTTGACCATGTCTGTCTACTTGACCCTGATTTTCCTTCTCTCTATTAGTACATCTCTTCAAATATCTGGTAAGTCTTGGTCTTCTTCTGAGAGTGGAGGTTTTCAAGTTCGTCTTTATGTGTTCTTAATATCCCTCTTGGTGGACAGTGAATTTAGATCTAGTCACAGCCTATAATCTGAAATAGTTTTCTTCAGCTCTGGAATTTGGTGTTATCTGCATAGGCATTCTCTTTCCTTAACCGAGTGTTCATGGTGGTGTATGAGTGAAAGGAATATGCCTTCAGATGGGGACATAACCCAGGCAGTGCTGATTCTTGAAAGTGAGCCAGCTGAATGCAGGCAAAAGCTGATCTCAGTTTACTCCACTGGAGGCTAGAACAGCTCAGAAGGACAGAGCGTGGACTGTTAGTGTGCACAGAACTACTGGCTGATGCGTGCTTTGACAGACAGCTCATATAGACCACAGCATACTCATCTCTGCATACTGAAATTTTGTTTCCAAGCTGACAGCTTTAGGAAGGACCTTAAAAACTTTTGTCCATCAGATTTCACACACTCCTGCTGCTGACAGGAAAACAAGTGGTGCTGTGTCTGCTCCTGCTCTTTTCCCTGGGAAGCTCTCAGCTAGAGAAATTTGAGAGTCCGGTGCTATTGCTTGAATGGTAGCAGGGACTAGCCAGTGCCGACCTAATCCTCTACAGGGCAATTGCTTCTGTGCATGCTTTTGGGTGAGACCAAGTTGGCTCTAACCCATCCTCTGCAAACCTTCTCAAGAACCAGTGCAGCAGAAGAGCTGTGCCAGGGTAAATGCCATCTAACTTGTTCTGGTCTGTAGACTTTCAGAGCAACACCACTCCCTGGCAGCTCTGGGATGGGAAGGGTTTATGAAGCCCCATTAAGTATTCCATTAAGAAACCTTGGGTAAACCTCAATGGCACTGCAGAGTGAGTTAGATGATGTTGCCTGTCACTTAGAAGGGAGTGAAGGGATGCAAGATGAGCTGCAAAAATAGTCAAGATTTGGAGGAAGCTAAAGTTGTGGCCCTTTTTCTGAAGCTGGTCTCAAGAAACAAACCCCTGTTCTGCAGTGTCTCACACTTCTATTTCCAAGTATAGCTATTAATGGCACTTAGGATACTTACTTAGCTTAACTGTACTCAGAACTGATGATGCTGCAAGTTGTGGGTTCCCTCCCGAGAAATTAACAAATAAAACTCTGTGAAGAAACGACTTTTTGCACAGCTGCCCAAAATTTTCCGGGATAATTAAACAAAAATGAAAAATACCCCATTTTCTTGATGAGCTGAAAGCTTCTATGTCATTCTGGCCCTAATATTAAAATGGTTTAATTTTGAGTTATGTAAATGATTTTTAATAGCTTTAAAGAAAGAAGTCCTTTTACTTAAAGAATTAAAGCCTATTTAATATGCTGTGGTGAAACTTTGAAGAAGTTATGAAATTTAATAAAGGTCATTTTTGATATGCATTTTGATACCACTGTGCTTTAAGGAGGAACGTGAAGAAGAGCAATTTTTCTTGAAAGAGCTGTATTTTCAGCTTCTGTGTTGTTTTCATTTTAAGAATATTTTCATCAATATCCTTCCCATTGATGATTAACCTCCCTTGATTTCTTTCTCCGTGAAGTATATTTTTTTTTTTTTGGTAGCAGAATGTCACTTAGATAGTAACTGACTTTATCTCCTAAGAAAGCTCTCTTCAGATGTTTTCATTATCATTTTATTTTATAGGTAGTGGAATATTTTCAATCTATAATGAAGACAGCAAGCTCTGTGCCCAAGCCCAGAACTCCAGCTCAGTCATAACTACCACCTGTGATGAGCACGATGAGTTTCAGAAGTTCAGGTGGGTCTCTGCCACACAGCTGCTGAGCATGGCACTCAAGCTGTGCCTGGGAGTGTTCTCGAAGGACGATGAGGCTGCCATCACCTTGGAATCCTGTAACAGGACAAATGAACTCCAGTGGTGGGAATGTAGAAATGAGACAGTTGCAAGCTATGGCAAGGACTTATTTCTCAACTATGGCAAAGGGAAGGGGAAGAAAATCAGGCTGTCCAAAGGATCAGGCAAAGGAAGCAGGTGGAAAATCTACGGAACTGCAGACAGCGTGTGCTCTCAGCGCTATGAGGGTGAGTACTGAAAATTCATTTCTATTTTTAGGTAACCTGACTGCCCCTATCTACAAAACATTCCACTGTCTGCTTGACAGCTCCATTTCCTTACAGCGTCATCAGTAGATGAGATAGATACAAGCACAGTGTAGAAATGAAGACAAATACAGCTGGATACTTTTTGGCAAATACAACTGTACACATTTCTGCATTACTTGTTAAATGCAATTTTTTCAAATGATGGAATAAAATTACAAAGGCCTATGATGTAATCATAAGGAAGAATGGGAATTCTGTTTGTACAGCAACAGTAAAAAGAAATTTATGACTGTTTCAAAACATGTCTGATCAATTTGTAGAAGAGATGATTATATTGTGTTACTTTTTATTTTTGCTACTACTTGATTTGACCCCGTGCTATCTCTAAGAAGTTAATTTCTAGTTAACATAGATGTAATCCGCCATTAACAACATTTAACTAGTGTTTCCTATGCCTAGTAAAAAGAAAAAGTAGCAAAAAGCAAAAGGAAAAACAGTGCCTAATAGTTTAGGATGCAATAAGTCTTAGCACTCTGACAAAAAAACCACTGGAGAGTCAGATCTCCATTTCCTTCATTTTTATGGATCTTGGGCTATGTAGAGTGGGTATCAAGGTTCAAGTGATCAAACTCCTTTCTGTTGTGACACTGGTAGGTTAGGAAGTTAAATAACAAGGGATTAAATTTTTTATGTGCCCTACAACTGTTCCATCAGGAATGAAGTTTATCATAATTTTGTACAGATAACAGCAAATTAGATTGCATAGTGATGGCAGGGTCACTTCTTAGCAGAGTCATTTGCAAATTTAAGATATAACTCCCTCTCATGAAGACTAATAAAAATACTGTGGTATCTCCTTTCAACGTCTTTTCCACCATGCAAGGAAAAAAGAAAAAAAAAAAAAAAAGAATGTAGACATCACCCAAGGACAGAAGTATGTATGCAGTGGGAGGAGCTGAGTCACAGAGACCTCTGACACAGTAGTCCAGAAAGCAGTGACATGAGAAAGCTAAAAATTATGCCCAATTAAGTGTTGTTTGAGAGTTTTAATTCTGAATACTTTGCCGTAGTAATATCTGATTGGCCCAACAGCCTTGTAAAAGTTTGGGGTAACAAAGTACTGATACGTTTAGCTCTGCACAACTCAGCTGTGTCCATGAAGAGCTGCCTATGGGTGTCACTCTGGTGAACATCTGATACCAACTCAAAGTATTGATCTATACTTTTCTCCATAGATATCTATACACTGGCAGGAAACGCTTTTGGTGCACCTTGCGTGTTCCCTTTTAAGGTCAAGGATAAATGGTACGCTGAGTGCATCCCTCTGAGTGATGACGCAAGCTATCTCTGGTGTGCAACTTCTTCAGATTTTGATAAGGACCACTTGTTTGGATATTGTCCAGAAAAAGGTAATTTATGAAAATTTCAGGAAAGATGTTAAGCAAAAGTTTTATCCACTGACATGGTCAAAATCTTCTTGGGGCGTGGAAGGAGCATCGGCAGCAAGAAGAATTCTGTCTAGCCTAGTTCACTGGTGAGGTATGCAACAATGAGTGAACTATCAGCGCTTCATTCTCACTGCCCTACAGTGCTCCTAAAACTGCTACATATGGGGAATACTCTTAGGGTGGTGACTGGAGCTGATGAAAAAGGAAGAGGAAATCCCTAGGAGTAGCTGAGAAGGAAGTCAGAACAAATGAAAGGCAGAAAGAAGTGCAATGGATGAGGAAGGTGAGACATAGGGAAGCAGGACACAGTACTGCATCACAGGATGGAGGAGAGAACAGGAGAGCTGTAGTGGATGAAAGGGTGCAGGACACAGGCAGTGACTTTCACCTGCTTTCAGTGCTCCAGTGCTCCATACACTTACAAATCATCCAACACAGCTTTCCAATAACCCCAGCACAAATTCCCTACCCATTCATCCTCATTTCATGCCTGACTGTTTGGACATGATAATTTCTGTCATTTTGGGAGTTCTGGGAGAGCAGAAGGAGAGTTTGAAGCTAAGAAATAGGTGTAGAGGCCAAGATTTCTATATGGTGAATAGAGAAATACTTGAGTACAGGTAGAATATATCAGTGGGAGGATTAATGTGGACTGAAAGTAGGTAAGTTATATAAAAAAAAGGAACAAGGTCAATGTAGAAAAATTAAGGTTTGTAAGGTGACATAAGTCCTTATGTGATTAATATATTATTAATATTTAACAGACAAAGTATATTTCATGTGGGGAAAAGTATATGTTAAAATTTTCAAATCATACAGTTATATGGTTTTAGTCTGCAAAAAAGATTTTATTTATCATGTCAAATCACTGGTATCATTTTTTATAGACATCACCCACAATAATCTTTGGAAAACAAATCCTGTGACACAAACCCGCTATCAGATAAACTCGGAGTCACTTTTGACATGGCACCAAGCAAGAAAAAGCTGCCAGCAGCAGAATGCAGAATTATTAAGTATCACAGACCTTCGTGAAGAAATGTATTTATTAGGTAAAGTAAAAAAAAAAACAAAAAACAAAAAACAAGTTGTTTAAAATATAGGTCAACTCCAAGAGCTTTAACACGGATATTTATATTTGACTTGTGAAAATAGGTCTCAGTGACATACTTAAAAGAGCTGGTCCCTAATCTATATTACAAAAAATAGATACCTCCTATGACACTTTAGCCCTCATGCTTTAAAATACAATTTTCAGTTTTCCTGAGTAGCTTACAAAACCTGAGGCACTGAGTAACTTGACTGATTGTTTCTTTTGGCTGTTTAGGGCTCACTAGTGACCTGGGCGTCAATGCAAAGCTCTGGACTGGTCTTTACAGTGCTCTTGACAGTGGCTGGCAGTGGACTGGGGGCACTCCTTTCAGATACCTGAACTGGGCTCCAGGTAATTGCACTGTTAGTAAATGATGAGCAGCATCTGGGGCAAAATTTCTGTTTCTCTCCCCTCTTCTCTCTTCCCTCTCCTCCCCTCCCCTCTTCTCCCCTCCTCTTCACCAAATTCTTGTTACCTAATTTCTTTGGTTTCACAGAATTTTCACAGGTTATGAGGAATTATGGGAAAGGTAGGATATTACAGTAACAGGAGTCATACCAGAGATAGGTTGTTATTGATTCTGAATTTCCCAGAAAAAACAGATAGCTCATCAAAAAAACCAGTTGAAAATAAATATCTATACCTCATTGTATTTTTTCCATCCACAATTTTCTCATCAGGCATGTTATTCAATTCAAATAAAAACACCTCATGACAAATGATATAAACAGAATATAAAGAAGAAAGGAAATAAATAAACAGCATAAAATATTTTATATTGTTCTCAGCTGATGTTTATGATGTTTATTTGATGTATTTTATCTTAGTAAGCTTTGACTCTTTTCTCAGGACCTAAATCACCATCTTGCATGTTGTTGTGTTACCTGTTTTCATAATAGCAGTTGCGACTACAAGGAAATTGAAAGGGCAAGCACACTTGTGGGAATTAAATACACATTTCACATCCAGTATTCAACAGTAAAGGATCTTCAGTTGTTTGCAATACTATCACTCCATAAGGAATTGTGTCTTAGATAAACTTTTATAAAACTTTTTTTTTCTACATGCTGCTGTTCTTCAAATACACTGAATTTCTTCTTCAGCAGTGTATAAGAGAAGAGGGGCATGTCTCACATTTGAAGTGTCAGCCCTCTTGGCCATCCCAGTGATGCTCCCTTGTCACCTCTCGGAAATTATTACTCTAAAGATTAATACTCCAGTGGCTTTGCAGCTGCAAAAGTCTTGTACATTCTCTTCTGTTAAAAAGTGAAAATTTTCAGTGTAAACAGAAGGATTCTGTACCTCTTTTTTGAAGGAAACCCCTCTGTGGAATCTGGAAGAATATGTGGGACCTTCCAAGGTAGGAATGGCAAATGGGAAAACCAGGTGTGTGATCGGAAACTGGGATATATCTGCCAAAAGAGAAACAACTCCTTGTATCCTTCCACTATTGCCCCAGGTATGTTGGTCAAAAACTAAGGCTATTTTTACAGTCAGTGAGAAATACTGAGAGGGTGCTATGTATGAAATGACAATACATTGTTAAAACAAAAGGATCACACTTGATGACCTGGGTCAAATACTGAGAAATCAATTTTCTGATTTGTTTTGAAGATGATGCCCAAAGGTTGTTCATCATTTTGAAAAGATCCCAGAGTACTAAAGAAGGCAGGATTAGGTGTTTAGTCATATTATCCAGACCATGAAATACTGATGAATATCCTGTGCTCTAAAAAATACTTCTAAGATATGTTCTGCTAAAAGATGTGAGCCAGAGTTAATGCTCCCCTTCTGTCTCTGATGCTTTTTGTTCTATTCAGGAAAAAATCAGGGGGATGCATGGCCCATACATATCCTGTATATTCTGGCCACACTTGGAATGATTTCTGACCTTTGTTGACCAAGGCTGGATGTTGTTTAGGGGAATACAAGTTTGCCCAGCTCAAAACCGTGTTCAGGGAGCATTGGACCAAGTGGTTGATCACACATCAGTGTTGTGCACATATCCTTCCCTCTTCAGTTTACTGTGCACATGCAGATCACGTGAACTTTCCCAGCAGTGGAAGGTGGCTGAGCATACTAAATTCACTCCAAGAAAGAAGTGCTGAACAAAGTGTGCAGCATTTCTGTGCAGCTGGGATTTCTGACACGTCTGGTATAGCATAAATGTGTCTGGACTCACTTATATGTTATTTGGGTTGTGCAGAAGCTCCTGAGCCTCTGGTGTTTCCCGAGGAAAAAAAATATACAAAATCTATAGATTGAACAAGATAGAGTTCTTGACTAGGAAAAGAGGCCATTTTCTGTCAAACATGGCTGTTCCCAGAGCCTCACTGAGGGGGATTTAAAATGGATTTGTGCCCTGCAAGTTTGCATGCCAAATTACTCAGTACTTACTTAATCCTGTAAGAAAAGGGTATTTTTTTATTTTGGTAGCTCCCAGCACAACTGGGAGACAAAAATTTGTTCTGTAATCTTTGTAACCCTCAGATTTTGGCTTCTCTCCTCCAGTATGTGCTCCAGTATTTCAAATTCGTGTCAGTATAGGTAATTTTTCTTTTTGATGAAAATAAAGCACTGACAGGACTGCCCATTAATTGTTTGACATCATTTTTTTTTAGGTGACTTAAAGCCTTTTAAGTGCCCCAGGGAATGGGTGCCCTATGCAGGTCATTGCTACAGAATTTATAGAACACCAAAAATATGGAAAGAAGCCCAGTCTTCCTGCAGAAAAGAAGAAGGAGAACTTGCAAGTATTCATAATGTTGAAGAGTACAGTTTTACAGTGTCCCAGCTTGGGTACAGTGAGTATTCCTGCAGGTCACTACTTTCTTAATCTGAAATTACACTGTTTGCTATTATTCATTTAATCATTTAATCACATAATCATATAATTCATTTAATCAACCAGAATTTTAATTTTGTTTTAATAAAAAAAGTTCTTCTTCAGTCAAAAATGGATGTGAGGTGTGATTGTTCCATTTCAAGACATCCCCATACCTACAATTAACTTTGTGTTCCCAGAGTCAGATGATGAGCTGTGGATTGGTCTCAATGACTTCAGAGTTCAAATGTATTTTGAATGGAGTGATGGCACACCTGTGACTTATACCAAATGGCATCACGGAGAGCCAACCCACACATGGAATAAGGCAGACTGCATTCGTATGAAGGGAGAGGTAAAAATCCCTCCCCCACTCTTATGCTTTCTTCTGTCCTTTGAGCCCCCATAAAAGGAAAACATCCATGATTAAAAACAAAACAAAACAAAAAGGATGATGGTTTTAAAAGTATTTATGAACTTGGTTTAATTCAAGGTATCTTAGTGTGGAGGGAGACTGGAGACCAGGTCTAGGAAGGTGTAAGATGGAGCACCAGAAACAGTTCACTGCATGGAGACTCGGTCTTCTCTGCAACAGTTTCCATCTGAAATTGGTTGAAATAACTCATCATCCACATTTAACATGACTAATCATAGTGGTATAGATTATTGGAGCAGGAACTTCCTCATTTTTCCTCCAAAATAACTAAAATATATTTTTAGAGCTGAAAAAAAAGATCTATCTTGTTTTATGTTCAGCATAAAAAGGCATATTATGCAGTGGAAAAATATTTTTTTATATTTTATGTTTAGTTTATCCAGCATTTCCTTGCTATTGTCATCTGGTTATATGAATATAATAGATACTATGCTGGTGAGAAGAGAGTGGAACAGTATGTTTCCTTCCTGCTCTCTGAATCTTTAATACATCCAGCCCTCATTTTCATAGCTCTGAGGATATGTGACCCTCACTGTCTTTATGGGGGAATTTTGGAGAAAAAGCAAGGCAAGGAAGAGAGCTGAAACAGTCTCAGACATATGAAAAGAGAAGGGTTCTTTTGAGGATGGTGAATATTCTTGTTGGATCTGAATTTTCTTTAGGTTTCACTTCCCTCTGTTGTTTATTCTTACTATACTCAGGATGGATCCTGGGCTGACAGTGCCTGTGAAATGAAATTTGGCTACATCTGTAAAAGGAAACCCTTGGCTGAAGAATCAGGGGAAACTGAGATTAGTTACCCAGGCTGCCAGAAAGTGAGTGTAAAACAAATGCAGCAGAAGGTGCTGCATATGACTTTCATTCTCATGATCATAATTAACATAGAAGCAAATTATTTTGACTTTCGTTCTTGGTGGGACCTTGAAAACTGTTAATTTCATATGTATTGATACTTTTTAGACTAAAGGGGAATTTTTTTCTTTATTTAACTGAAGTGTAGATAGACCTTTTTATTTCCTTACAAGTGTACTTGACTCATCTCTCTCCTACTGCAGAACTGGTCACTGTACCCATAAAAGCAACTCTCTGCAAAACATATCAGCCTTATTCAGGCTGTAACTCACTGGTCATGGGTTGCACGTAGCCTTCTGAGTTCATTCAATCTTCCACAGGAATAAGGAATATTTGAGTCCACTGTTTTGCAGATTGTTTGTATCCTGTTGCAACAGCTATTCTTAAGCAATGAGAAGCCAGAGCAAGCTTTTCACAGGGAGCTGCAAAGTGGCTGTGACTGTGGTTGCCAACCCAAAGGCAATCCCACAGCTCACTGTTTGCAAAGACCTCTTGTGTGTCCTTTTTCAAGAGTTATGGTTACAAAAGCTATGTTTGATCATCCTCTTGGTTTCTTCCTGTGGTTTCTGAGAGCAGTTTTGACTTTGGGTGTGGTAATTGGAATTTGTGGCTTTTGGAAGTGCACAAAGCTGTGCAATCTGACAGCCCCTCTGTACATCTCTGCTGTTGACACTGACAGGGCTGGATGAAACACGGCTTTTACTGTTACTCCCTGGGGCAGTTACCAGCAACATTTTCAGATGCAAAAAAAATCTGTGAAGAAAACAAAGGTTACCTTGCTACTGTGAGAGACAGGTATGGAAACACAATTCTTGTCCTTTAATGTATGTAACCAGGGTGGAAGAGAAATTTCTCCTTATTCACAGTGTCTGTCTAGTGTGACACCACTCTTTTTTGCAGGAAAATTTATGGAAGAACTGATGAAATATTGCTATAGATCAGGGGCTTGTAGGTCATGAAAACATTCAGGCCAGTGCTACTACACACTTATACTGGTGTTGCCTTCATGAACTAAAAAACGGGATCACCCCCACCACAACCTCAGACTGACAGATTCTTTTAAAACTTTTTGAACTAAAAATAAACAGATAAGCATGGAACTATTTCTTCTAGATTCTAGGGGTTTGGTGGGTTTTTTTGTGTTTGGGTTTTTTTTTTTTTTTTTTCAACAGGTAGGTTTGGAAACTTAACTGTTTTAGAATAAAAGCATAGGAACTCATTATACAGAATGAGTAACATATATGCATTTATACAATATTGTGGGGCTTGTATTGTTCATTGTGCAATATAAAAGGGGAATAGGATCACTCTAAATTCTTGACATGATTTATATTAACAAAAAGTAAAATAAAAATTACTTTGTATGATAATTAGAACTATAAAAGTAAGATGATTACCCTTGCTTCATTTCATCCATACTGAAAAATAACCTTAACTTTACCAAATTTGCTACAATGAAGTGTTTAAAGAAATGTACAAATGATGATAAAATGTGATACATCATTTTGGTACTTACTCTTCACAGATATGAACAAGCTTTTCTGACTTCCATAACTGGATTCAATCCAGCAAAATACTTCTGGATTGGTCTTTCAGACGTGGAGGAGCAGGGGACATTCAAGTGGGCCAGTGGGGATCCAATCACCTTCACTCACTGGAACGTGGGAATGCCTGGTATGTGCCATGGGGGCCACTGAGTTTCTGCTCTGAGGAACCATAAAGTGGGCATTTAAAAGCTAAAAAAATTGTTTAGAAACTCTTCTGGCAGAAAGCAACCAAAAGGACAATTCAACTTTCCAGTTTTGCTACAGGGATTAAATCAGGGGTTCTGATAACTCCTTCAAGAAGGTCACTTGGGGCTGCATATGTCTTTTGGTACCATGCACTCTTTATTGTTTGATGGTTTTCTTAAGTGATTCCTAGTATAATGTGAAAGGAATTTGCTAAAATTTCTTTTTATGATTTATGGAAATGCACATGAGCTATTGTGACCTATTGATATCCAAACACAGTGAGAACAGGTTACTCTTAAGTAAGCAGCATATACTTTGAAAAGATGCAGTCATCGATAAGATTTAACAATTTTATGTTTCATGAAGGAGGTGAGTCAGGCTGCGTGGCCATGACAACAGGAACTTCAGCTGGATTATGGGATATTGTGAACTGTGAAGAAACAAACATGTTTCTCTGCAAGCAGCTGGTGGAGGGAGTGACTCCCCCTCCTCCTCCTCCAACGATGTCCCATCTTCTGCTCTGCCCAGAGGGATGGCAATCCATTCCTCAGAGCAGCTTCTGCTTCAAAGTAGGTGTTTAATTTGTGAATGCAAACACTTGTCAATTAAAATAAGAATATGTTCTGTGTATCCAAGGTTGATTTTACCCTGCCTACCCGATAGGCAGTCTGTGGTAACGTCTCTCCAGCCAGCCGCAGGTGGTGTGGCTGGGAAGTGCTGGACAAAGCAGTATGTGTGTCCATCTGAAGTTTGGAGCCAGAGAGGCTCTGAGGTGATGGGAAAAGCAAAGTCGCAATAATCAAATTTGATAGATGATCCCAGGCTTACGGTTGCAAAATTAAATATTAAGCAATAAAACTAGACCAGAAGACTACAACAAAGATAGAAGCCTTTATTTCTGTTTCTAGATACCTGTAATACCCAACAAGGTATTTAGTTGACCACTTTTTATAGATTTTTCAGGGAGGAAGGGAGAAAATGAAAACATGGTTTGATGCAAAAGATTTTTGCAGAGCCATCGGAGGAGATCTGGCATGTATCCACAGTGAAGAAGAACAAAACCTGATAAGTAGATTGTAAGTATCTGCACAGTCCATTATTTAAATGTAAGAAAAGAAAATTAGAAATTACCTTTCTGAAAGACATAAATGATTTCTGGTGATCAATTTATACTTTACAATGATGGTGTATATCCTTTCAAAGTGGCAGAAGGAAATGGGTAAATAGAAGTGAGCAATAGGGTTTTCTTGACAGACCTCAGGGAAGATGGTGCCATGCATTGAAGCAGCCTGAACATAAACAAAACTGAGAGAAGTATCATGAAAGCTGGTTTCAACTGAATTTAGTTCATTTGTAGTTGATCAGTGGGTAAAATATTCTTGATTAAAGGAATATTTCATGCTGGTTTCTTACCTTAGTTAAGGGGAAAAATTTGGAGATTAAGGAAAACCTGACTTATAGATGTGCTTATATAAATGTTTCAGTCAAGCCTATGAGTGCAGATGTGTCTGAATTTGGATGCCTAATCTACTTGGTGGAACCAGGTCCTTAAAATATATTTTCATTTAACTCAGTATTTGTAAACTCATGACATCTATTATCTTTTGCATGAAGTGCTGTGTTTCATTGCTTACTGCTACATGCAGTGCCAGGGTGTTTTTCTCCACATGACAATTGAATGATTACTTTATATGACTGTCTCAAATGATACTTCAAGTTTCTAAACACTGAAAATAATATAATACTATACATGCCCCTTCTCTTTTTCATGCTGTGATTGTCCTTATTTGTAATCATTCAGAGAGAGAGATTATATTCATTTTTCATACTGGATGGGTTTAAGTGGCTTGGACTCTGACAGTGGATTTACATGGAGTGATGGTTCACCAGTGAGTAAATAATTTATTATTCCAACTTTTTTTTACTATTTTTTTTTTATTTATATCTTGGCAGGCAGCTCTCAGAACACTTCCTATACAAGCTGCAAGTGGTCTTAAGTCTTTCTAACCTAATTCTTGTCTAGGAATTAGTTTTAATCTCTTGGTAGTTCATAGAAATAGATGAAAATACGGCATTTGAAGTAAAGAAATAACACCAAAGGTGATGGAATATTGCTCCTGATCTAGGCAAATCTAATTGTGCTAATCTCTATATTCCCATTTATCATTTGCTGTAAGAAATATTTGTTTACATTTATAAAAACTAGGCTTTTCTGCCTTCGTTGCCTTAAGTAAATCAAGATCTGCAAGGTCCAAGCCCATATGGCATCACCGATGGATTGTCTTAGGTTGAAAAATCTGAGCAGGATAAACAACCCAGGGATCAGAGAACACACTTCTTTCTAGAGCTCGACAGGGAAGCGTTGTCTTCCCTGTTAAAAAACAGAGCAAGCACTTCTTGGCTTACTAACATGGCTTATAAACATACAGATGAACCCTTTTGCTATTCAAGGCTCATGTACTTCTTAAAAGGTCTGGCACTGAAGAGTAAAATGGACTATGAAATCGAAAGGAAGTATATTCTTCTTTAACAGATACAAGACAATTGTTTCATTTTAAAAGCAAAATAGTAACAAAACTATGTGTTCCACTCCAGGTAAATTTTGAAAAATGGTCACATGGAGAACCAAACAATTACGATGGAAATGAAAAATGTGGCGTGTTTAATGGCTACCTCAATATGAACTGGAACGATTTATTTTGTGAACACATGCTGGACTATGTTTGTCAAATTAAAAAAGGTAAGATAACTTTCTTCCTTTAGCAACTTCTGGAGGTAGATTAGAACATCCTTTCCAGGTCAGATCACTGAATCTGCTGGGCCATCAATCACAATGAAACATTTTATACATTTAAGTAAAAGCTGTTGAAAACTATTAATACATGAGATACACAGGTAAGTTTGGGATGTGTGTGCAGCATGCTGGGGAAGTGTAATGTAACAGCCTAAAGCTGGACATAGTTTCTGTAAGCTTAACTTGTGATCGGCTCTACCATGCTATTTTGCTGAGTATAGCACTTTTTTTTCAGATACTCTGAGAAATTCTGTAACAAAAATAAGCATATTGAATAACCCTTAAGATTATGACTTGAAGTTAAAATGGTAATTACTGTATAAATGTATTTAATTGAGAGTTGTCTGAGAAGCATAATATACCCAGATATTGATTTATATTGCAGGAGCGCCACTGAAACCAGAGCCTAATTCTACATTCCGTAAGTCTTATACTGCCAATTAAAAAAATTAATTAACATATAATTCATGTTATTTTCTACTACAGACTGCTTAATGTTTTAATTTGCAGATTATCAATATGTTGTTGGTGAAGATGGCTGGATAACTTATAAGGACAAGGAATACTATTTCAGCAGAGAAGGAATGCCTATGCAAAAAGCCAGAGACTTTTGCAAGAAGAATGGTGGTGACCTTGCTGTCATTGAGAGTGAAAGTGAAAGAACTTTTCTTTGGAGATATGTAAGAAACATATTTGCTTCAAATATGCACAATTTTATGTTGAACTGATGCACCTTTTTTCAACTGGCTTGTGAAATGTTAAAAAGTAGTCCCCCTCATAAAAGGAATCAATGCCACCTTTTATCTTTTCATGGGCTTATTTAGTTAGAAGCTTTACCATAATCATTATTTTGATAAATTTCTAAATGTAGACAAATACTCTCAGGGTACAGCTTTCAAAGACCTTGCTCTGTTTAGCTGAAAGCTGTAATTAATGATTATGTTTTGCTTTCTAACTCATTCTTTTCACAGAATTCAATAAAAGCTTTTTGTCATAACATATCTCATATTTTAAGTAAAAGGTTTAAGACAGAATATTTTCTAGTAGGAAGAGGATGACCTGATGATAATATGCTGTTTTGAAAATAGTTTCATAGTGTTAAAACTGAATTTGATTCCATTCATTCCTCCTCCATGACTAAGGACTAAAACCCACCATTTACTTGTAGCCTTTCAGCAAATTCTCACTATGCTTTCCTAAAACTCTTAAAAATATTCTTATAAGCCTGCTTAAGAGGTTGTTCTTAACACAGCTTTTTGCTTAATTTCTTTTTCAGCTCACTCTGCTTTAAAAAAAAAATAAATATTTATTCTCAAAATTGAAGGAAAATTTAAAATTTTGCACTTTGCAGTTCAGGTACATAATTCCAGTAATTCCCTGTGCATTGTATATTATGCAATCTGTACAAATGAAACTGCAGCATTTTTTGAGAGTTTGCTTGTTTTATTTGAAATCTGTTTTATACAGATCATTAAAATTGTGCGGTTTTTTGTTTTGTTTTAGATTTTCTATAAAGACTGGGGAAATAACTTCTATATTGGCTTAAGTGTGAGCCTTGACAAAACATTCCGGTAAGTAAAAACAAATTAATTTTGTCAGACGCGTAACGTGAATATTTGGCACGGTTGTCTGTAGGAGACGATTGAAATTCAGTGACTGACACAACCTGTCTACAGCCATGTCCTTGGCTACTTTTTGAAAATAAATTTGTGAATCACCAAACTAGGAAATTATTTTTGCATAACTGGAAAAAACCCCCAACAAGTAACTAATAGGTGTATAATAGTCAAAGATTTCTTTTGCTTAACAAAATGGTTCTTAGTGGTTCTCAGTACCTGGTGCAAGACTTTTTGTTTCCCTACAAGTTCTTATATTATTGCTTTTATATCCAGGAAATTGATAAAATAGGCTCAGTTGTCCGTTTCTGTGCTCCAGATAAAGCCAGGTCCAGTGCTAGGCTGGTGCATTTCCTGCGCACTCTCAAAGTTCAGAGACAAAGAAAGGCTGGAACAACCAGATAAGATGATTAGTTAGACCTAGACAGGGAGAGAGTTGATATAAAGATTTTTTTTACTAATTCCAGTGAAAGGTCTTGGTTTTCTCGTAGCAGGGAACAACATGTGTCTGTAAGCTAGGATACAGGAAACTTAAAATACAAAGCTCAAGTACTTGCTTTGCAAAGAAATATTAACTAATTCAACTAAGAATTAATATTTCCTCAAATTACTTCTTTCAGGTGGATGGATGGAACCCCAGTGAACTATGTTGCCTGGGCTCCAAATGAACCCAATTTTGCAAATAATGATGAGAACTGTGTGGTCATGTATACCCATACAGGTGCGTATAGTGTAGCGCCGTTTAATCTGCAGGGTATGACAAGGCTCGGGAGGGCTGCACAGGCAAGGCTGGGAGAGTTACAATACTGAGCACACTGATGTTGCATAGAGTATTCAAAAAGCAAAGGAAAATAAATTCTATTCTCTTCTTTCATTTGTGCACTTTTAAAAAATTGAATTCCATGTAGCTAACACATTGGATTACATCTGCGATTTGATTCCTAGTTTTGTCAGAAAATTTCGAAGTGAACAGATCAGGTAAACATCAGGACATTTTGCAGATTCAGTATTTTTTTCCTCAAAAGATACTCAGAAAACTATAAGACTGTAAGAAGCTCAGGTAGTAAGACAATAAGGACTGAGTGCCTTGTATAGGCAGAGTGATTCTAGAGATCTTACAGAATTTAGAGAATTAAGCATTTGAACTAAAACACCCCTTTGACAGTGCTATGGTTTTGCAATATTGAAATATTTCTAGGTTTAAAGAAATTATTCATATTCTGAATTTTGCTGGAAACCCGAACATTTCTAAGAAAGAGACATAAAAATTATATATTATTATTTCTGAAGGAGAGAAATACAAATACTGTAATCAGTTCTACTTCCTATGATAGATTTTCTGTAGGAAAAGGCACTTTTTATCTCAGTCTCAGTTGCATTTTGTCTTTTGTTTGTTTGTTTGTTTGTTTTAATTCTAATTTGCTTTCAGGTACATGGAATGATCTCAACTGTGGCAGTGTTGAGTTATTCATCTGTGAAAGGCTTAACAACACTGTTCGTCCAACTGTTGCTCCCACTTCACCACCACCAAGGGGTGGGTGCCTGGATGACTGGCTTCTCTTTGATAACAAGGTGGAGTATGAAATGTCAATATGCTGTCTTTTAAAAAAACAGGGTTTTCAGTTGTCACAAAGAATCTTCTGTTCATGTGTATTTGGAGACTTTAACATACAAATCCTAAACCTGAAATTATAGCCGCTATTGGAATCACAGCAGCTATGAGGGAGGACATGAGACATATAAGAAGAAAGCTTCATCTTACTTTTTGCTAATGTTTTATGTTGCCAAAGATGGCTGAACAACCTTCCTTGTGTGGAGCTGTTGTATGTTCTTGTTTACTATGCTGAGGTTATCTGGCTCTCACACATTGCGTGGATGTCTGCTTATCCCTTGCCTATTATGCACTGGCTCTCCATTAAGACACCTTCCCTTGAGCAAATTTGTCTTCTTTTTTTTCTAACGAAACACCTGTTGAAGTTTTTAAGTAATGCAGTTATAAGATTCACTGCACTTTACTATGTACCATCACTCCAAGCCTTCTCAAAAGACAAAACTTCAGGATAAGAGACTGTACCTATTAAGCATCCATAGATTTTTATCAATGAAGCTATTAAAGGTAGAAAACAACAGCGTACACTACAATACTAGTACTAGAATACACCTAACAATGAAGATAATTCTCACTTGCATTACTTTGTCTAGCTCTGTCTTTCCTTCGGCTGAGCCAAAATATTTCAGTTTGATAGAGATCCTTTGTTTGAGATCCGCTGGCTGTTGTCTCCTTTTTCCTTTCTCAGTCACAAACTCAGCATATTCAATTTCGTGGTTCTCTCTCAAGCTAAAATATCTCTGTCTTCCTCACATCCTGGAAGAGGAGCTTTCAAAGGCTCCTCCCTTGACTCCTGCCCACGTGTTTATTCACTGTTTCTGACAATCACGACACTACCTTCCTTTTTTGCTCAACTTTTCCCCAAATTGCCTGCTTAACTTTTCTATTACATGCTTTAAACTTTTCTATTACATGCTTTAGTTAGCACATTTACATTGCTTGACTTTAACAAAGCTGTCTGATGATGTCTTAGTTAAATCTCATAAGATTGTATTACAAGAAATGGTAAATTATGGTTTTCTTTATAATACTGAAATCATTGTCTTTCTGTGATTAAACTGGGAGAACCAAACCTGATTTGACAGACAGGGCAACAGGAACTGAGATATTTTGATTCAATAATATATCTTATCCTTGTCTTCTTCAGCATTTCTCTCACAAATTTACACCTCAGAATTGTGCTCAGAAGATTAATGCAGTTTCTGCTGAGATCAATAGACTGACATATTCTTTCTTCTAAGTGTATGCTAAAATACTGGCCTTTATACTAATATTCTAGTAGAGATCTTCTCTATTACTAAAACCTGAAGACAAACTAGAAAGTACTCTTAAATCAGCTAATTTCCTTTTTTACTTTAAATATTTGGGTTATCTTGTTTGTTACAAGCAGAGGTGCTTTCACCAGAAATAAAAACATCCTCCATTTACAGAATTGGCACACTTCTCTTTTTCAGTGTTTTAAAGTATTTGGCCTTAATGAAAATGACACATTGACATGGCATGCTGCACGGAACAATTGCATTGATTTTGGAGGAAACCTGGCTACTATATCAAAAAAAGAAGTGCAAGGTATAAAGTACCCATGTTTTGATACTGGATGAGACACCATGATAAAAAAGATTAAAACAGATGTTGTAGCTTCTGCAATATATGCTATTGTTTATTTGATATTAATATAAAGTTATGTTGAATGAGAAATTGAGTTTTTGGAAAAAAAATGCATAGGTTTTAGTGTCTTGATTAATTTTGAAAATCAGAGTTTTGGGGTTAATATAGGATGTACTGTTCAAACATTAAGATTTTACATTTGGGGCTTTTCTTATAATAAAATGTCCACATTTTCTTTTGTTTTAAGGAAGCAGATAATCTTTGAGGTCCCTTCCAACCTAGGCCATTCTAAGATTCTATGTAAAAATAGCACAAAAGGGAGTAATACCCAAAATCAAATCACCATGCACCCAGCTGCTGAGCCAAATACTGTGGGTGTCAGTGGAGGACACATCCTCAGGCAGCAGAAGACTCCAATGCCAGCAGTCACAGCTTCCCCCTGTTCCTCTTGCTCTGCTGGACTTCAGTCTGCTGGTCTTGTTCATCATCTTGCAGGCTTTTTAGGAGGCCTCATATTTCCTTGGGAGTTGCACTGCCTCAGGTCCTGAGAGTCACACACAAATCATCTCCCAGCTCCCTTCATCAGTGATAGTGGTTTATACTTTTTCTCCTGTAGCAGAGGAAGGACATCATTTTAGTGGAAAGTCAGTTTAAGCAGGAGCTAAGAGAAACAGTATCTGGTGTTCTACAAAGCTGGGATCACAGTTCATACATACTTTGTTATTAAGTAGTTTTATTTGTGTCATGCCTGTTTAGAAATGAAATTTTAAGCCAGGTTACCAAAGTAAATTACCAAAAAAAGAGAAGGGAATACAGAGTCTAGAGACTTGTTTTCTACGTGCCAAAGTTTATGTACTCTTGTCAATTTCTGTAATACATTAAAACATTTTCCATGCTTCCTCAGATGATGAACAATATGAAGGAGTATACACATAAATTTGCATTTTATTAAAAATTTGCCCATCATTGAGTTTGTAAAGACTTTTTCTGATTTTAATATCAGATGAATGATTATCTATTAATTTTATTGTTATCATAAGACTGACATCTTATTATAAAGAGAGAACCAAAACTCATCATCCTGATTCCAGGCACTCTAAAGTCTGCAGTGTTGGGGAGGGTTCAGTTTCCTTCCTTATGTAATATTTCTTTTTTTCCTTCAGCTTTCCTCATGTCCCTCTTAAAAGAAGCTGCTACTGATGCTTGGATTGGACTGAATGACATAAATCAGGAGCACACGTACTTATGGACAGACGGAAGTCCAGTAGACTATACAAACTGGGCGAAAGGTTCCCGAAGTTATTATAGTATGGTAAACATCCATTTTATCACTTAAACGTTATAAGTTTGGTAGATGGCTAAAATGTATGTAGCTACTATTTTCTGTTGGCTTTTTTCCCTTTGCGAAGGCTTTTAGTAATCCTGTTGCTTTATAAAAGCAGAGTGACCATGTGGGAGATCTATCTACACGCTTTTTTTTCAACTTCTGTGTTTTGTCATGGTTCTATATGAGTCCAGACAAAGGTTTGGAAGTATTATGCAAAACACAGAAAAGTGAGGAAGTTCCCTCACTTTACCATGACTCATCAGGAGATTCAAATAAATAATAGCATAAACTATATAATTTTGGGATGCAGTGAATGTTATTTAGATTTGCTAAAAATACTCAGATAACTGTGTATATTGACATTTCTTGGCACTGAAGTTGGTAAGATAATCCTCAAAAGAGGGAGAGTGGCTCTTCCTTTTTAATTTTTATCCTCCTCTAATCTTCCTTCTTAAAGATTCCATCTATATGCTTTGAAACTTCTGACGTGGCTGTATCTTTTTGTGTTTAATTGTAAGATAAAACTTGTCTTGCAACTGTAAGAGCATTATTTGGTAATTGTAAAATGGCTAATGTAGAATACTGTCCAAGAATATTATTTCTGTAATCCTGTGATAGCTTTACCAAGTGTCTCTTTTTTTCATAACACAATTGCTTCAAGTTCAGCTAAAGTGGAAAAAAGTTCTGTGAGGTCCAATTCCTGCTGCCATCGGGCTCAAGCTGGGTTTTAGGATCTCCAGGACTTCCCCATCTCACGGATACAGAAGGCTGCAGAAAGTTGCACTACTTAATTTCTGCAGAAGGCTGTGACCATTCCCCTCCAGAAACTGTTCCACAGCTTCCTTCACTTGCAGGAAGACATGGGCTAGTGCCCTGAGGGGTTTTGGAGGTAGCATGAGGCTATACTGATGTGAGGTGGGGAAAGCTGCTGTCTCCTGCTGCAGAAAGCCAAGCAGCAACTTTTCATGCTGTGGGTGGAAAATGAGGAAGGTACAAAGTGCAGTGGTAAGGGTTTCGGGAGGTGTCCCCCACAAAATGTTGTTTCTGGCAAACCACCTCTACATTACAGCACTGTGGTGACCACTTTGGTTCCCAGTGCTGAACTGGGGCAGGAAGCGGAATTCAGCTCTCCAGGCAAGCTTCAGTGCTGAGGAGAGATTCCCTGAAACCTCCAGGAACACAGGAGCAAATCTGTGGTCCACATCTAGTACACATATATCTACCTGTACACATGCACATACATACACAGTCATGCATAGAGAGTATATATGCACAGATAGTCCCAGACACTTCTTCCTGCCTCTGTGCTGTGCTTTGCAACTCCTTTCATCATCCAAGTGCAAAATTTTCTAGGGCTGAGTTGCAAATGCTTATTGTGATATTACTGTGCCTGACCATTGCTTACATGAGTCCATATGTGCATATATCTGACCTTCATGTTATTCATCTGTATGTACCTGCGTGTGATAGGTGAGTCTGTGAGACCTGAATGTTTTCTACCTGCCCACATGTTTTCTTGTTTATCTCATTTGTCTTGTAGGATGATTGTGTCTTTATGATGAAGAACCCTATTGAACAAGCAGGGAAATGGAAAGATGAAGGATGTAAAACAAGCAAAAGTTACATATGCCAGAAAAATTCTGGTGAGTTTCCTTTCACTGCTTTCTAGTACAGGTGATTTATTGTGGTTATTTCAAACTCATGTTCAAAGTGACTTTCCTGTAATTCCACCCTAGTTTAACTGAAATTAATGAGTGTATCACATGCACTATGGACCATTTTACCAAAGTACTCACACTTTTTTAATTTATTTTTGAGAAAATCTTTTAACCTTTCCTATTTTAAGGACTAGACCTGTAAATTAAAAAAATCTCTGGATCATCATGTGTTTTACTGCTTTTGGCAATCGTATGGGCAAGTGCTTTGTCTTTATATGGGTAAATTATTCAAAACTGGAATTCTACTCTTATACTTAAAAGCACTGCTACTTCTTTATTTTGTAAAACTACCCTGCTTGATTTCCCTTACATTCTTTCTCAGGCAGCTTCAGCAGCAGCAGTTATATCCCTCTGCTTGGTCACAGTGTACTTATTCCTGTTCCTTATCAGAATGCTACTATATAATGGAAATTGTTACTATATACTGGAAAAAGTGAAGGAATTGTTCCCTTTAATGCCTACATTGGTACAATATGCTTTGGGTAGGTCTGGTGCTTACAAGGTGCATTCCTGGAGATGATATAGATATTTATGCTAAAAAATAATTCAGACAAGTATTAGAAAATTTTGTCACAGTACATGAAAATGTGACATTCATCACTGCAGTGATAGTTTGGACATACCTTAATTTGTTATTGCAGTCTCTCTTAATTGCTTGACCACCTCAGTAACTAGATTTTCTCTTAGTGTTGTATGTCTGAGGCAATATAAAGTTTGACTTTCCTTTTGGTTTTTTATTTTCTTGTTATAGACCCCAAAGTGCACAACTCCCAACCCACAGCTCCGGTGCTTGGCTTTCACAGCTATGGTGATGATCGCTATGCAGTCATCAAGGAGAAAATGAGCTGGGAAAAAGCAGAGAAGGAGTGCAGAGACCAGTCGGCAGAACTGGCCAGTGTCTTGGATCCTTATGCTGAATCTTACGTGTGGTTACAAATAGTAAAACTCGGGGAGCCTGTGTGGATTGGCCTAAACAGCAACACAGTGAGTCTACTGAATGCGAGTGACAGTCATACCACTGTCTTAGATGAGTTATCAGTCAGATCCACAAATGTGTGGCAGAAGTCAAAACCTCTTGTGGGATACTGACTTCCCTCCACTTCAGGGCATTTACACATTTAAATGTTTATCCATAGTGTAAGTGAGAACTGCCGCAGCCCACAATTAAAGGCCACCAAGGATGTACCTGCATCAGATAGTGGTTTCAGTGGTAAAGCACTTGTGGAGTTCCCACTTCCTATGCAATGGTCTACCATATACTCGTGTGGGGGTTTGTTGTCTTTTCTGAAGGCACATCATTGAGCATACCACAGGAAAAACTGCGTTAAAAATAGTCCTTTCGTTGCGAATTTATTTTAAGTTTTAGTTTAAATTCACAGCCTAGCAGTACAAGAGCTTGTGCTGGGCAATAGGTGAAAGAGCAGGCAGGAACAGAGCTTTGGCAATGGGGAAACCTTAGGCTTGCTCCTGGAACCAAAACCAGTGCCTTGGGTAAAACTGCCAACAAATTCAGCTAAAAGTGGAAAGGTCTGAAATGGGAAGCAGCTAATAAAGACATGTAAAAAAGAACATGGATAAATGTGCTGTAGCTGGATACTTCTGGAACTGAAGTTGTGGTGAAATCAATAGCGAGAGGTAGAGCAAGATCTTGGTGGGACACAGGACTGAGAGAGGGTGCAGGTGTTGAGGTGAGAGGAACCAGAGCCACACCTCAGTGAGAGCAAAACCAGGATTAGGCAGGAATCCAGAATGAGAGATAGCCAAGGGTTTTAAAGGAAAGGCGACAGGAAAGCAAATGGCACAAAGGGCAGGATGGGAGCCTGCCTCCAAAGATCACAGGAGGATGGAGCTAGGTTGCACAGGATGAAGTGACAGAAGCCACGGATGTGACTAATGTCAGTCATCCTCTGGAAATAGTGGTGAAATTCACTGATAAAATACACACTTGGCTACTCTGTAGTAGCTGGTCCTTGCAAGACCCAGAAACTTATTACAAGCCCTGTTAACATGGGTGGCAGGTGTCTGTGGTGCCTGCCCCATGGAAAGCCTCATCAGTTTTTCTCCATCCAGTGAAACTTCTGCTTTTTCTATTTGGTTCCTAAATACATGGAGAAGCCTGTGTTAGAGGAATGCTGACAATAGTTTCTCTGTAATCTTTATTTGATTTGTGTATGAATGTGGACTCATTTGATAAAATCTTCAGCTGTACCTTCACATTTGTTACCACGAGGCCCTTTGCCCATTTAGCGCATGAGACAGATGGCATGAATTGAATAACATAGGTTTGCATGCTAAATTAACATCTGTAGGACCACTGCCCTAACTGCTGTGGAGAGTGAAGTTTGGACCTGTTTGTTATGTATTCATGGATTCAGAGGATGAATTAACTTTGTGCAAGAAACCATGATTATGATTTTTCCCAGTTTATACATACGTTCAAGTATAATCTTAATATTCTTTTCATCTAATTCTTACATGACATAACCTTTATTCTCATTTGCTTTTAGAATGGTGGCCAATACGTATGGTCAGATAGAAGGAGGAGCAGGTATCTTAACTGGGCCAGTGGAGAACCAAATAAAAACACAGCCTGTGTCTATTTAGATTTGGATGGGTTTTGGAAGACAGCATTTTGTAACGAAACATTTTCATCTCTCTGTAAACAATCCAATGGTAAGTTCTGAATAGCAGAAATGTGATTTGGAGGCTGGAATTTAAATTAATGGTTTTATTTGAATTTAAGTTTTCTACATATGCAAAGATTGTAATAGATAGTATATGCCCTGTGAAAAACTATTATTTTTTAAAGGAAGAACTCTCAGATCCAGTATGTCTTGAGTAATTTGCAGGTTTTCATTTCACAGGCCAGTCAACATGTGAACATCATAAAGACAATTGCAATATTTAATGCCACATACCATGGGTTTTTTTATGCATCCTTGTTTGTCAAGAACTACAGAAATGATCAACTTTAGCTCACTATAAATATAATAATAATACACTTTTACACTTAAGAGTATCTTTTGAAATAATGTGAGTTAAGAAACTTCTGTCAGTGTAGCAGGTGAATCAATTAATTTATGTTTGTTTCTGCTGCTCAAATATTTCAGCACTCAAATGTTGCATGTAATTTTCAAATGTTTTAAATTATATATTAAATTTATTTTGCATCATACTTTACAGTAAATTTTGTATTCATTTAATCTCTGTTTTGGCTTTAATCAGGTGATACAATAGGTTCTAAATTCTGCTTTTATGTTGTTTAGGGTGTTTGATGTACAAGGACAGGTACAGACAGCTTCTCTGACTGTCATTTTTACAAAGTGGCTAGACACAAACCACTGGCTTGTGGTGGTGGTGTTGATTCTTTAGGTATATGACTCATTCCTCATTCTGTTTCGCAAGTTCTAAGTAAAAATTGTCTTGCTGAAGACAGTTGCAGTTAGACTGGTGTAAGCTTTCTTTAGCAGATTGGAGAACCAGCTCTAAGCAGTATAGTAGTTTATTACTAGTTTGCCATGTTCAGTTGAATTTTTTATGATTAGTTCAGTCTACAGAATATTTCTTTTTCTGGAATCAGTTTCAAATTAGTAGGGCTGGTGTGTGGTGCAGGAGTACATATTTCCCTTGGCTTTTAAGACTCCACTGAAACCTGTGGGTTTTCTTAATAGAGTTGATCCCTACTGAGCCACCACAGCTTCCTGGGAGGTGCCCTGAACCGAAGCGTGGTAGATCTTGGATTCCCTTCCGTGGTCATTGCTACTATGTTCACACCACTTCTGAGGAAAGCTGGCCTGATGCTTCCATGATGTGTATCCAAATGGGTGAGTGCCCTTTTTGATTAGGATATTTTATGGTTGTTTGTGTGGACTTTTTAATCCAGCACCAAGTGATAATACATAGATGTGTGTATGAATATATCAATTATAAGCTACACCTGACTTAAATTTATTATCAAGCATTTCTACTATATGAAAATGCTGATCACTAAATATGGCATGATTGTTTACTGACATAATTACTTTATAACGAAAAATCTTGCTGAAATTATATGTAATATTTAACTGATATTTTTAGGTGCTTCCCTGGTTTCCATAGAAGATTCAGCTGAAATGAACTTTCTCTTACTTTATTTGTCTCCACTTGCAAGTGACTTCAGAAAGTTTTGGATAGGATTGTTCAAAAATATTGACGGTAATTATTTCACAATGCATACTGAGATGAAATAAACACTAAATAAAAAGGAGTGAATACTAAATACCACTAACATACTAAATAACAGTGCCAATATGCTAAATATTAAATAATCATTTAAAAGTCAACTAATAAATGTTTAATAGCTTTCCTGCTAAGATACCTAAAACATAAATCATCAAGAGGTCTGGGCTTTCTGTATCTTTGTTGAAATTAGAGTATATTTCAGTCTGTAGAAAGTTCTAGCTTAGCACTTCACCAGTTGATTAAAATGTTTCTTATTGCTTTTTTAACTCAAATTAACTTGACATTTAATCACTACAGTCTTTTAAGAAAATGTTGATTTTTGATACACACATTAAGAAAATCTCCTGGACATTCTGTATGCTTGCACTGCTGAGACTGGCTTACGCAGGTATTCTGCTTTCCTTGAGGCTCCCAGTACGGCTCTGGGCACAGGCTTCAGCTAAATGTCCTCAGGTAGCCTGAGCATGTTTTCCTTTCATCTCTGACAGCCATGGCCCTGAAGGCTAATGGAGTTAATTTTTAAGCGTTTATATTTGGTACACTCCCACCTGAAAAGCTCTGGCTGTTAAGATCGAGAAATAAGCCCTCTGTGATGCCAATTTAATCAACTAAAAAATTCTATGCTTGATGTCATTATGCTCAGCAGACTTATTTATTCCCCACTTAATTCACTCACTAGGTAGTACTTTTCATTTTAGGAGAATGGATATGGATGGACAGAAGTGCGGTAGAATATGTCAACTGGGAGAAAGGAGAGCCTACAGTAGTTTTTGATGAACACTGTGTTGATATGGATGTCTCAAGTGGAACCTGGAGGACCTATTACTGTTCTGTTGACCAGAATTTTATTTGTAAAATCCCCAAAAGTAAGTTCTGGATTTCTGTGCAGTGGGTTATTTTACGTATTTACAGTGGTTACTATACATCAAGCCAAACTGCTTATGCACTGGGTACAATTTATTCATTGATGCATGTGCATCTGAATCAAAGCCAAGAGTAACTTCTGATAGAAATGGTAAGAAATTATGTTGGAAAATAACCTGAATCACTGTTTCCTCCTCTCAATTTAAAAACATTGATTTCTTGACATTTGCTGTTCCCTGGGGTAAGGAAGAACATACCACTTGTTGAGAGTGCACGAAACATTCATAGTCATTATGGTTAGAGGGCAAGGAGCGGTAGATGATGACTAAATGATTAAACTAGTGACTGCTGAGAAAAAGGCAGACACTCTCCTGATAGCTAAGCCAAGGGGGAGCAGTGAGAAGTCACTGAGCTCCTGCAGAGACAAGGGAGGTCCTGCCCGTGGGGACAGTATCACTATGGTGAATTGTGCTGGAATCTTCTGGATGAACAAGCAGAAAGTGTCAAGTGAGGGTTGGCAGTGGGGCTCAATTAATTACTGACAGAGGCACAGGGAGACATGCTAAGACAACCAAACAGTGTGTTATGTTTCATTGGTAATGGTTACTTGTGGCCCTGCAGTTTTTTGGATGTCAACCCGTGTAAAATCTGAATGTGTCTCGGGCTGGGGTGAGTCCTGCTTGCATGCACAGCAGAGTTGCATAAAACATGAAGCATGTAAATCTGCACACATGCAGTTTTCACGAGTCACTGTGTGCACACAGATTCAGCTGTGTTTGCACTCATCACCTGGGAGACAGTATGAAATAGGCCACATTTGCCATTAGCAAACAGATTCACCGCACAAATATAATCAGTGCAGTGTAGAACCAATTGAGTTTCCTGCTTGTGGATCTCCACGTTGGCAGGTTGGCAATGGAGTCACCTGTGAACTTTGTAGGGCACAGCCAGTCAATCCTGCAACTAATTAATTGAGTAACACTTCACAAGCAATGAAAGTGTTCAAAGCACTGAATAGTGAGACAACAGTTAGTCTTGGGGGGGTTTTTTACAAGTATTTTTAACAAGAATATTTGATGGATTCAGCCTCAATTGTCAGGGAAAATGTTTTCGTATATTTTTTGTGTCCAGTTACTCTGTTGAGCTCTGAGGCCTGCAGCATAAGAAAGACATGGACCTTCTCAGCTGGGTCCAGAGGAGAATTATGAAGGTGATCAGAGGGCTGGAGCTCCCTCCCTAGGAGGACAGCCTGGGAGAGTTGGAATTGTTCAATTTGGAGAAGAGAAGGCTCCAGTGAGGCCTTATAGCACCTTCCACTAGCTAAAAAGGGCTCATGAGAGAGTCGGAGAGAGACTTTTTCCAAGGGCATGTAGTGACAAGACAAGGGGGAATGGCTTCAAAATGAAATTGAGTAGGTTTAGATTGGATATTATGAAAAAATTATTTATTGTGAGGGTGATGAGGCACTGGAACATGTTGTCTAGAGAAGCTGTGGATGCCCCACCCCTGGAAGGGTTCAAGACCGGGTTGTATGGGGCTTTGAGCAACCTGGTCTAGTGGAAGGTGTCCCTGCCCATGGCAGGGAATTAGAAGTAAATGATCTTTAAGGTCCCTTCCAACTCAAACCATTCTATGATTCTATAATTATTTAAAATTTGATATGAACACAAAGCAGAAATTATGTATGTAGTATTCATTTAATCTTTGAACAATTGCTTTCAAACTGTATAATATATATATTTTTTTAATTTTAAAGTTGCTGAAGTTGAGCCAACCCATGATTCACCTTTCAATAATGGTAAGTTGATTTCTTATAAGCCCACTTAACAGAAATTTCAGTAAGTTCATTGGCATTTATTACTTATAAGTAAAATTACCTCTGGAAATGTTTCATTTAAATAACCATCTGTCACAGATTATTTTATTTTAAATCTGTTTAAAATGAGAACTCTTCCCTCAAACTGGATATCTTACTTTTTTTTTTTTAATGACAAATGGTATATGAAGTACAATATAACACTCCTTTTAAAGGGAACATAAAAGAGAATAAGCTCAATTTTGCATTGCCCATCTGTAACATGCATTAATTTTAAAATGATTGTTCAGTAATTTTATTTTCACTTGGTTACTTAGGGAGATATTTGTTGCATGCAATAGCAGTCTCTGGGCATTTATAGTAATTGTTCTGTTTTGTCTTTCACAGCATCAAAAAAAGAAGCTGCTGCTTCATCGGCAAATGGCTTAGGTGGGATGATTTTTATACTGATTTTCCTTCTGCTAGCTGGAACTGGCCTTACCTTGTATTATTTCTACAAAAAAAGACGTGGTCAACAAATGTTTACAGCAAGTTTTGAAAATGCCATATACCGTGGTGACTCTGGAACTCTTGAATCAAATTGTCTTGTGACCAATATTGAAGAAAATGAGTAGGCAACATTTTAATAGGCTGGATAACCTTGGGCCTGATTTTGAAAAGAATTAAAATGCTAGCATACAAGACTTCTTAAGGCAAAGCAATTCTCTCCTATGGAAATTCTAGCTAATTTTGCACAGGGTGCTTCTTGCTTTCTGTACTAGCAGGAACAAGCAATCTTGCAAGGCAGATCCAGAGATCTGCTCACAAACTGTAGTACCTGGGAGGATTGCTGAGCTTACACATAGACCTGCAGCTGTATTGTACAAGTGAACACTCAGGCAGCTCCAATCTCTGCATGGCTCCAGCATCATTTTTGGGCACAAGAACCGTGCTCATCACAGACAATTTGAGAATATGCTCCTTAGCATGCTCCAAAAAGTATATCCAGATATCCTGAAAATGCCTCCTCGATCTCCAGTGGAGACTGGCAGAATTGCACAGGTTGGACTAATCTCCAAGCTCAGCTGGGGCAGATCCCTGTTTGAAGCAGGACCAGCTCCCTGGCTCAGCCAGGCAGTCTGCTCCAGTGCTGTGGATCCATATCTTCTTTTTGCTAATGAGGTACCACAGAAACCCTTTGTCTTGCCCATTATATCTCAATTAACATAATTTGCTCCTCTGTATATGACTCATAGAAAGGCAAATGGAAATTGTATTTCTTCTGCTATAATTCTGTAACATACACAATGAAAGATCAACTATTATAAGAGGTTGGAATGTATTGTGAATAGTAATGCTTTATCATTTAAACAGTCAAATAGGGATCTCAAAGGATGTTGTAAAAGGGTAGAAATAGGCAGGAGAAATTATGCTTAATTCACACCTGAAAAAGAGAAAAAATATATTCGTGATATCTCCAATACCAGTGAGGATTTAATTCCTTTTTAGGCCATTTTTTCAAAGCATAATGAAACTTACCATTAGAAAGTCTTTTCTAATTTCTAATCAAATTCTCCCTGTCCAAGTCTGTTTTAAATCTTTAAGTATCATTCCAGACTTCCATCATGATGGAACTGATGGCATTATATGTCCTACTTGTCTACTGGTATATTCTCTGACTTCAGAGACCCTGAAAATAGGCTTACATAGAGGTTGGGGTTTTTAACTTTGCCTGTATTTTATGGCAAATGTAAACAACAAAATGACTCAAAACTCTTAGTCTAGGGGATGCCCTTATTTAATTTGATACTTTTTGATATTTTAATCTTTTGACAGATTTTAATTGTGTTTAAGTTAAAATGTTTTGTGTATGTATGAAATACATGTAAATAAGTTTTTATTCTATGTTGGTTCGCTAAATGGGAATTAAAAGGCTGATTCTAAGTAAAAGTGTATCTGTCTTAAACAGAAGAATTTATCATAACAATAAAAACAGGAAGGACTTAAATTTTCATACACAAATGAACATCTCTTTTTCCTAGTCTAGTGTGTTCTAAAATGGTCTTTACCAACCTGAAACTGTGTGTCTCACTGCTTCTTTATCCCTAATATTTGAAAATTTACCCTAATAAATGTCTATTGAAAGTGTTGGAATTTAAGACTTATGTGCCATTCTGCTTTAGTAGTTTCTGAGACAGATTCTTATATATTCTTATTGTCATGTCTCCTCTCAATATTTGCTGATAGCAACAGCAGTTCTTCCCTTTTCATTTCATTGGCTACATCTTCTAGATCCCTAATCCTTTCTGCTGTTCCCTCATAGACCCTGAACTGTGGTATGTAGGCCCTTCTGACAGTACCAGTGCACCAGTAGATAAGGTATTTCAGCTGACATTCTAACAACAGTGAGCATATTAGAAAGATTTAATCCATCCTTGTAACACTTTCCATAAAAGACCCTTCTGTCTGAATTGGTTCTACAGGATGTATAGGTTTGAATAAATAAATGGCTGCCAGAAAACAGTAGGCTGAAGACAGGAAAGTTCCTAATGAGAAGTTAGTTCACGAAAGTTTCCAAGGGCTGATAAGCTTTAGTAGTCCTGTTGCATCTGTGAGAACTGAACCAAGAGTTTGTTTGGACTGTACAAGATTATTAGAGACCAGAAGCATGCATCAGCAGAGGGTTGTGTAACTTGGACCACATCCAAGACAGCAGTGACTGATGTCTGGTAATGAAGAGTAAGACCCTCTGAGGAACTTTCCAGACATGCCTTGAGAATTGCCTGGAGTGCCAGTATAGCTCTCTGAAAGTTAGTGCACAGCTGGGATTGGTTTCTAAATATTGCTCCAACCAGGGAACTTGAGTGATTGTCTGTGAGTGAACTCTACAAGTGAAAAAGCGAATGTGCCATGTGAATGTGTATTTGCTATTTATTATAATAGCTTCCTTCTATTAACAGCTTGTTAAAAAAACCCCAACCCAACAAACTGAACACTTTGCTTTAAGAAACTCTGCATATGATCTGTATTTTGTCCCTATCAGTGAAAAGGGAATTCACAAGAAACTTTCTTTTGTACATCCTAGTATGATGGATTTTCTTCACAACATTTATGGTTACTTGGGTTACTTGCAGGTTTTTGATTCCAAATTCCTTTCCTGTAGCTAGATTTCTGCAGGAAAACTATGGTTGTCACTGTATTTCATCCTAGCTAATAGAACAGCTCCAAGAATGCTTGTCATTCAGACCTAGACCCTAGTTTAAAGACACTATGGTGTGGAGGTAGGACACAAGTGCTCATCAAGGTGCTTTGGACACCTGGAATTTAGTGGTAAAAACAAGCTCTTTACTAGGTCTAGGAACCTTCGGGGTTAAGCCACCGTTATCAGAAGTGTGGGGGACCACAATTTGTCAATTTGTCCTACTTCCACGTAGATTTTGGATTTGGTCTTACATGCAATAAAATAGCATTTATAAAATGTCTTTCCACATAGCCAAGATGTGGAAATCTACTTTGCCATTTGCCTGGTTTTGTTTTTTTTACATTAAGGTGGTATTTTAGAGAGAATTTTCTGCCTTCCAAAAGAAGAAAGTATTTGCTAATATCAGTATCTTGATATTTTCAGTACTTTCATATACTTTCAGTATCACTTGAAACAGAAAAGAAAATATTAGCTTCAGTACCCTGGCAAAACAGTAATACAAACAGAAGTTTATGAACTGCAAGTATTTACTTCTGTCATTTAAGTTTCTGAAATTAGGGGACTGAAAAAGGAAGTGAAGAGTAACTTGGAGCAAAATGTAAGGAAGTTCTATAAATAAAAACAGAATAGATAGATAGCTGTGAAATGAAATGTTCAGGTCAGATTCCAATGGGTAAGAGCCAGATTTTCCGGGGTCAATAGGAAAGATTTTAACTGCTCCATAAGCATAAAGTTGTCCTGATGTCACCTTATCCAGGCAGAGGAACAATTAGTGTTCATTTTGTCTCTTCTCAGCTGTGTCCTTATCTAACATATCCAGATTTCTTCTGTCACATTCTGCAGAGCACGATGTTTTACTGTGCACCACTATTCGCTATCTGTTAAATAACTTTTTAAGGATTTGATTGGTGTTTTAGTGGTTATGGTTCCTTTGAGGAAATACTTGCTCTCATTTCAGGAGAACGCGCACAGTCCAACCATTATACTGGCTTTTTAACCAGACCTTTCATCTAGACAGCTTAATGAAATTCATCTCACCTACTTTTAGAACTGATTGACACAGTGGATAATCAGGAATATATATGTAGGACTTGCAGTTGTTCCATGGTCCACCAGAAGAAGCTAATTATGGCACAGAGGTTCTAGAGAGAGGAGGGAATAATATTCTGCAACTGGAGGAATAAGGGCTTGTGCAGTGACAAACACAGACTGAGGCTGGTAAGAGGATGGTACAAAAATACAGTGCAAGATGTCCAAATAAAGGAAGTTGAAGAAAAACGCCAAAGTAGAAATGAAGGAGTTTGAATTGGGCCAGAAGTTCTGATTGTCCCAGGCAAGGTTGGGCTTGGCAAGGCAGAGGTCTGGGAAATTCAGACACTGCTGGAGAAGTGCAGGAGGATAGGACTCCCAGCTGTGGGGAAGCAATAGAAGGTTGAACATACTTTGCATATAATAGAGTCAAGGAAAAAAGCTATCTGAAGTGAACTGTGGGCTCAAGAGCCCAGCTGCACCATTTGGACCAGGAAACGGGGTGGGGGGTGTGGATGGCAAAGGGCTGAAAGGTGTAAGATATTGATATGTTTGTTCCTATTTGCCTGGATACTCTTGTGTTCTTTGGAAAGGCCACAGCTGTGGAGCAGGGAAGAAGGCAGGCTGCCTCTTCACCTTGCCCTGGATCCTAATGTCTTTCACAGAGCAAAGCCATCTAGAAAGATGAGGAGATGGTTTCTTCCTTGAGAGTGGTGAGTGTGCACAGGGTGGGGGACATGTTTCAGAGCATCTTGCTGGAGCGCATGCAGAGGATGGGAGGAAACCTGGGGTTTTCCTAAGAGGAACAGAAAGTGGACCTGTGGGGAAGCCTCTGGGGCAATGGAAAGGAAGAGGTTTCTCCTAGAGAGCTGTAGAGGAACTGTGTGGGCTGTTTTGCAACCGAAGAAGCCACTGAAAGAAAGCTTACAGGCAAGCACTTTCTCTGCAAAGATACTGCGGAAAGTGGAAACATTCATTTTTAAACAACCTGTTAGAGAACAAACCCCCCTCTCTTTGAAGAAAAGGGGCAGATAATTCAACCTCCTGGATCTGGCCAGCTTGAGTCCACTCTCAGTAGGTAGTGGGAAATAAGAACAACAGGCAGAAGAAAAGGTATATTGGCCTGTGATTAGTGGGGGGAGAGAAAGGGATGAATCATCTGTCAAAGGGCAGGTGGAATAGTAGTAAGGCTTGGTTACACATCTCCCATTTGCCCAAAGATTTCTCCTACACCTCACGTTGCAAGAAAATGTTTTTCCATTCCTAGACATGGGGAACAGCAGCTTTTTCTCCTGGTGACAGCGCTTTTCATTTCAGAGCTACCACGTGAGATGGTGATGGTTGTTAGGATGTTTTTTTAGAGTGAACTTCTGCCAAAGGCACAGTTTGCTTAATGATGTATTTAAAAGCACACACGATTTAGGATCTATGCAGATTTAAATCCGTTTACAGAAGAATTTCAACAGGAAATGGGAAATTAGAAATATGCAATCTCCACATGTTGCAAAGATAATGAAAGTCTGGGAAAGAAGAGACCATTTCTTTTCTTGACTGTTTGTCAAGGCAACTACATTTAGTGCATATAACAGTGAAACTGTTCATTCTTAGTTGGTTTACAAATGAAATGGAACTGATTATGCCAAAAAACTGGCTACATTTTATTTACTTTGCTGAATATGTGATATTTCATGATATAGAAACATAGCAGAGTGACATAAAATAGGGAAGGGATTTTAGATAAATGAGGAAGCAAGAAATAAGATAAAAAGGAAGGAAATCCTTGAATTTTGCGTGAAAGCCATTTGCATTCACCTAGAGAATCACAAGAGAAAAACACATTCTATGAATTTTCTTCCTTTAAAAATTTTCCATTACTTCTTGTGCACTTCTGCCATTCGATCAAAATTGCACTGAATGCCAGTATCATTTAAAATCCAGAAGTTTAATATTTTCTCATGATTTCAAATATTCATAAGGGGTTTTTTCCTCATTTATTCATATGATGTTTGATAGTTCAGTGTCAGAGTGAATTTTGTAAATGTTTTCGACCTGTTCGCACACTTAGTGTGTCAACATAGATATATTTTTCTATGGAAATGTCATTCTTGGCTGTGGAAATACTCAAAACCCATCTGGAAAAAGTCCTGAGCAACCTTTGAAAGAGTATATATTTTTGAGGCCCTGCTTTGAGCAAAGCATTCAACCAAATGACCTCCAGAAGTCTCTTTCAGAGTGAACTATTCTATAATTCTGTGGTCAGATACAGGACTATACACTTTCAATGAGCTAAAGCAGAAAATGTGGCAAAGGCAGGGAAGAGACATGGCCAACACCTTAGGAAGCAGCACTGCTCTCCTGGCTGCATGACTGGTGGTTGTTTGGTCAGTGCTAACACCCACGTCGGGCTTCAGCTTTCCACTAATATGAGATCAAAGCACAGATACCACAAGCATCCTCTGTCAGTGTTATTTTTGATGTGTCTAATCAGTTACTACAGCTTGAGAACTGTGGTTTATTCTCTCCACTGTCCTCATCCCTGTCCAAAATGGGGACAAAATTACCCTGCAGAGAGCAGTGGTAGCTACTGCACCCAAAGCAGCAAGATGACGACATGCTCCAGGACTACTCTGCCACAGACGTTGTGTCCCTGTAGCACCACCCCATCCCATAAAATGTTATAAAAGACAAAAGGATAGGTTCTACTTTCTAGCTGTAGTTGACCACAAATAGGCCCTTGGATCCAAGAAAATCAGAAAGGCTGTTTGGTCCTGCCCTCGGTAGGCATTTGACAAACAAAACAGGACCTCGACCAGAGGAGTTCCTACTGAGGTAAGAGAGGCCAGCAAACCAGCTACTTAGGAGAGAGGGTCATAGCCTACTGCAAATAATAGTAGAGAAGGTATGGTAATTATCCCAGGCTGCTCAAAA